TCTGGTCAGCTTGAAGAGTGTCAAGTATGCCATAATAATCCTTACGTCGCTGTCGACCTGATCCACGTATTGATGCTTTTTATAGTTGGCACTTCAGATACTTCGATCCTTACGGGGTTGCCGTCGCCAGCTTGAGCGCTCTTCCTCTGCTCAAGGATGTCCGTATCAAATTCGGAGGTAAAATACCTGATCCATTTCATCTACCTCTAAGAAAGTTCTCCGGTCTCGAAAAGCTCGCTTTGTGCGATGCATATGGCAAAATCTCGTTGCCCTCAGAGATTATTGGTGAACTGGCACATGTGATCGCTAATAGCCCTCTTCTCTCCCATCTCGAAGTCAACGTCCACTTCTCTAAACCCTCTCTATCATTCCACGAATTTGTATCTTTGGCATCAAAACAGGAACTTTCTCCCGAAAAACCCCCCTTGACGCATCTGGCGCTCAATACAGTCAAGTTATGCATTGACGCAACCACCCTCCCCTTCCTTCGCTCCCTTACCTCACTTGATATCTCGACCTCACCTGGCGTATACAACTCTGAACTTTGGAAAGGTTTAATGGACGCCAAAATTCGTTTGGCCAATCTCAAGACGGACATCGTGACGAGCACATTCATCGACTACTTGACATCCTATTCAGGCCTTCAGAGATTAACGATGAATCTGCGTATCATGTACCGTGATTCTGAGTTCGGAACGACCCACCATGTACATGACCTATTCCATTCGGCTCTTCCAATGCACAAGGACTCCCTTACAGTTCTGTCTATCAATCCTTCTGGTGAGATGAGGTGGCGCATTTGCTCTAATTTATTGACACCTCTCTATACCTGTCAAAATCTGGTTGAGTTAGGTCTGTTTGTGGCAGATGAAGGCAATGTGGAATCGTTCGGCGTGGTATGCGATCCCTCAAAACTTCCTAAATTGACGGCTAACTGTTCTATCGGTTTGTTTGTCCCACAGCCGGACATGGTCGCTTCCGCCGCGAACTTCCGCCAGCTTTCTATTCTTCAAATATTCCGCGCGGGGCCAATCAGCGTCAGGGGCTTTGGGATAATAGGTCACTTAATGGACTACCATAACCAGTTGCGAAAAACTTTCATGGACGACCTCGCTAGTTTCAAAATCAGCGACCCGGAACGATACTTGTTTCAAGTGACTTGCTTTGGTAAAATTTTTGAGCTCCTCCCTGACCCCGTGGAGGTTGGGAAGTATAGATACACTCTTCCCGCTTGAGATATATATTTTTTGCAAGTGATTTTGGCTGGGTTATGGCGGTTACAAAGAGTTCCTAAATACGTTGGAAGAGTTTTGGCGCCTTGTCATACTTACTCACATGTTGAGAGGGATTGTTGTTTACACGAGAAGTCACGAAAATCTCAGTCACGCTCAACTTCGGAATCGTAATGCGTCCAACACAACTTCTGCAGAAAGGACGATCGGCTTGGAAAGGTGAATACCCTCTTTTTGACCGCTAGAGCTTGTTGTACTCATTACTCTAGGTCCTTACTTCGTTGCCTTCCCCAACCTGCGAGAGGCATTGACGAACCATGTGCCGATCAAGACGCAGGCGAGGTCGTGTACGATTTTGCCCAATTTTGTGGGGTATGAGTGCCAACGATCACTGTTCTATTTTCCTTACAACTTTTTCCGTTTCAGAATTCGCTTCATGGTACACAATGGGAAAGACTACATTCCAGTAAATGTGACGCAGGACATGGTTGGGCACAAACTCGGAGAATTCTCGCATACAAAGAAGAGGTTTACATACAGGTGCGTCCTTCTCACTGGCTCTTTTTCATCTCCTAACGCTGATTGATTAGAGCAACTAAGAGGTCGTAGAACTGTCTTGGCTTATATTTATGCTATCTGTATTTCCCGAGTTCGCCCAGACTTTCGACGAGGATCAGCGGGGCAAGGCGGTAATGCCTCCTTCGTAACAAATCGATAATGGGGTCGTCGGCTAACCTTTTGCTTCCTCACATCAATCTAGTTACTTAATCTGAGCGAGGACCTACGCACTATCTTACGGCGTTTGGCCCCATCCCATCGCGTTTGGAGAATTCGCCTTCTGGCCCACATTTTTGCATTGCTCCCGAGTCCCCGTTACTTGTGCCGTGGTTCTTTGTCATGTGGCCGTTTACCACAACCCTTCTTCAGGGGCAGGAAGCGGTATCGCGGAGGTAGGTGCCCAAGTTCTTGGTAAAAATTGTGCATACCTTGATGATCACATGCAAATGACCAGCAACTTGGATGAATGGATTATGGCGCAAGCGCATTACAGAACGCATAAAACCTTTGCCATAAACTTCCAAGTACTACTACACGAATGAATGATTTTTGATGACTCAAATAAGTGCCTCCCAAACTCCCAACCCAAGAAAGAAAATCCCTAAAGAAACCATAAGACTCACATACACAAACGTATGTACCCCAATACGTGGCAAGATCCAAGTAGTGTGCAGGAACGATAAGAAAAGACGAACGAGGATGACGCAGGTCAAGGTGATGATGATGGGTCGGTTGGTTCTGTGCAAGGTCGGTTTGAAGGGTATCGAACTTGAACTTGAACTGCGTGGGGGATATCTAAACTCAAAGTCACCGGACGTTTCGCCTGATGGGAGGGGGGCGAGCGTTGAGCGGAGGTAAGCTGCTGAGAGGAGGAGGAAGACGCCGAGTGAGATGAGGATGGAGTTTATCCTGTGGAGGCAGGATAGAAACACGGGAATGCGCTGTAAGGCTGATTAAATATTGTTCCTTGCGAAAAATGGCTGCGCTTACGATCATTGGCATCCCGTAAACCTCTTCCAGCTCCTCCCTGTTCCTGATAGCGATAAGCTGGTCAAGATCGCGCTCGACTTCCAAGCGGAGTTCGTCGCTGGAGGGGTACTTTCCCGTCCCGTTACGTGGAAGCAATGGCCTTCGTTCGCCTTCCTCCTCCTCCAACGCAAGGGTGTCCAGGCCAATTCTATACTGCTGCTCAGACGAAGAAGGGAGCCCGGTAATTGTACGAGGGGACTCTTCCGTCTCCAAAATTAGTGCATTTTGTTGTTCGTTTGGCGGTTTTCTGCTGGGTACAGAGTCGGTAACTCTGCGTGCAATGACGAGTACGTCGCGATACAACGCGATGGCTTCATAGCCTTGCTTTATACCCGCTATTCCCTCCGCAGCCGCCCACCCCAGCGCGAGCCACCACACTCGTCTGAACGCGAAATCTTCCCATGTAGGATAGCTAAACGCCGGGCTGAGCGTGATGAGGAGGAGTGGGATTGATATTTGTTGGAGGAAGACGGAAAAGACGGTTTGGAAGATGGTTGAGAGGATGGTGGTCAATGGGGGTGTGTATGAGCCAAAAGGGACTGCGAGGAGTGCGGCGAAGAGGAAGAAGGCGTCTCGGAGGATGTGTGAGAGGGACCAGAGGGCTGTGGAAACGATTATTTCGGGGAAGGGGAAGGGGAGGTAGGGGACGTATGAGTAGCGTGGGGTTGAGGGGGTACTGGTGAATGCGAGGGATGGAAGAAATGCGAGCAGGATGAGGGTTAGAATTGAAGTGAACGGCGTGAATGTGTACAAAGCTATTAGACGACGGTATGATCCTGTATTTCTCTACTCAGATTTCATTACTAGTTTGAAAAGAAATGAGTTTCTCACCGCGATACAGGCCACGTTCAGCCAACTCTTCTTCCAACGCCAATTCCTCCTCCTCCTCCGCAGAGTCCTCGTCTTCAACCTGAGCCACATCTGCGGGCGGCACTAATTCACGTCCATTAAAATCCATAGTTCCGTCCTCAGGTACGCGATTCAACAGCGTAGACGAATTGTTTCCCCGTATTCTTTCTGGGCTTGAGGACAACGAGGTTGTCGAGCCGTATAGGGGCACTGCTGCAACAGATGACGTCGTCGATTGGCCTCGCGCTTCATTGCCACTATTGACTCTCTTGAGACGCCGTCGTGAATGCCTACTAATCCCAAGCTCGGCATCGTTTCCTTCAAGCGGCGCCATGGTGGCGCTGAGCCTCCTAACCCGTCGTATGACCGCCGTGATTACGTTGCTGTTCGTCATTTAAAAAAACCTATTTGTAGTTCCCGTTGCTGTGTGTGGAGAGAGCGCTCGTGGTGTAAGAATGAGCTGGAGCTGTCCCCGGTCCGTGGCAGGTTTACGTCCCAACTCCAACCATTATGGCGACAGGCTACGCAATATTTGTTTACGTTCAGCGTCTGAGATGGGTCAGGAGATACACGTTCTTCACCCCAGTCTCACGATGAACTTTAACCTGACAACATATCAGAAGGTCAAGTGATTTCTGATTCATTCAGTTGTGATATCTACAGAATTGCTCCTTATCTCCACAAGTTGCAGGGTGCAAGAAGAATGCCTAGAACTACTGCGTAGGCGTCCACACGACGTTCATCACCTGCGCACTCTACTGCATCACACCTCGCCTGAGGATGGTCCTTGTTCGAGGAACCTTTTGTCCATTCAAGGGATAATTGTCTCGTGTTGTTGACTGTCGGTGTCAATATCATCTATTCGATGGCTTAGCTCGGGGAGAGTGGGTTTTTGTGGGGACGTTAGTGAGGGGCCGTTCAGTACGACCGGTACTAGATATGAACTTCTGCTTGACAAATATTGCCTTGCACCTATTGAAAACGTTCAATCTAGTTTAGAAAACGAAAGGAAAATAAATAAAAACATACTCACCCTAATCCCCAATCACACCAGCCAGCCCACCATTCAAAGCAACCTTCACCTCATAAAACAACACTATCTCCCCTCCCCAGATGTCCTCATCTTCCTAATGATCCCACCCCACTTCGCCAAAAGCTGCGCATCCGGAACTCTATAATCCCCAACCCACCCCCTCACCCACTCCACCAACCTTGCATACTCACCCCTCTCGGGGCCCCCACTCAACTTCTCCACCAACGGCGCCTGCACACTCACCTCGTACCACAACATCAACGCAACCGCCAACGTAGAATTCGACGGCTGGATCGACAGAGCCCGCATCCACGCTAGCACGAGTGGGATCTCACCCACGTGCGAGGAGGAAGCGTTGGAGAGCCCGAGGAGGGTGATGTAGTTGAAGCAGTTCGCGTTGGTGACTACTATTTGGGGAAAGTGCGGTTTCTTTTCTTGTGTGGTGGGGGAAAGGAGGTAGAGGTCTGGGGGAGGTATGAATTGGTATGTTCGCGTTCGGAGGGAGGGGAATCCGATCCCGGGTGAGGCGTCTGCGTCGAACGAGTCTCGGACGGCGTTGGCGGGTGGTTGGATTTCCAAGAGGCGTCCAGAGGTGTCCATCCCAAAGAGGGCTTGCAGGAACAATTTGCGTGCAGCGTCGAATGGCGTTTGGTCGTTCCAGATACTTGATTGATACTTTTTGAGGTTCTTTTGTCCCAGTACGGACTCTACGGAGAGTACCGCATCTTCTCTGCTCAACACGCCCTGGGGCTTACGTTTCCTGAATGGGTTGCGTAGTGCGAGCTCTGCAACGGTGCCAGAGAAGGAGTCGTCCAACTTGCACGCGAGCCGTGCGGATTGTAAGACGATGGAGAGCGTTTCGGAATTTGGGTATATTCCATACAGATCTGGCATGTGGTCCCACATCTTGAACACCACATCAGGTCGAGCAATCCTATTAAGAGCAACCAAGAAATCATTCATCGATACTGGGGTGAGCTGAACAGGATGCGGTGACCGGAATTCGTCGATCACTTCATCGCCATCCCTTGGACGCTTAGCGTATTTCTCCAGGAGCGCAAACGCTGCATGAGGATGCCCGATCTTCGTTACAGCTTGTAAGCCAGCGGTCAACGCCATTTTATCAATCGTTAAGCCCGTTTTGAGCAGGAGGTTCCAGTGACGCACAGCATTATGGGGGTCTTTGCGAAGCAGAAGACCTCGGATCATGATGGTATAAGTAGCGACTGTAGGTCGGACTGTCAACATCATGCGCTGAAAGATTTTGACCAACTGTTTAGAGTTGGTTGTTAGATCTTTTGCTGCAACAGATAGTGCTGCAGTAAAATCGTAGATATCTGCGTTTCGTTTGTGAACTAGATGCGAGACTCGTCTCTCTGTTGCTGGTCTAGAAGAGGGTTTTGCCTCGGACGGTCCTTCAACCCTGAGGTCGCGCAGGAACTTGAAAGCAGAAGCACGATCTTCATGGGCACCGAGGAATAAGGTGTTGGCGCGATACTGGGGATTCTGTGAAGGATGCACTGGCTCGGATGGTGGGTCTTGCTCAGTGGTACGGTAATGAATGGCATCAAAATAATCTTTAGCATTGTGGATCGCTCCATCCTTTGCAAAGAACCGGAGATATGCTTCCAGCTGCGCAGCTTTGGGTGTGTACCCCTCCCGCACCATACGTTCGCGTAGAAACTTCGTAAGTTGAAGGGTGAGGAAACGGTCGTTGAGGAGGGCGTCGTACGTTTCTGGCTGGAGCTTAAGCTGGCGTGCATCCATTGCGCGTACGATGGAAACTATGTTGTTTGCGTTCTCTACTGAACGGTAAGGGATGCACGACATAGCACGGAGGAAGAGGTTGAATTCGACGGAGGGTTGGAGGAGAGGTATGGAGAGAAAGGATTCAACAATGCGGCGGAGGGGTAGTAAGAGGTTGAATCTCGCAAGATGAACGGTTGTTAAGATGAGGAGGGGCCCTTGAACCTGCACTGGTGCGCCGTCGAGATGGGAGTAAACCAAATCCATCAGAGGCCCACTTGCGTGTGCAGGGGTGCGCACTTTGTAGCCAACAAGATAGAGTACAACCCATGAAGGTAAGTCTGGCAACCTGGCAATGTTCTGGTTGCAATCCTCAGTGTTAACATCAGCGGGTTTAACTTTGTAACCGCGCTGCTCGATGAGAGAAACAGCTTTGGTTATGTCATTTTCCGCCAAGATGTGTCGCCATTCGTTATAATTATTCATGGACAAGCCATTTTCATGGAGAGCCCTCGAAAGCTCTGGCGTCTTGTTGGCAGACCACAATGCCACTACGAGTGTCCAGAGTTTGTCATGTGTGGATTTTTGGAGTGCTTCGATGCATTTTTTTGCCTGGATGGTGCGAGAGGCGACTTTGAGAGGATGAAATGTGGAGAATACGCGTAAAGCAGCCGTCCGAGTTGTTGGGGAACGAAGGACGGCCCACATGCAACGGTCATCTATCGCGGAGGTCAAGTATGAATTCGCGCCACAACGTCAACAAAGCCAAATCCTGGATATTTTATTTTTTGACGTGGTTGAATTTGGGCTGCTTCCCACCCACCATGCCTCGAATTCTCTTCGTGAGCGGCTTCCATCCCTCAACTCGCGCCCGCGACCTGGCCTTCGAATTCGAACGGTGAGCAACTACCTTTCATCACCGCCAACCTCTCAAACGCTCACCTCTACTCCAGCTATGGCCCACTGGTCCGTTGTGATGTCCCTGCCCCACGCAACCCGCACGCCAACTCCAACCCGTAAGTATCTTTTCTCGAGTTGATCTTTTCTTTTTCCCCTCCCCAGTCGAGGTCGAGGTCGAAGTCGAATCCGTCCCGCATCCCCCCCTGCCCCGTCCGCGCGGTCCGAGTTTTTTTCTTTCCCGATTCGACTTGAAAACTCTCTCAATTCGTCTTCGTCACTGCACGTCGAGAACATAATAAAAAATCCCGTATAAACACACGATCGCTCAACGAATCTCCTCGAACCCTACCTATCTCGCAGCTATGCCTTTGTGGAATTCCGAAGCCAACGTGATGCCGAGGATGCCTATTACGAAATGTATGTTTTCACACTGCATTCTCTCACATGGACTGCGCCTAACATCAATTATCACAGGCATGGAAGACACTTTGAAGGATCCCGTTTGAGTATCCAGGTATGCATGTCTTAAGCCCACACAAGACAGCTGCCTGACGTCATGATCTTGTCCAGTGGGCCAAGAACCCTCCGTCCTCGGTCTGGCGTTACGACAGGCGTGCCTCCCCTCCACACCGTTCCGGACGCGACCGTGAACGCTCTCGCAGCCCTCGCCGCCGTGACGACCGCAACAGAGACCGTGGAGACGACCGTGATCGCGAAAGGCGAAGGAGGAGTCGGACTCCAGAACGTCGACGCAGCCCATCCCCAGATCGTAGGAGGGAAGTACGTGATGATAGGGGAGGTGATAGAGATCGGGAGAGGGATAGGGACAGGGATAGGGACAGGGCGAGGACCCCTCCTCCTGCAGATGACATTAAAAAAGAGGCTGAGGTTGCAAGGGATAGGGCACAGACGCCGCCTTATGAGCACTGATTGCTGATTTTCTTTCTTCTCTCCGATTTGACCCATTGAAAAAGAACGTTTTCATATGTTTGCCGGGCCTGATGTCTTGCAGCACGTCGTTTAGTTGTAATGTTGAATGAGAAATATATGCTTCTGAGATGCTGGTGGTTTGCTTTACAGGCTCGTAGTTATGGTGGCTAAAGCTCATACTTCGATTATGGCTGAGGAAATCCCGGAATGAGATCAAGCTCCCTAATGTCGACGCCCTGGAAATCCCTGTTTTTCACCTTTCTCGATTCTAGCTCCCGTTTCGCAAGCCAGAGATGAGCCAGGTGAATACAGTCCTTCGCCTACAGAACCGAATTAACATCGTCGAAATTGTGACATGGGAGATGACGTACAGCAATGAACAACCCCAGACCAACCGTATTCCGCCACCTATGTGAAGTAAATAAATTAACCACAGCACAGAAGGAAACCATAGAAACCCACCAGATAGGATCACTCTCCGCCCAAGTCCTCGTCCCACCCCACAGCGCCGCCATCCCCAATTTACACCCCATCACAAACTGCTTAACCAGCCCCGCTCCCTCCCACTCACCCTCAAGCCCAAAAAGCTCCATCACAACAGGCGGGGGCAAAGGAAACTTCTTTGATCCCATGCCCAGTCGAACACCCAAAAACTGACGCAGCAAGGACGAGTGTTTTGACAATCTAAATAAGAGTGAACCCATCGCGCTCGAGATGGCAGGAATCATGAGTGCCCCGCCGACGCGGCGACCAAGGGAGGAGGCGTTGATCTCGATGAGCTGTTCCGCTGCGGCTACGGCTACGGCTGCTGCGTCTGGGTCCTGGTCTTGGTTGGCTGCTGCTATTTCCTCAGCTGCTTGGTCGACCATCTGCAGTTGTTGTTGTTGTTGTTGAGGATCTACCTGGGCTTGTTGAGGCTGCTGCTGCTGTTGTTGATCTTGTTGCTGACCCTCTTCTTGGACATTAGCCCTAATCCGAATGACGAACGGGCCTTCTTCAAACCTCAACCCTCTACGATTCCGATCTCTTGTCGCGACAGCCAGCCGCGTGCCCATAAGTTTGTAGTATAAGTGGGCATAACAGCTCCTATAAATCATTCGTATAATGGGGAGCCCAAACAAGCTGAAGAGCACGGGGGAAGGAGGCCAGCTCCTTGTTGGGGAAGGTGTGTTGGAGAAGAGCGATCCTAGGCGTGTGGAGTTCTCGGGCTTTTTCCAATAGTCTTGTAGACGGCGGCTGCGTTCACCTACTGGGTACGTGGGTGGCCATACGAGGAGGATGGGGATGATGGGCGATAGTTCATTCGTTGATTGAAAGCGGGAGAGGATGAGGCTTATTGGGAGGAGGGGAAGGTTGATAAATGCTGTCCAAGGCCAGTTCGATGGGTCGTCAGTAAGTAACGTGTCGAACATCCTGAGTAAAAACTAGTCATTAGCCAGTACAAGGAGAAGCGAACGGGTAGATTAACTCTTTGCCAATAAACTTTTGCACGGCCCAAGCTCCATATGTCGTGCATATGATATAAAGGCCTGCACAATGAGAAAAATCGACGAGTCAAAGGATGACGAGGAACTTACTAGTTCCCACTGCACACACAACCGTCGCTGCCCCAAAGACAGTGAACAAGCTCCCCAGCTTCTGCAGTACCCTATTCCCTCCAGCGATAAACTTCAGTATCCAAGGGTCTTTGCTCTCTAACTCGTAAGCCGCCCCACACTGCGGACACTTGAGCGCATTGGGTGCACGCGATGAGCTCCCTTGTGCAGTTTGAATCCACTTCAAAAGGCATTGTTCATGCGCTATGAGGGTGCATTTACATGGATGTGTCCATGCTCTTGGGGGGTTCTCTCCGTCAACTGGATTGGTGTTAGTTTATTGGTGTACCCGATCTTGAGTACGGACCTGCGTCATAGAGTTCTTCTTCCCTGCAGATATAGCAGAGCTTGACCTGTATTTCTCAATCAGTCCGAGCTGATACATACTTTGTGCACATGAACTTACACGCAAATCATTTACTGTTGGGACTTGGACATTCATTATAGGAGAGTTTACCGTTGACGGTAAAGCTCTGAGATGTGAGTGTTAAAGCAAACACGTGCCGTCAAATTAACACTATGCACACGGTACTCAGAGTCATTCACCAGCAGCCGCTTACTGAAAGGAATTTAAAGTCTTTTATTTTGCAAACGAGTTCATGCTCCCAAAAGAGAAATCTATATACAACAGCAATAAGACAGAAAACATACACAATAAATGCAATGACCATTCATTGATCAGAATATGAATCAAACACGAGTTGAAGAGTGTCAGAGTCCAGACCCCGCAATCGAAGGCATCTTGGGAAAAGTTTCTTGTCAACTTCGTAGTGAATTCGGCTTGCGAGGTGCTGGCCAGCAACTAACGACTTGATGACGGCTGCGATTCGCCGTTGCTTGTGTACGTTGATGAGAGGTTCTAGGTTCATCGTGGCAGGAAGAGGAGCGAGAGCGGAGAAGGCCTCTGGGTGTGCTGGGGGGTCGAGAGTGGCAGAGATGGGGTCAAAACCAACGCCTTGGTTCGGGGCCGTAGGATCGATCAATGCGGGGAGCTTGTTGATCTTGTATAGTTGAGCTAGATAGATGCCTGCAAACGAGTCAATTCTTCGCTTCTACAACAATGCGTGGAAACGAAAACTCACCAAAGAAGGGCACGCAGGCCGTAGGAATGTGTGCTTTGTCTGTTGCAGCCTTGCCTTTACTTGATTGATCTGTGTTTCCTCCGCTGACAACCGAGGCAGCACGAGAGCCGTTTTCAAAGGGTTTAGACTCCACAATTGATTCTACCAGTTTTCGGATAAACTTGAACTCGTCCGCATTCGTCGTAAAGTCCTTCAGAATCTTGAATACCCGCGTCTCAAACGTGGGCACCTTGTTCCAACCCGCGCGTCGCATAGCCCTATTCACCCATTCGCTTTGGAGTGCAGTGATGATTGCTGTCAAGGTATTGAAACTACTCATCTCGTAACATTTCTGCACGAATTGACTTGTAATCCCAACCTCTAGAAGTGTTGAAAAGATAAACTCACCCAAGCAACTCTTAAAAACTTTGCAACCACATAATGTCGCTCAGCCGGCTGGGTGAGAACAATCTCCGAAATTACGAAGTGTGCCATCAAGTTGAACCGCGCACGAACGGCGGCAAGCGCGCTGGTCTTTTCAGGAAATTGTGATTCGGTCTTCCACTTGGCCCTGTCTTTTTGATACTGGGCCCAATCAAGCACACTGACCTCCTCACACGCCATCCAGTCGTCTGCAACAAGCTCTTCAAACTTAATCCCCATAAATAATTCCCGATCAATCATAGTGAAATGTTCTGCAAGAGTCGTGGTACGGCAGCTGAGAACAAAGGATTTGTGGATTCGTGGTGCATCTGGGTTTGCAAACTTGGAAGAAAGTGTCTCTGGACGGGAAGAGACGAGAGTAGTAGTCCCGGTCGCTGGAGAAGCGACTTGATCTGGGATAACCTCCGTAAGGACAACATCAAGGTCACGTTTACTGACGTCAGTAGATTGTGGAGGAGATCCTAATCCAGGAGGATGAGGAATCATGTGTGCAGATTGCGTGGGTATTGGGGTACGAGCAGAGTCAAATGCGCCGTCTTGGTCTTCTTCGTTTAGATCGTCGGGCACGATGATGGATGGTGTTGAATTTGAGAGATTGTGGACGCTCACGGATTCATGGCGATCTTCCTCATCATCCTCATTGGCATCATCCGCCACCTCCTCATCAGAATCAGAATCGGTGGGGAACCTCGGTTCTTCATTTGTATAGTCTCCTGCAGCCATCCTCTCCCTGATTGTCCGTACCCACCCATCTACCTTTGACGCTTTCTCCTGCAGCTTCTGCGGATTGATCTGCCCCTCTAACCTTCTAAGAGCATCATCAACGTCCCCCTGCCCATCATCGGTCAGCGAGTCAACTATAGCGTTGATCTGCCACTGTGCTAGGTTACCAAGACCTGCTGATGAAGGGTTTGAGCTCGAAGGCCCAGAAGCCATGGAGTTGTGAGAAACAATTCCCATTGAGGAAACCTCAGATCGTCTAACAAACTCGAAATCCCGGCGCATAGGAAGTTTTCGGGGAGTTCTTCGAAGACCCGGAGGTGCAGCAGGACCTGCTTCATGCACTTCTGAAGAGGAGTCTGACAAATCAAGATCATCGATTGAGACGACGTCAAACTGCCACTGTGATTGCGAAGGGGGAGAAAATGTTGAAGGGATTCCTGGTTGAAGTGGTTCCCCCAAAGAATCCGTTGACGATGAGTGAAATGATTCGGCCCTCTCGGACGAACGAACGATATCGTATTCTTCTTCTTCTTGCACTGGGGCTTGAGCTTCCGCCACATCCGTGACTAGAGGCTCTTGGTTTTGTGCTGAGATTGTTGAAGGTGTAGATTCTTCGTTGGACGCTTCGGATGGGGGTTCATAAGACTGGACTGGAGTGAGTGGAGAAGCAGATACCCGCTTTTCCGCCGGAATTACAGTAGGTACTGGAGAAGTCGCGGGGTTATACTGTTGGGACGATAAAACGGGTGGGAGGACTGGAGTTGTTGATGGCAAAGCTAGGGGAGTGTGTTTTGAAGAAGATTGTGGTCCGGCCGTACCAAGATACTGCTCCACACCACCATTGACGGTAAGTAAATCACGGGAAAGACTCAACTCTAGGTCGAACGCTGATGCTCCAGCACAAGCACTAATTGACGTACGCGCAGCGGATCGCGAGTTGAGTACACGTTTCCAGCGGCCCAGTCGTCCGATGGTCTTGACAAAAGCCCGAGATAGAGCGCTGTGATGACTCGGCAGTGGTACAGGGACTTGAACAACTTCGGCCTCAGGGCCTGGACCTGGGGCATGATCCGTTCTTTGTAAGATGTTAAACGACGATAGTGGCAGGGATGCAGGCCGAGTTGGAGACAGGGCACCACCAGCATGATGTCCAGCTGTCAAGTGAGCGTTGGCCGGGTCTGAGGTAGCCTCTTCTACACTGGCTTCGTCAGGTAGGAAGTCCAAGTCAAGGTCTGAATCTTCTTCCTTCTTTGATGTAGCCTCCGCGAACTGTTTGCCTAGTAGGTGGTCCTGTTTCTCAGAAGTTGTGGTAGCAGGTTTCGGTGGTGAATCTTGGGCTTTGGGTTTCGTACTAGCGCGAGTGTGTGCCTGTTTGCACTCCTTCGCTACTTTGACGAGACGCCGCACAATTCCCTAACGGTACAAAATAAGCGGAAGGAAAGATGGCATTGAGAAGGGAAGATTCTCACCAGTCCATCGATGTGCTTTTTTAAGACAGGATCACGGATCAAGGCATTCAGCCAATCAGCCATCAAAAGCCTGAGCTCCCTATTGGGTATGAAATCGACAGTGAAGAAGGTCAACAGCCAATAGCGGATGGCAACAAAGGTTCGGACACGAACAATCCGTCGAATGGTCTCGTCTTGTTGTGATGAGGGTTTCTGCAAAGCCCAATGGAACCGTGCTATAAGAAGATTACACAGATCAACAGCACAGACATAGGTCCGGTATGTCAAGAAAAAATCCAAAAGTTCGTCGTAGTTAAGGTCGCTTGTGAGCTGAGCTATCCATCGCTCAATCGTCGCTGCAAGGAGCACCCGTTGCGTATTTAACCCTGACGTAGATCTCAACGACTGAATTTCCTGTGACTTGACCTTGGAAACTTTACTACTCCTCCGCATCGACAGGCTCAGTGATCCAGACGGAGAGGATGCGTCGGTATTGAAACTATCGCGTGACGTCAAGTATTCTTCGTGATCCCACTCTGGAACAGCCTCACCCCAGATGACAAAACGCGGGTCATCTCGTGGAGCAGCAGACTGGTCTGCAGATGCAGATAGCTTAATGACGGTAGTTCCTTCTATACCTTCAGACAGTTTCTCTAGAAGTGGAAGGCCGCGATAGGTTTGTAGAACATCGAAAACGTCGGTTGGAAAGTCGTGTAAGATGGTTGACTCGGAAGGTTCATCAGCGTCGGCAGATGCTGACTGTTGAGGTTCTGCTGGCGATTCATGGTCTGCACTAAAAGATGACGTGGAAGCACGCAAGCGAATGGCAGAGGGAGGCCGGCTGACTTCCAGCTCAGGCGTTCCAGGTTCGGATGGTACAGGTGATAAGGACGAGTGGGAGTCAACTTGGCGAGCTGTCAGTCCAGACTCAAAGGAGTGCATTTCGCGGAGAAGGCGAGGCGCTGGTAGGAAATCAAACGCGGGTTTCGGCGAGGGGGCATTGAATGTTACACCTGCTCCAAAAGGTTGGGTGATAAAGGCACGGGCGGGATAATTGACGCCTTGTAGGACGTGAGGGTTTGCCGCCGAGAATAGACTATTTGTGGAAAGGCTCGTCGAGGTTGTAGAGGTCGCGGGGAACCATTCCATTACCTCTGCAAAAATGTCGACGGATCGGGAAGGAACTGCAACCAGTGCGGGAGGGGGCGGAAGATCGAATGTAGCAGAATATCTAGGGACATCAACGGCCGTAACGCTCTGGGAGTGCGCACGACCTGTTGACGGACGTCCATTTGGTTCAGAGGGATCACCTGAAGCGCTACCCATGTCGGGGATTGACCGCGTCTTCCGGAGCTTCCTCGGTCCCGAACTCTGATGCGAAGCCGCAGTTTGAGGTCTACTCAAAGAAGGGGCAGTGGTCTTGACAAACACAGACTGGGGAAGAAAATTCTGCATGCTCATACGAGAGCGGCGCTTCGTGCGAGGGGAATGTGAGGTCTCGCTAGAGGTTTTGATAATTCTTTCTTCTACCTCCGCTGCGGAGGCAGCTGGTGCGGAAAATAGTTCACGGTGACTGTAATTAGAGGAACTATCGTAAGGAACCGGTCATCCGTAGCAGGATCCAGACGTACCCAATCCGATACATCTGCTTTCCATGCTGATTCACAAACGCGGTGATGGTATAAGGAGACCTTGTAGACACACTCACGCCATAGCGCTGGTCATATCGCAGTTTAATCTCGCGTGCTGCCGGTCCAGAGGAAGTTTCGATGAAAGTCCCATCAGCTGTATTGATATGGCATACTGAGTCCTTGCGCTGTAGACGTAGGGTGAATACGTACGGGCGACGGCAAGGTCCGCAAATTCCATTTCCGCTGGTAACGGCCCTATACTCTCATCTTCGGCGTTGATGACGTCCGAAAGTGAGAATACATGTTGTGGCTTGTTGATAGAGGCTACTGGAAGTAAAAACTGGCCATTTTCACTCGAAGACGGGGATTGCAGTGGGCTGATTGACGAAGGCCCGCTTAAATGCTCTATTGGGGTTTCAATAATGGGTAGCCGATGAAAAGTCGTCTTTTGTGATGCGAGAGGGGTGTCAGGTCGTGAAGGGTCGTCGAAGTCGGATGGACCGAGGGGCGGTAGCGCAGCAGCCATGATTGTGATACAAGTGAGGAGCCAAGACTGTCAGGATGCAACTTTAGAAGAACATGCTCAGAACTGAGGAGACTGGTGATAAGAATACAGTCCTGGTAGCCACCAAGACGCGATGCGAGACTGGGATTTGGAGCTGTGAAGCCGTTGACGCAAGGTGGAGGATAGGAAAACAAAGTAGAACCAGGGAGACAATTTAAACAGCTACAATGGTATGAATTTGCGTAAAGGTGGTCGTCGTTGTCGTTGTCGTCGTCAATAATGGTGATCGGGTTCGGGGCATAACAGGCACAATACCCTTTATAAATTTACTTTCCCACATACACGTGGTAAATACGGTGGGTGTTCCTCTTACTCAAGTCTCACAAAGCTGAAAGTCTGTCATGATGAGGAGTCTCCCCTTTCTCCTTCATGGCGAGCAACTTGAATGTGGGCCAATCTACGCGATCAGGATACCATTTAGGACCCTCTGTATCGCTGGATTGCGGAGCTACCTTTGCCTTGGGCGAGTGTATTCTCGTCAGGATTCCCGATCCGATTCAGGTAGAAGGGTATGTTGAAAACGACGTTGGAACAAATCTCACACCCATTTCCACTGGATCAGGCCCTCAGCACTTTGCATTCATCTGCAATTTTCACCTCCAACTGGATGAGTCGCTTGTGCTTGATGTATACCCCGTCCTTCCCTTTTCCAATACTAGCGGAGGTCTTGCCACCGACAATAGAATGAATTATGCCACTGCTACAGCAGCACTCCTGCCTCTGTCATCCCGACACCCCACACCTGATACTTTTGGAAAACCACTTGATTTCGGAAACTGGTCAGCCACAAGCGATTCATTCCTCCATGTCTTTCCTACGCGGTTCACTATGCCTACGAAGAGATCAGTGAGTCTTTCATTGATGACTAGCAGTTTATTTTTGATTGCTATTGAACTCAGTTCAAACGAATGGATCCTCCCCTCTTAATGCCTTACTCAGTGTTGAGACGCATCGGGCATTACCGAGAATACTTGCTCTCAACCACAATCACTCAGAATAACGATGGAGATGAGCCAGGAAAATCTAACCTACCACACGGACGAACTGGTGACAGAGGAGGACAGGTGGCTTCTGGAGTGACATCAGTAACAAGCCCCCAAACCATTATTAGTGGTGGGGAGGGGGAGAGAGCAACTGGGGTGGGGCTAGAGCAATTTTCTGACAAGTTAGACTATGACTCTCTCCCGAGTGCTGAAGATGTTGATGAGGATGCAGATGATGGTGATGCTACCACGCTAGATGACCTTCTCTTGTTGGTGCATGACAACCCAACTTTGTGGATAGGGGAGCTTAAAAGATACTTGCAAGAAGAGAAGAGGGAGCAAGAACGGGTGCAGGATGAGCGTATGGCAAGATTGGCCTCTTGGCGGGAAGACGTAGCTATTTAACCTACCTAAAATAGAGGCATGGTTATAATTCCACCTAGAATCTTGTGCTTTGCAAAAGATACAATTTTCACACATGAATACAATTTTACTCCTCGCCCAATCCATTCCTTGCAGAAGCCTCATTAGTTTCCTTGTGCTCAAGCCTGCCAGAAAAGAAATGTCACGATCAATGGCCCCTAAGTATCGTACATTCTACAACGGCTACAACGGCTACAACGAGGGTGGGATTATTTTAACTACAAAACATGGTGGTAAGTACTATGATACAAGAGATGAGTGGATTGTAGTGTTACAATATATTCCTAAGCAGAGTTCAACGTTCATTCAAGGTCCCGTAACTGTATGTCGGAAAGAAAGCACCAGTGGTCGTAAGCATGGGCTCAAGCACGCGTCGTCGTGGAGCTATACTCCGTATTCCCCGTCGGCATAGGCTTCGGTGCATATCGCGGCAACGACTCAATAGGCTTCGAGATCAAAAACCCCTTCATCCCCGCCGCCTTCTCTCCCTGCCTACCAAACCCAAAGCCCGCTTTATCAGACGGCTTCTCATCCTTACCCCCTGACCCCGGCCACATATTCGACACAAACGAGGGCGGCGAAGAAGCCATGTTCACAACGGGGCGAATATCAACGCCGCCTACGTGTGTCGGCAGCGCGCTCTTCGCGTGTTCCCTCCAGGACGTCACAGACCGTTTGGACTTGGCGCCTTCCCGAAATATAAGGCCGAGGAGGACATTCAAGCACCCAATGGAGAAGAGAAAGAAGGCGGAGACGAGGGTGAATGTGTCCACGCGATGGGAGAGGACTGCAGCTCCGATCCTACGTCACAAAAGAAATGAATGTGAGTTTGAAGGAAAAAGGAAGGGAACATACAGCATTTGAATAAGACCCAACGCGCCGAGACCAAAGTTCTTTCCAAGGACAGGGAAATAGCGGGTGAAGAAAGCAGAGGGGAACCCAAACTCTGAAAAGATGAGCACAACCGTCTGTCCGATGATGAACAGACGATTGAGGACAGCCCAAAAAGCGCCGGCTGGTTGGTTCGGCACGCTGCTTGACCTGGTAGACATAAATTATACGAACAAAGGAAAGCACAAAGAAACGCACAAAATGTAATCAGAGTTCATCATGACTTCCATCGTAGCATTGGGAGCTTGGCCACTTGACGTGACCGTCCTCCCCTCTGCGAGGAACGTGTTGACTGCTTGAATGTCATGAACGAGCGTAACAATGTTGCTTGCGAATACGAGAATAAGCGCGATGATGCTGAGGATGCGTACGCCGTTAAGGCCGATGAATACATCTGTTTTTGCACAAAGGTGAGTTGTCAATGATTTTGAGCGAGTCGAAAGAAGACGCACAAGCGCGAGGAGGGAGCATCATGATTGCGAGGATGATAAACGTTGAAGTATTAGTGAAAGACTGTGTCGTGAACGCGTTCTGTCGGTCTTGAGGTGAATAAAGTCGCTATCGAAGCGTAAAGTGAAGATTGTATGGCACCAGCGCCAACGGAGAAGAAACGTAAAAGAAGGAGAGGCTGGGGAAAGGACGTTCAAGTCGTCTGTGCGAACTTGGTGAGAAAGAATAAGAGTCGACGGTGTTTATGTATCCAAGCCCTGTTGCTTGGCTGCATCGTGTCCGGCTGTCCATTGTAGTCGAAAGTAAGCGCCATTGTTCCCATTGTTTGTGTCACACTTCAAGTCACGGACGTAACCACTAAGTATTTACAGAACAAGGAGTCGGCTTTGCCTTTTGCGTTCAAATCCAGGGTTGCATATTAGGTTCATAATCATGTAAGGGTCCTTAAAAACGACGAAATCTCGTGTAAGTACAATGTCCCGCAAAAGAAAGAAAGAGAGGAGGCGGAGGATAGAACAAAGACAAAAAAGCGTCAAGGTATGGAATGGTATCAAAGGGAATCGAAAAACGCCTGTCAACCAAAATGAAGTAAAGTTATGCAACCAACCTACGCGCCAGGTAACGGCGGAACGGGAGGAAGCTGCTGGTTGCCTTGCCGACTGGCTGAGGGTCGCTTGAGTTTTCGTTCCTCGAGTTCCTTCGCACGAGCCTCTTGCTCTGCTTGCATCGCCGTCACGATCTGCAGCTGCTGAGCGATGAATTCAGATGTTCTGGGTCTAGAAAACATGGGCGTCAGCTACGTTCGTAGTTAATGACATCACCAACGTACCTCATTCTCAATATTCGCATGATCGTCTGCTCACTCGTGACGTCCGCCTCCTGCTGCTTTTCCTTCTTGCGCTCCTTAATTGTCCCAAGGTTTCGTTGAGCATACACACTCTTGGCGCGTTTCTTCATGCTCGGTGCTGAGCGAAGACTCTGTTGCATCATTCTCACGCACTCTTCCATGAGCGCATCCCTAGATGTCTCCAGTTGAGACCGTATCAAACCAAAATAAGAAAGCAAACGTACGTGTGCCAGTCATAATAGAGCCGGATGGAAAGAATATCACGGTACTTCTGGTTTTGGAGGACCTCTTGCGGTACTGGACCCTCTCCGTTGGCGTAGAAGTAGTCACGCAGAAACTTAAACAAGCAGTCAGTCAAGGCGGCCAAGAACCAAAAAAAAAAAAGGCAACGTACCTTCAACCACTTGAACACAATATCCACCTCCTTGTCACTAAGAGGCTTCATATCGCTCGACGCATCACTCAATGGCGGTATCAACAACCCCTCCACAATATTCAAAATCTCCTTCCAAACCCTCGTCATAACCATCTCCTTCGCCGTATCACTCAGATACGTATTGAGAGTTTGGAGGTTCGCATCAAAGTAGTCGAATAGTGGTAATATCGCCTGTTCAATTTCCACATCAGTCAACTCGTCCGGTCGCACGCGAGGCTTCTCCATTTGTGGCAGAGGGATTTGCGGTTCAGCGGTCGTCGTGCCAATGGCCGAACGGTAGAGTGCCGTGACGTTCCCAAGGGCTTTATTATAGTCCAGTCCTTGGTCGCGAGATTTTATCAAAGTTTTGACAACGTTTCTAGACAGACATTGTTGGATGAAGGGTGACATCTACTCAGTCCGTCAGCGCTACGAACAAATTGTTTCAAAGAAAAAAACGATGACCTTGTCAATGAAGATGCGCAACATGTCAGCTTCGGCTCTCTTGAGGGACCTGAAGGCTCTGCCGAAGAAAAATTGGATATCGTCCTTCTCACCCTCCATACTGACACGCGCCAATACGCGACCTTGCGTATCTAGATCCATCCACAATTCGTGCGCAAGGAAGTCTCCAAACCGCCGTGGGTCTAAGCACAGGTATGCTCTTCCAATAGTGTCGTGCTTTCCAATGAGTGCGCGATCACGCACACTCACCATCAACCATAAAGGCTTGTCCACTGAAAGATCGAAAGTCTCGTCCCCTATAAAAGAAACAATGTGAACACAGAGAAAAGGAAAAGGAACTCTAACGCACATCTAGGATTCAACGACTCATAGATCGTCCTCGTCTTGGCAAGCCTCGTCCCCGCCTCATCACTCAACGTCACAAATGTATCCAACTTTGAGCTGGGACTACTGTCTAACGGCACCAGGCCCTCCGCAATAACGATCTTGACCGAAAACAAAAATCTATCCCTCTCCACTTTCTGTGGTACTGGAGGGGCCGTATTTCGCAACACATCAGCCTTCTTGTCTGCTTGCATCTGGTTGTACATGTTATCTAACAGCTTGCGCGCAGCTTCGACGTTGTTCAGTTTTACGCACGACTCGGCGCGGAAGTTGAATGGCTCGACCCGTTTTTCACCAGTAATAGCCAGTTGTCGGGCCTTTTCGAGCCAAGCAGAAGACTTTTGAGGCTGCATGTAGTCTGTCGGACGGGGGAACATCTCGGTAAGGAACAGTGCTTCGATGTTACGGCAGTATTGATCAACGGCTTTTGACACGGTCTACAAACAGTTAGTCAATGTCACCAAGTAGATAAGCCTCAGTACCTTTGAGAGACTTGTGAAAAACCTGGCTTCTTGATAGTCGTCTTCCCACTCGAGTTCTTCCAAAAAGTTTATGGGACTTCGAAGGGAGTCGAAAAGATCGACGATAGAGGAACTGTGACCTTCAGTTCCCTCTGCTTCGAACTACAATAGCAAAGCGAATCAAAGGCCTGAGCAGCAGAAAGAAAAGAGTGATTACCTTGTCGGCAGCAATCGCCTGCCGAGCTGTTTAGCACCGTCGTATAACCGAAAATGAGGCAAGTTGACTCACAGCTTCCACCCAGTTCCCTGTCTTACTATCGGTGTTGATTAACCATTGACGGACGTACGGTTCGAAAAAGGCAGTGATTTCGAACGTATATGTTCCCCTGTTATATGACCTTAGTAGATCCCGAGGCTGATATGTACAACACTTACTCTGGCACAAAGGCTTTGTACATCCCCAAAATAGTCTTCGAACGTCGATACAAAGCAAATATGTCTTGGATTGGCACATCTGGTGTCGGGCCATTCATAGATGATTCAAACAGGCGTTTCTGCGAATTCTGGATGTCCGTAACTAGATGTGGTACCGCCGTTTCCACAAAAAGCGACACAAAATCCAATTGCCTGGGCTTTTGGGTCAATAGAAGCAAGCAGAATTCAAGAGTCCAACATACCCGAGGAGGGGTTCCGGGAATCTTTTATCTAGTAACTTCGCCGCCTTCTCGATTTCGTCCGTCATGAGTAGCAGGGGCAATGCACGGTTGACGCCAGGAGCTGAAGTGAATTCCTGGATTTTCACTTCATACCAATGTGCTGATACTTGTCGAACACGTTCCTGGACATCGTGAATTCGCGCCCCAATATCAACATTGAACCGCTCAAGCAGACCACTGTCTCGGACATGCTCGAGGACCGTCAAAAATGACTGTATCTCTGAGATCTTCAGATTGGGAATATTGTCCATGCTGTGGTAAAGAGAGGAAAGGAAGATGTTGAAAAGGCCAGCATAGATACCGGAAAGGTAGTCGACCTGGAACAGCCTCAGAATAAAGTGTGGTTACTTGCCATTGTTAGACTTACATCTTGCACTGGCCAGCATTCCAACTCATTCTCCTGTATGACCTTCGTTACGTTCTGCAGCGCCTCGGGTATACACTCCATCGGCACATCGTTCCGTTCGTAAAACTGTTTGACTAGATCTAAGAAACAAGCAGCGCGGTATGGGTGACCTATTCGCCATCGCAATGCGCATTCATTGATGAGCTGGATGTGTGGTGGCGACAAGATACCAGATGACAGACCTACTCGCCACCGAAGTGCGCATTCATTTATAAGCTCGATATGTGGTGGGGACAAGATGCCAAGTGACACTTCATCATTGTCGTCCACCTCAGGGCTCAACATGACTTCCAAATCAGCCACGAGGCAGAATTCCACAAGTCGTTTGTAATATCTCTTGGGGTTTGGAGGGATGAAGGTGAATTGTTGGCCGGTTGGGACATCATCGTCTACGTCAGGATCATCGTTGGAGTCGCCAGGCACGCCGAACATCGACCGCCGACTACTGACGGATGCATGCCTTGACGCACCAGCGCCAGGTGAGTCCACACCGTTGTAAACCGACCCTGGGCGGCCAAGGTCTGGGGATGGTAGGACATCAGAAGGGGTGGATTTCGCTAGCTCTGGGTTGAGTTGCGCCATGATTACCATCAACTGCTGGAGATGTGTTGCCTCAGATGTTTTCCAATGGTGCCAGGCAGCCTCAGTTTCAAATTCTTCCCGGCGTCCCGGAAATGGAGCTCCAGCATTAAGATTTTTGAGGCATGTCTAAACACAAGAAGTCAGTGGCCAGTATGGTTGGGATCTGAATAACGACCTTCAGATCTGTCATTGCAGCCTGAAAAGCTGTTTCAGTTTTCTTGCTACCTAAGGTCGAAGATCAACTCACCTTTTCCGAGACAATCTGACTCCGAAGTTGGTCGACCTCAGCCTGTATGGCATGCTCCGGTACTTTGAACAACGCTGCAACGGTTTTCACGAGTTGCATATCAGCTACGTTTGTGCTGGTCGACGGAATCGTCACTGAATCACGATCTCTCGATGTCGATGCAGAGTCATAGCCGGAATCACTATTCGTGTAACCTTGATTCAACGTCGGGGCCAGCTTCGCGGTGTAGGTATCCAAACGTGAAAGCAACTCCTGAGAAACATGGTTCACATTGCGAAGGCACTCCCTCAACAGCTTGATAAATTGCGCAATTTGATTGTTGAGTTCAAACTTCCAGCCCTCGCCTGCCAACGAAGGCTCTTTCTTGAGCACCCCTGTGGCATGTGTTGCAAACATCAGAATGAGTTCCTCAATTTTGCGGTTCTCCTTCATCTGTCGCTTGAAGCTGTCCACCATAAACTGGCCGTAGAATTTAGCCATCGTCCGACGGACAAGTTGGTCCGAGTAACTTCACCCTGACATCAGTATGCTTGGCACGCAAGGCAACAGCGAGACACGTACGCCGAATCTTTCCCCATTGCGATATCCTGCAACCTCTGCTCGAGAACCTTCATCAATTTCTCTGGAAATTTGACGCTTTTCGAGCCGTCTCTAACGTCTCTAAACATGTCTCCGATTGAGAAGTTTGAGAGTGCGGAGAGCCGAGATATATGTTCACGTTCCCGGACATCGTTTGAGAGGACCTTGGGAGCTACTTCTACAACCTTTGGTAAGAGGAGGTAGCCTAGGATGCTGAGGGTGGAGTTGAATGGACGGGTGAGGATCAGATTGGATGGAAACGCGCTCACGCTACTCGGATAACATAGCTATACGAACAGACATATATAGTTAGTCTCCTTGTTACAAAAAATCCATTGGAAGACGCACTCGAAAAGCTCATCGTCACTGACCCTGTACTTGGACAATCGCTTCTCATGGGCAACACTATTATAGCTCCGCTGTGACATCAGCTCTCTGAAATGAAAATTGGTCGTAAATCGTGCGTATAGAGTTGGGTTGTCGTTATTTCGAGTATAAGGACCTTTCCCACGGTCGAGACGGTGGTATGAAGGAGAGTTGAATGGAGGGCGATGTCTTGTCCGGGTCAGGGAGCCCGCCTCTCGCACGCAGTACGCGCTTACCAAGCAGCAACAAATAAATCGAGAACAAATCCACATAAAATTATGTACTTTATTACAGTTCATCGTGTCCCTGCTCTTCCAAGGGAATTTGTCTATACTCGTCCTCAACCTGACCATCCTCGACAACTTCCTCTGCGGCTTCTGTAGCTTTAGCTTCCGCGGTCGTCGTTGTCGGTTTAGGCTTCCTCTTCGGCACCTTCCTCTTCCACAGCTTGTGCAGATGGGTCTCCAGGACCTTAGCCCGCGCCTTCATCTCCGTCGTCTCGATCACAGGATCCTCATGGGGCTTTACGCTCTTCTGCTTTTCCACCCATTCGCTCAACCAGGACTCATGCTCGCGCAGAGTTTTCTCTAGCCCATCAAGTTCTTCCTTTGTCCACTTCGATGGCAAATCCTCCGCGGCTTCCTTCGTTAAGTTTTGCCGAGCCTCCGTGAGGAAGAGTCGAGTGCTCCAATTCCACATCTGGCTATTGTTCAACGCCTGTGGGAATGCTTCTATCTCGGTATAGCGGTGAATGATCGGCCATTCAAGGGTTCTGGTAACGGCAATAAGAAACCATTTTCAAAATGTGTGAAAGTTGGACTCACTCCAAAGACATGCGTTTCTCAAGGAATTGAGAGGTCTCTGCTAAGTCACCTCGATCGTGCAACCAAGCAAAAAGTTCGTCCAGTTTATCGGCAATAGATTGCCTCTCTGACTGTTGTGAACATTTTTTGAACGGGGTCTGCTTGTTCTCGTCATCAAGAAGATCGCGAAGTTTATAAAGGTAAGTCTCAAAGGTATTCCTCGCTTCCTCCTTGCGATTCTTGGCTACTTCATCTGCATCCAAGGCTCGTAGCCTAGAAGATCATGTTGAGACAAATTCTGATTAGTAATTTGTATCAACATACCTGCTGCGGGCAGCCCTCTTCTCGGCCACTGTCATGGGTGCAATCGTAGTGAAACCGGTAGAAACATTTAGAGAGATGGTGTTCTCGACTAGAGCAGGTTTCTTGTCGGCATCAGATGGAGATGGAGACGCAGCAGACGTCGTCTCTGTATCGCGAGGGGGGGCATGCTCAGCCGATTCAGTAGCTGTGTCTGGAGATTCGCTACTTCCGCCAAAGAAACCTTTCAATTTGCCTACACGGTTATTGAGAACGGCCCAAAACAAGTGTTGGTAGAGGGAACCAACCTGCAATGCTCTCGTCCTTTATCTCTCCAAAGGCAATAGCATCAGAAATTGAGACAAAGCCCGACTCCGACAGTGTCAATGTGGCTTTCACGACAGGGTCAACTGCGCCTCGCTCAGTCAAGTTGCCAATAGCCTCTTCGACACCCATTATTTCGGCTTCCAACATGCGGGTGGGGAATCCTCTACGTATCTGATGATTCAATAACAACTCATCATAAAACGCATCGAAGACTCACGGGGCAACAGCGGTCTTATAATCCAAGCTAATTATGAAGTCTTCCTTCCGTTTAAAGGTTAGGATCTTTTTGGTTCCAACCTTGGATCCGGCAGGGAACACCAGTGAAGTGATGGTTCGAGGCCTGCTTGTAGAAGTCGTAGAGGCAGCCAAGTAGGATGCTTGAATATCGTGAACGGAGATGTCCGACACCTTTATGTTCTTGGTCTTAAACTGTCGGCTTAGACCAGCACCATGAAGGGCGGCACCCAGAACTGCCGCTTCATCACCATTCACGTTGAGAGCAATCTTATTCCTAAGAAGAATCTTCAGGAGGACGAGTCGAGAGTAAGAACAGACACATACCCTCCAACAGCGGCTTTCACTGAAGCCCGGATCATGGGCGTCCGAGAACTTCCACCAGTAAGAATGACGGATTTAATTTCATCCTGGGAGACAGAATGAGAAGATTAACATTTACGAATCGATGAACTCACTATTGTCAACCCAGCGTTGTGGAGGGCATCGTGAATGGGCTGGGCAAATATGGGTTTGAGATCTTCGCATGCGGCTTCAAAGATGCCTCGATTGATTGTTTCTCGGAAATCGATATCCCATGCCAAGCTCTCGACAATCGCAGTAGCTTCAGTATTGGCACTCAGGATACCCTTCACCCGGTTTGTTTCCTTCCAAAGCTTCGCCATACCCTTCTTATCCTCTCTGAGATTCTTCTTGTACTTCCCATTGAATTTTTCTATAAAAATCTCCCGCAGACGCCTGTCCAGCTCTGTCCCTCCAACCGTGCGGTCATATCCTACCCCAGCAACCGCAATGCTCGTACCAGCAACGCCGGTCTTCGCATCCGTGGAAGTAGAAAAGGAAACGACAGTCGCCCGAATGGAAGAAGCACCTGCATCGTAAATGATGTGATATTCCGGCGTTGGGAACGAGCGTGTCATGGCGTAGTTGACGGCGACAGCGGTACCATCGTTGATAAGAGCAAGAGTCCGTAGGCCTGAAATCTCAATGGCGTCCACAACGGCGTCACGCTCGAACTGGGAGTAGTACGGAGGAACGGTGACAATGACATCGCGGACCTTTTCGTTCCCGACCGCCTCAGCTAGTTGCTTGACGTATGCAAATTGCATTGCAATGAGCTCCTCCGTACTCCACTCTGTGCCATCGCTTTGCTTGAGTGCAACAGTACCTCTGTGCGTGGGGATGATATTTGCAGTCGATATTTTGGTGTAGTAGGACACTGCTTCTGAATCGAATGGGGCGGCTTGTAGATATTTGACAGAAGAAAAAGAGTCGGAAGGAAACCTAGAAGCCTAAGAAGGGACAAAGAATTTAACAAAGTACTAAATCAGAAAGGCAGAGTTGACACACCAGATTCAAAGCATCCTGGCCAAACAGCCTGTCAGTCTTTTTCCATGCCACCGTAGACTGTATCTTCCGCCTCGAGTCCTTGTTCAGCAGAACATCAAAGGGCACGCCTGGCTTCATCAAAGAGGCCTTCATAAATTCGGTACCATAGTCGATTGCCAGCACTGAAGCGAGTGTTGATTGGGGTATAAACGCGAGAAGCGACAAAAGGCCCCAACAGGGAAGGAGCCGCATATCAATTAATGTGAGAGATTAAAGAGATGATGGGTGTAGGATGTCAGTCGTGTCCGCCGAGCATCTAAGTGTTGCTCAAGAAATATTTGCTGCTGTCGTGGCGGACACGTCAAAATATACATCAATCACATGATCATGATCGAAAGTTCCAAGAATCCAAGATATATCGCAGAATTTCCTTCATATACTGACGGTCACCGGTCTAATCTTCAGAAGAGACGAATTAAGTGCACATTTGAACGCGCTGAAGGGCTGCGTCAAGGCAGTACCAAGTATAGATTAGGGTTAGTAAAGCGTGCTTCAGATATTCATAAATGACCCTCTCCTCGTCCCAACCACCTTGTACCCCCTTGGCGCCTTCCTTAGCTGCCTCTGCTGCTGCTTCGTAAGCACAAGATGCTCCGGCACGTTTTCCACCTCAAGCAACTCCTTCAACTTCAGAATCTTTCCAGCAGTCTCAGGCGAATGTCGGTGGTACACAGTCTGGAATCGTCGATGAATACCGAGAGAAACGACGGTCCCTTTGATTTTCTCGCCAAGAGAGATGGCAGACCGACGCATCGTTATTTTGAAATGCGTATTTGGTGGTGGCGACTCAGGGGAAGAAGTCGTTGGTGGTACTGAGGAGGATGAAGGTGCTGCCTGTTGAGCGGTGGTCACCATGCTCCGTACCATTGGTCTGCTGAAATGAACGCGACGTGAAATGATGGATGCCATGACTGGCTGGAATAATTGGTGAAATACTGACTCGCGGACAGGCAAATCTTCCAACATACCTTTGCTGCACTTAGCAGTCGGAGGTCAAGAATTGGTAAACATGAACACACATTCAGGAAAAGAACCCCACAGTAGAAATTTCCTGATCACCAACAGACAATTGACAGACTTCAACGAGGCAGGACATCTCAAAGAATTGGTTGGAGAGCCGAGATCTACGTAACCTCTGAGATTGTTATTTACACATTTGGTTTGGATACAGTATGTGAATATGGGTTGAGTCTGACTTTTGAATGACACATTCTGCCGCTGATAAAATGGAGAGAGAAAGAGAGAAGAATTGGGGGGTGGGGCTTGTACTGTATGTTACGTGTGAAATGAGGTTCCAAACTGATGACACTGAAAACCCAACGAGCAGGGAGAGTTAGGATGCAAGGAGGGGGAAACTTAAATGAACTTGAGAGTAGTAAAATTGGAACAAAAAAAAAGAAAGACAGGAGAGGGGATGCGTGATACAGGAAATATGTGATCGTCGTGAGATTGGAATAAGCCAAAGGGAACATGAGAGTGTATCGTGAGCGGACGCCCATAGTCCGTCGTCTAGTACATGCATTCGTAATAATGTGCCTCCTTCAGAGGGCGGTGGGACAAGCTAAGACTGAAAAGTGTAGATTGCATGCATGCGATGATTGAGAGGCAGAAGAATGGGAAGAGAGAGAAATGAACGAGAGGATCTGGGGAAATCAAGAAAATGAAAGGAATTGGGGCTCCTCTACTGCGTGGCGCTTTTCACCATCTAAAGACGATTTTAGATTGGCTGGAAAGGTCAATCAGATATGCGTACCTCGCGAGCCCAGCGCATGGTCTTCTTTGTCTCAGGGGGCATACGGTGTTTGGATCGGAGCTCAGCAACAACCCATTGAGAAAGCAGAAGCTGTTTAAGCTGTCCATCGGGGAACGAATCGGCTAGATCACCAAGAAGACCATAAGATAACCTCATCACCGAGTCCGTTCGTTCTTCGTCGCTTAGACAGCGGTGGATCAACTCTAGAATGTGCTGAGAGTGGGGAAGTAGAAGAGATGCTGAAGAAGAGGATATCAGCAAGAGAATCGCATCGTAGAAAGAATTACATACCTTTTTCAGTCTTCTTCAGGCCTGTAACGATGCCAGTGTATGCTTCAAGAATGCCCTCACGAAGCTGGCTAACATAATCCACGAGGTCGTAGTCAAGCTGGAAGGGGTGTTAGGGAAAAGACAACAAGAATAAGACGCAGCATACAGGATTAGGTTCAACACCGCCAGCTTGTCGCAACACACCCATCGTCGTGTCCAAATATGGCTCGAAAGCCGGACCAATAGCCAGAGCAATGTCGCCAAAGCAGGATAGAATGGAGATCTTGACGTTCCGGTTCAGCACCTCGCTCTGCAGGTTCTCCAACAGCACGGTCATGAAGGGACCAGCATATTGGGCACTTTGGTCTCCGAGAGCACGGGAGATGTCGCCGATGATGCCGACCGCGACCGTGCAGAGTTGAGTGTCTTCATGGGCTTTGAGAGCGGGGTATAGGAATGGCAAAAATGCTGAGATATACGGCGCAAAGTTGGTCTCAAGTGCTGGACGATAATCATGAGGCAATTAATGATAGGATAGAATGAACAATACTCACCCGAAGCAAGGGATCCAACTACGAGGAAGGCATCCTCAAGAACAGTTGACGTCTTACCCGCTGCTTGGATGAGCTGGAGAATGAGAGTCATGATGCGGTCGGCAAGAGGCTGAATGCCATTGTTGAGTTTGCGAATGACACACTGAAAATGAAATTGAACATAGCAGAGACACTCATGAGTGTAAGACATACGATGACAACAGAGCAGAAGTTGCTTTGCAACTCGTTCCAGTTATTCCGGTCATCAACCCCGAGAATTTGGTTCTGCATGTTCAAAAGATGTTCCATCCGCTGCAAAATTGTGACCACGGTGCTCTGCACAACAGTGATAGCGTCGGGTGTTGCCTGGGTAAGGTAAGATGTGATGGCTTCGTATGCAGCCGTTCTGTAATTGGCCTCATTGCCGCCGCTATTCAAAAGATTTAGAACTCCTCTCAAGCAGCAAAAATAAACGGACGAACCTCTCCGTAACACGGAGCAATGCTTGCACAACGCCCTCGTAGTATCGCGACAGAGGTCCACTCTGAGCAACCTCTGCTCCGTCATCCTCATAGTACGTGCCAAGTTGGTCGGCGAGATTCATCAGCGCCCAGCAGCAGTTGGCCACAATACGGGGGCTGTCTGTGAGGCCATTGACCAAAGCCGAGATAAGTGGGTGGAGATGAATATCAGGCTTGATTGTTGAAATTAGGAGATCACAAATTCTCCCTAGAGTCCAAGCAGTCGTGTCCTTGACATGAATATTGCCATCTGTCATCATGTTGATAAGTAGCGGTAAGGCTTGGTTGACAAGGGGCGTGAGGACGGCAGGATCTGGGCCTTCGAGGATTGAACCAAACGTCATGACAGCAGCTTCACGATTGTGCCAATCTTCCGACTTGATGTGCGCCTCGATGAAAGGAATAACAGCTGGCACGATGGCATCCTGCACAGCGCCGGCGAGAAGGGAGAGGCAGGTACCAGCAGCCATGGAGACGTTCCACTCATCATCATCCGCATCCTCTTCCTGTTTAGTGAGCAGGAGCAAAAGGACGGGGACAATCTCAGGAAGGGCAATCTTGGCAAAATATCGTGATTCCGTCTCCGGTGTCTCACCGTATTCCTGAGCCTGGCATCGAGGTTAATTAGGATTCACTTCGCATCCAAGATGGAACGAACCTCCTGAGCCTCGATAGCCAAGTCAACCTCCTCCTCGCAAACTGTCGACCAGAACTCAACAGCCTGGAGGGCAACTCGCTCGTCGGCGTGCTTCATCCCAACAACAGTCAACTGGAAGAGATATTACTTGAGAACAACGATTGAAGGATAGGGAACGTACGCCGAAGAGTGCTTGCTCCATGTACAAAGCCATCTTATCGTAGTAGAGACCCATGATTCGGACGAGGCACTCAAAGGAAGCAACCTGAACGGCTACCGACTGATTTTGTGTGGCCTCACAAACAACTTGCATGATGTAGTTCCTCTCGCCCTAAAGAAAATCTATGAGGATTGGTAGATAGGGAGTGGACCAGCATCTTACCTCTCTCTCGAAGTTCTCGCGGATAAACTCAAGGGAGTTGTACAATGCATGAATCGCAGCTAACTGAACCTCTGGTGAAGGCTCTTCTTTGCGTGCTCCATGGATGACAGCCGTGAGTATCTCATTGGAACGAAGGCTCAAAATCTCCGGTTTCTGGTAAATAATCAATGAATGGGATAACATCCTCAAAAAATGACTCGAAGCCTTACAATGGCCTCGCAAATGAAACCGATGGTTTGCAGTGTTGCGATCTTGAGGTTTGCGTTTGGCTGAGTATTCACAAAGCCAAGGAGAATTTCAATTAGATCGGGCCATTGTCCTTCGGGGAGCTCTACAGCAGCAATAGCAGCGACGACCTGAGATGCGAAGTTACCAGCCTTCTGCTGTGCGGAGCCGAGAGTGATAAGGGCATCCTGTTTGATCTTGGCCTTGGTATCGGTGTTAAGAGAAAGCCACCTATGAGTAAACTCAGACTGCCGTGCGCTTTCCTAGAGATCGTTGGACAAGTCAGAAAAAAAAATGTTTCTGAAAGGAAAAGGAGGGCGTCTTACCCGAGCGGACAGGGCATTCTTCAAAGCGAGACCTGCAGCGTTACGCACGTGTAGGGGTGTATTCTCGTTTACAAGAACGGATGAGAGCATCAGCATGTATTCAGGCTACATTGATTGAAGGGGAGTCAGCGGTGTAGGAAGGGGTTGTAGGGCATGCGCACATAGCTGTCTCGAGCGGCTGTCTCGAGTTTTTGAGTGGCATCTTGACGCGTATTGGCATCTTGGAAGCAAGAACAGGAGAAATTGAGAGGAGTCCAGGTGAGAACGCGCAAAAAGGAGCAGCATACCGGCAGAGAGGGTATTTGCGAGAAGGTCCGTAGCGTTCATTGTGCAGAAGACTGTGCCTCCTGACGAATTACTGGATTAAATGTAGGCAGGTAAACGGATGTCTATGTGTTTTCTGTGCGATATCCGCGTGGTGAGGGGAAGAGAACTCTGAATTGTGTGAACTCTGAAGGAAGGGCGTGATGCTTTGGCGGCAAAGGGCAAGTGGACGACAACAGTGCTGAAATTTAATTTTCATAACACACACAACTTCAACTCATTCCTTTCTCTTTTACGTTTATAAATCTCAAATCATGGCAGATCGGGTCCGTGTTCTGCTTTTCTTTCACTCCCTTTTCACTTCAACTGATTCTCTAGGGTCGCGGTATAGCTCGAGGCGGTAGGGGAGGTCCTGGTGCCATCAGAGGCCGCTCAGCCGGTCCGCAGGGATCCCAGCCACCTATAGATAAGCCAAAACGAGAGGCTATCCTCGACCTCTCAAAATACGTGAACGAGAAAATCAGAGTCAAGTTCACTGGCGGAAGAGAAGGTCCGTATCAAAGTCCCAATCTGATAGTGTGGGTGCTAACCTCTCTACAGTTACTGGTATTCTGAAAGGGTACGACCAACTACTTAACCTTGTGCTTGATGAAGTAGAGGAGGAAGCCTCCGGCAAGTCGCTCTCTATCATCTTAACAATGATGTGCGTTTCCCTAACGAAAACTTTACAATTGGATAGAAACAAGCCCGAAACCCCGCCAATTGGGTCTCGTTGTACTACGAGGTCCAACAATAACAATCCTGAGCCCTGTCGACGGGTCAGAAGAAATTGCCAATCCCTTCTTGGCGCAAGAATAAAGGCGACTTGAGGAACTCTTGTTCTTGCCCTTCTATTTCCACGGTCAACTTGTGAATTTGATTATGATGGTTGTATGATAATATTCCCCTGACGCTTATAATTAGTTGTTCCAACTTTCTTTCATTGAGCGGGCAGTGCTATGGTCTATAATGGTACTGCGTAGGCTCCGACACCGATTACATGAAATCCAATTGATGAAGCAAAGCGGACGAGTGTGTGGGCGGTGGTCAGTCTACTAATAATGCTGTGATATAGTGTATCGAAGATGTGAGACGACAAGATCTATCCGTTATGACTTTTTCCGTCTCCGTCTTTTACGACGGAGTACCACACGACAGTTGCTCTGACGGGCGTCAAGTATATGCGATCCCAGGTTTTATGCACAGATTTCCCTATGGGATGTATAGAGTAGCTGCATCACCATCGAGGTAGCGTCTGCACGGCGGTAGCGCAACAACAGTTGATTCTTGTTAAATCTCTGCCGAATCTTCTGTTTTCTCAATGCGGACTTCATAGCCAGGAGCTGTTAACCGGGGCATATGTTCCACATATGCAACATTGTCGTTGAGTGCAGAGAAGGTTGTGGGGAATCCCAAATCACTGTCGTCTTTTTGTTTCAGTGGAACAGCGGTTGGCGGCGGGGACGGCGAGTGGGGTGACGGAGATCTTGAAATGGATGTTGAATATCCCGCAGACGACGGCGTCGGAGAGCTGCCATTGGAATTGGAAGCAGACGGTTGCGGCGAAACCGCATTGGGCGTGGGGAGCCCTTTCCCAGGTACAGAATCGGGCGCCAGGGGTGGTGAAGGGGACCGGGAGCGAGACCCAGCCGGATGAGTCACCGATATCAGGGGTGAACTATTCTGCAGGGGCTGCGGCGAAAATTTGGCGGCATGTGGGGGAGGGGTAGGAGCCGTGACGGTGGCAATTGAATGAGAATGCGAATGTGATGGAGAACAAGAGGTGGGCGTTGGCGTACCCGGGCCTGTTGATGATTGGCCAGCAGAGGTCAGACCAACTGAAACGCGAGGATTTGTCGATGACAAAGCTGGCGGCAAGTTAGAGGGAAATATGTCGTGAGGAACCTGACCAGTACGGTGAGGATGATGGGACTGATAATGTGACAGGAAAGACGAATGTGATCCAGGACTCGGGTATAGAACAGTAGGACGAGGCGATCGGGTAGTAGCAGTTTGATAATATACATTCGAAGGATCGTTAAAGTGAGATTCCATGGGAGATTCAGGTGATGGCGGGAGAGGAGTGGCAGCAGCTAACGGTGTGTGCACTGTCCAATTCGGGTTTCTCAAAGTTCGAGGGAGTCCCGATATTGAACGCCTCGCATATTCAGAATGTGATGAGGATGGAATAAAATCTTGTGGGCCGCGAAAAAGAGGAGCAGGAGGGGATGCTTGAGCTTTGTCAGTAGATCTTGGGCGGGGTCGGTTGGAAACCAACGACCTTAAAGATGAGCCCACGGGCAAATTTTCACCATTCCCTTGCGGTCGCATTGTATCGTGCGTGTACCAGGAGGGTCTGCGCATTGGTGCCGCATTTCCCGCAAACCCTTCTGTGTAAGACCTCACCGATGTGATATCGTCTGACTCAGCAGCGTCCGAACGGTCTTCGTCAGTGAAAACCTCGCTGTTGCTTTCCGAGGAATTGTATGCCGCCGCATTCTCTCTTTTCTCCCTGGCCTCTGTGGAAGACGTGGCGATTTCCAGTCCCTTGCCCAACTGACTTTCGAACAACGTGTGATCCACTGATGGCGCCTCAGGTGGAGGAGGACTCGTCCATTTTCCTCGCTTAGGAGCCATATGCTCAGGCGGAGGACGTTGCGAAACTTGTTGGACAGCAAGTCTTGGTCCAGGTTGAAAAAACTGTGCAGGTGGTGAAAATCTTTCTGCGACTGTCGCACCCTTAGGTCGGGATTGATTTCCAACGGTGTACGGCGTTTGAGGAGGAAGGTTAGGGGGTGGCCTTGAAGATGAGTAGGAAGGCGCAGACACAAGATCTTCGTCTTTTCGCTCCTCGCAAAGCTCAGCGAGAGCGATGATAGCTCTCTCCGGACGAGCAGCAAGCACTCTTGATGCTCGCATGAATTCCCCGCGTATCTGGTGGATGACTGATTGGCACCATCATAATAGTGCGAGAAATTATGAACCACACCGTGTAAAGACCATCCTTTGTGACACATCGCGACACGTTATAGTCCGTCTCGAAAGGATCCTAACAAAAACAGATATGAGTAACCATCTTGAATCGTTAACAAGTTTCCTACCTCGATACAGAGACGGTTTCTTTCTCGAGCATCGTTATATCGGCTTGCAGAAAGCTGGAAGACCCTTAGTATGTGTTCTCGTCTACGGATAGGAAAAAATAAACATACATCGTTTTGCCACCCTTTGAAGTCCTTTTTCAGTAGGCCTGCTCGTATTGAAGCAACACCAGTGTTGTACGAAAAGTCCCGTGAATAATATCGGAAAAAGTCAATCAAGCTAAGTTGGTACCGCTCAGTTTCCCATTATAGAGAAGGAAGACGGGTTACACACAGCTCAGCCACAGTTTCAGTGTTCTCAGAATGCCATCGTTGTCGAAGCAACTCGATGTCATCAAAGAACCTGTTGAGGAGTAAGCGTCCATATTCAAGGTGAAGCAATACAGAAACACGAACCATGTGTTGTACCCATTCAGATGGGTGTCCTCCTGGAAAATAATAAGAGGGCGAACGAAAAGGGCGAAGGAACACATACTTTCGTAATTGGACGTAATGGCGGCATTTGTTGTAGATTAGGTAAAACAGGAGGATTCTTGACATGAACCAGAAAATATATTACAAGGAGAACGTAGCCGTATGATGAAAGGGTCCCTTTGTAAGGGGAGTTAATTTTCCTTTGAGTTACATCATGAGAAGTACGTCCAATGTAGCGTTGACGACAGTAAACTTACCTTCTCTTGCTCCATACTTTAACTACAGAAGAAAGTCAAGCTTTCGATCAGCAACCATACCCGCGAACTGTCGCATTCAAACTTACGGAACAGAACCATGGTCCGTACACGAGTTGGATCGACCATGGCATAGCACATGAGTAGTCGCGTATTCTCGAGCGCTAATCTATTTTCGAAGCCAATATCACAGGCAATTCCGAGAGGTAGACCTGGAGACGGATCGAGGGATAACTTCACGATTGGTATTCGTGCGTGAGGGAGAGGCTTGACGTGAAATTTTGTTTCTACGATACACGTGAGGAATGTGAACGAATGGATATGCAATGGGGTTCTTACCGCGCTCTAACAAGTCCCCCAACATAGTTACAAGGTCCGTTGCAGCGAGCCTCTCCTGAGAGTCGATCAAGCAACACAAGTCCATATCTGACATGGCGCCTCTTCAGATACTGGCTTTCCGAGCGCCCAAAGGACACTCACCAGAATTGCGGAGACTGAAGCCATTCGCAGTGCTGCCGAAAGAAAGCAGGCGGCTGTCAGGCTCTATTGTCCTGATGAGCCTCTCGAGTAGTTTGCGTACGTCCTCCTTGACTGCCATTTCCTCAGGCGTGGGTAGGAGCTGAATGACGAAATCAAAGAGGCACTGGGAGAGGTCAGCAACGAAATGCTGCTTGGAAGCATGCCGCCGCTGCTGGATGGGAGGGGATATGTGGCCGACATCGCGATATTGCTGGTGAACAGCCTGGGGACTCAGTGTCTGGGTGTATGCCATCTGGAAGGAGCAGCCAGAGAACAGTTCAGGCGTCGAGTGGCCTTCAGCGATATGGACTGATGAGGGCCAATAAGCGAATTGGCAACGAAACGGTCTATGGAAGCCAACTCCAGGGTCAAAACAAGATCGTCCCAAAATGGCACCTATCACCATTTACGTATACAACAGTCACAACTCCTCTTATGTAGTCTTCACCACCAATAACGTGCTTTACCGCTCATACTACACTTGTCTAACACGTAAATCTCCATTGTTATACCTGACCATTCCTGAACAGCCCGGTGCAGCATGCAGGAGCACGCCAGCGGTATCGGACGGACCCGTTGGGCGTGACGGAAGATGGCACGGCAAGTGTATGAATCAGGGTGATGGAGATAGTATGGACCGGTCGTGCATACACAATGTCGACAAAGGTCCATCAATTGAATGCACGTTTGACAAGGACGGCAGATTCCCTAGCCAGCCACCAACTTACTTACCAAAAGGATGTGATTGTGATCGGCCATTGAGGGATCACAAGTTCGATTGTCGAACTAACTACGAGTCACGTAGGCGTGAGCGCAAGGGCCTTTTACTCAGATCTGGTGAATTGGGAGATCTAAAGGCGTTATAATTAGTGACCTGCGCTCGTGGATGCAAATGAAACCACGTAGTGCTGCTTATTACGGATATGTCACTTGCTGATGTTTATCGCATCCCTGACGGGGAATTGGACGAAGAACTTGTGCCCGAGAAATGATGGAGTGAAGATCACGGATGAAATGCTGTTGGATTTGAGTCCAGTTATAAAAGATATCTTGTAAGCAAGTTAATAAAACTTAGCTCCAGTGGCGTGCACCTGTGAGACGCTTTAGGGGATGTTATGATAACGACAAACGTTGAGCGTCGTCGAAGGAAGATAAGGACTGTCAAGATCACATGTCGTCTTGATGCAATCGCTGTATAACCACCGTTTGAATTTCGACCACAACTTGAACAAGTTGAAGTGACTTACTGCGTAAGTATGCCCCACCGACGACATAGACAGTAGAAAGGACGTCAAGCGTTACGAATCTGACATACCCTTGCCAGAAAGCAACGACCCCACTTGCGGTTGTACGGGCGCTTTCAATAGACCCATCCCAACCGCCTGAAGAGTTGGCAAGATGTACCAGTCTCGCTCCTGGGCCTATGCATGTCCAAGCCTGGCTGTGATTAACAGCCATGGTGACGATGGTGACGGCCGAGAGGTAACTTCTGACGACCGCATGGATGGCTGGAAAATGATAAGTACATATGGTCATTATGGTCACCGGTCAATGAATAGTTCTGGGACCGCGTTGGGTTGGCGTGCTTTGAGCAGAAGGAATGCTTGATATGTTGCAGAGGCCGATACTGCCTAGCCGTGCTCACATTCCTGATTGTTTTTACTTTTTCCCTTTGAGTTGCATCGACGCTCGAAGTGTAACTTTCTGTGTTAAGGCCGGAATTTGGGTTTGTTTGTCTTGTATGGAAGGATTCAAACATTTCGGACTTCAACAAGTCCTCGTCGTTTTCTGCTGGGCAGCAGACTGGAGGCGTCCAGTCAAGCCCTCTTAATCGTTCTATTTCATTCTTCTACATGGCTTACTTTTCAAAGCCACAGTCTGCCGCGGTCAAGATTGTAAAGCCTACTAATGATGATGAGCCAGTGAAGCAGCCTCAGCCGCGCAAAGGTCGGGAATCAATAGCCTCGTCTTTGTGGGTCCGGCTAATTGTGCGTGTGCTCTAGATTCTGTACAGCGGCAATGTAGAAATGTTGTGATCTATGGGTTGGTCCATGTTCTCTTTATCCGAGCAAACGGAATTGAAGGACTCATCGTTGTATCTAAGGAGTTGTAAATATCAAGATAAAGGTTGCGCTTACTACCATCCCCCGGTGGGTACCCTTTATAGCCTCTGTCAAGCTATGTATTCAGTTACATCTACGCGCAGCCGCCAGATGCACGTCCTGCGACTCCACAAGGGTATGTTGCATCTCAGCAACATACCAGTCGTTTAACACCACTACAGACCTCGATCGGACTCTCCTATTACAGGCACATTAATCGCTCAGGCGGTCAATGCGCCTGTATTCGTGCCCAAAGCTACTGTTGCCGTTCCAGCTGTGGCGACGCCACCACCCATGACGATCTCTCATGAAATCGCCGCTGCATCGTAAGCGAGGTCATATTGCGTATTTTCTGGGCTGATTTTCGTGTGTTTAGATCTGCGCCTCAGTCTCCCGCCCCGCAAACAGAGGAGTATCACCAAGACTATCCAAGCCATGAATCTTACGACAACTACGACTACCAGCAGGGAGAGGCGGCTATGGTTGAAGGTGTATCGGAACAAATGGATCAGGTAAGTTCTCCCCAGTTATGGATGAAGCTGTTGCATTAATCCGTTCCAGATGGATATGCAGTACTATGACGAGCAAGCATATCAACACTACCAGCCCGAGTACGACCAAAATGCTCTGGATGCCGCTTATTATACAGCTCCGCCTGTGTTTATACGTCAACCGGTGAGGACATCTTTTTAACAGCACACGTAACTATTCATGCTGACAATGGATACGCCTAGTTAAATTATCACCTGTACATACCTACCACGTACCCTGATTTCGCCTCGGCAGAGACCAACACCCATTTCGTTCCTCCTTCTTCGGAACTTCGACAATTGTTGCAGGTCCGGAGTGAAACTATCCATAACATAGCCCCAGCAGGTGGGTTCGGCATTTTAACATCCATGTTGTCGAATTTGTCAACGACAAACAATCCAGGCCTGAAGCTTCCTGAAGAACTGCAAGGTTATCATACCCTAGTACCTCTTGAACCTTCAGGGACCGGTGTGGAGCGGAGAAAATTTGGTAACTGGTATTCGACTGTATACCGAGCCATCCGGTCCTCAGATGGCTTGCCGTATGTTCTTCGACGCATTGAGAGTGTGTGCTTTCGGTTATTGTTACTTGAGCTATCCTCATCTATTTTAGATTTCCGTCTTACGCGCCAGTCTGCCTTTGCTCCGATCGAGGTATGGTCAAGCCTCCGACATCCGGGGATCATTTCAGTCCGGGAAGCGTTCACAACCCGTTCTTTCGATGATAACTGTATGCTTCGGAGTGTCTCGCACAAACCCTATCTCATCATTATGCATCAGCTCTCGTTGTCGTGTACGCATACCACCCCAACAGCCAAACGCTCTTCGACGCCCACTTGAAACCGAAACCGCCGACTTATCAGTCAAGGTACCAGCATGGGCGGCAACAGCTGCTGCTCCAGGCACAGTCTACGGTGATCGCGGAACGCACTATTTGGTCTTACATTGTCCAGATTGCATGTGCTGTCAAGAAAGTCCACGACCTAGGTCAAGCTGTCAGGATGATTGATGTCTCGAAGGTTTTGCTGACAGGACAAAATCGGTGAGACTTGTCCCCTTTTGTTGGTTTGTCAAGTCCAGGCTTACCCCACGTATAGCATCCGCATAAGCTCATGCGGGATCGTGGATGTTTTGATGCACGACACGGTTCAGGATATGCTTACTCTACAGCAGGAGGACCTCACGATGTTCGGCCGACTGGTGTTCGCACTGTGCTGTAACAACGTCTCAGCGGCTACCTCGGCGCATTTTCAAAAGAGCCTGGAGTTGATTGGGCGGTTATACAGCGCTGACGTGAAAAATGTTGCACTGTTTTTGATTAGCAAGGGTGGTCCACATAGGGTAACGTTTTTCTGGTTTTGAATGGGAAGGTTGTGGCTAATGGAGTTGGGGTGCAGAACGTTGACCAGTTGCTTGATATGATCCGTGGCAAGGTTATGCAGGAACAAGAAGAGGCGCTCAACGCGACGGACCGCTTGGAGCATGAGCTTCAGAGTGAGTTGGAAAATGCGCGTCTTGTCCGGCTTTTGTGCAAATTTGGCTTTATCAACGAGCGCCCCGAGTAAGTGATAATGTATATGATCTCTACCAGTCTTATTTATTTTTTCCCCATAGGTTTGCACGAGAGCCGCGCTGGGCTGAAACTGGAGACCGTTACATTATCAAACTGTTCCGGGATTACGTTTTCCACCAGATGGACGAGCAGGGCAACCCAGTATTGAATATGTCTCATGTTCTAACATGCTTGAACAAGCTCGACGCCGGGACGGATGAGAGGATTATGCTTGTAGCTCGCGATGAGCAGAATTGTCTGGTTGTGAGCTACAAGGAGATCAAGGCCTGCATCGACGGGGCGTTCACGTGAGTCTGACAGGGAGATTGTTTGTGCTATTGCTAATTTTTACAAATGTAGTGATCTGGCTCGAGCGACGACGGCAAGCCAGGCAGCGGCGAGCAACTACAAGCGATAGGTGTGTGCGTGAAGAGATGATAGCTAAAAAAAATGTAGAATCAGAAAAAGACTCGGAAAAACAACTTTGATTTTTGAAGTAAGCGTGACGACAGCAGATCTGGTGTCGTCATTGGAGGACCACAGTGACGTCACGATTCTACTACTTAAATGAAACGCGACACGTTTTACGCACTGACATCTCGTTCTAATGCGACTATCATCTCTCTTCATCGCCATAGGCCTTTCTCTGGCCGTACAAGCCTCCTGGTTTGGCGGAAACAACGAAGGCTCCCCGCCGTATAGTACCTGGTCAACGGCCGAACTCCGACTCTGGCTCGAGGAACACTCTGTCCCAGTACCGAAACACACTACTCCAACCCAAGCAGAGCTCCGCGATCTCGTCGCAGCCCACTGGAACTCCTATTCAGCATGGACGCAAGACCAATACGCCGCGGCGCAGAAAACCTTTGCGGACATCCGCGACTCGACGTTTGAGAAATGGGACGAATCGACGCTTCGTCAGTTTTTGCTCGAGCAAGGCGTCATTGCACCCAAGGGCACCAAGGAGGAATTGGTTCTCCTAGCAAAAGAAAAGTATAAAGCGTACACCGACGCAGCGAGTTCTTTCTCTGCTCGCGCGAGCACGGCTGTGTATGGGGATTCGGCGTATCAGATGACCAAGAGCGCTTCGAGTCTCGTGTCTCAGGCTTCGGCGGCTGTGGCAAACCGGTTTGATGAGAGCAAGGATTATGTCTATTCGTCGTGGGATGAGGCTCAGATGCGGAAGTACCTTGAGAGCAAAGGGCTGTTGAAGACGAAAGCGCAGAAGGAGCACGCGGAGTTGTTGGAGATGATGCATGGTGTGTATGGACGGGCGACGAAGCCGATTTGGAAGGCTTGGAGTGATTCGTATATTGTAGGTTGCGTTTTTCTCGTCTGTATGCTGTTGTTCGCTGATGGGTTGGCTTTTTTACAGCATCACTGGCTCGTATCTCACAATATTATCAAGTCGACTGTGCAGAAGAATCGCGAGTATTATCTTGGGTTGATGGAAAAGTATTATTACGACCAGCTGGACACCGTGTGGTCGACCTGGTCCGATTCTCAGCTGAAACAATGGCTTGTGGAGCATGACGTTATCAAGAGCGATGCGCAGGTCACCAGAGACAAAATGACGAAGTTGATCCAGTTCGTTGATCTCCTTTCATATTTCCATTGGAGGTTCCTAAGTGTGTTTTAACAGGGACAATTACTACTCGGCCAAGGATACATTTTGGCATGCCTGGTCTGATAACCAAGTACGGGACTACCTCGTTGAGAATGGATATATCCGTTCTGACGCTCAGGTCCGGCGCGACGAGTTGTATAAACTTGCGAATGAAAAGTATGTTTGGTCGTCTTATAGTCTTGACCCCGATTAACTTGTTGGTGGTAGGTACAACGACGCCTCTGCTAGGACCGCTGCGTATCTTGCATGGCCCGACGCGCGCCTTCGTGCATATCTAAGGGAGCACGGCATCAGCGAGGAAGTGGTTCCAGGCGACCGTCCTGGGCTTCTTCGTATGTCTTTTTTTTTTTTTCGCTTCACGTGCAGTTTGGTAACTAGAGTGAAACAGAGGAGACTCGCATTCGTTGGGTCCAAACACAGACTCGCGCCGAAGCGCTGCTAGCCAAGATCCAAGAGCTGGTGAATGACAGTGTGTATAAAACTGAAGACGTTCTTTCGCGCGTGTTGAGCGTTCTTAGTGGGGGATGGGTCGAGGTGAGGGATCGCGTGACGAATGGGTATGATGTACACCAGCCAGTGGAGACGGCTGAAAAGGCGTATGAGGAGGCGAAGAAGAGTGGGGAAAGTTATAAGGAGGATGTGAAGGGGAAGGCGAAGGAGGCGAAGGAGACGGTTGATGAGAAGGTTAAGGCTGGGCAGAAAGCTACGAGCGAACTTTGAGGTTGACGCAGGGGGGTTGAATGGCATTGGTACTGTACTTTAGCTACATAGTTGTGTAAGAGTAATACACGTGGGCGTATCGAATTCGAGACGATTTGAACGATGAGGTTCAAAGATATCGTTAGAAGCAGAATGCTCTGATGGGAAAGACAATTGGCGCGTAGCTGAGATCAAGTAAGTAACGACGTTGACACACTATAAATATGCGGGGTGTATACAGAGAAACACGTGTATTCAGTGAAAATCAACATTTGTGTTTGCGAAAGTTCAAAAACCATACCCCTCAATCTACCCGCTTATTCGAAACACTCCCCGTCGCCTTGTTGTACTCCGTCGCCAAGCGGTTGTATTCCTCCGAGTTCTGAGATGCCTGCTTTTTGAGAATGTCAAAGTCCTGAGCCTTCTTTGCCCATTCCTTGTCTTTTTGCTGATATTCTTTGAGTTGTTTTTGCAGTGCGGCTATTTCCTTTGCGGAGTCGGTGGAGGTGTTCGGTTGCTGTGTATGTGATTAGTACAAGAAGGGAAGGATAGGGATGGAGATGGAGATAGACTGACTGCTTTTTTGAGCTTGGCGTATTCTTCTTGGGTATGGATAAGGTTAAGCATGATGTAGAACGTCCGCGTGAGGACGAGGGAGAGGAAAAGACAGAAACCGGTTAGATAAGTGTTGCGTTGTGAGCTTGGATGGTGATAAGCTGGGGTATATGAGAGAATGGGATATGAAACATACTAGAACTTTCGTGCAGCGAGGTTGGTCTCGGCGCTGGTGCCCGTGGCGACTGGACCTTTGCCTGACCTGGCCAAGTCAGACTCGGCTGTGACGCGGAGCATGCGTTGAAGGGCATCTGCGAATAGAATAGCGACGAAACTTTTGCGTTGCAGGATGTCAGAAAGTGTTGTAAGAGGCACACGAGACTAGGTGAGACTGACATGAAGGAGATCTTGAGGCCATATGCGATTTTTGCGATGATGAAGGACTCTGAGAGGAATTTGAACAAGCGCTTGCGGACTGCGTAGGGCAGAGGGGCGACGAGGATGCAGAATGTTATCATCTAATTCAGTGCTGTTGTTAGATCGGAAATAGGGAAAGAATGGCGGACGACGTACCTCTGCTGCGAGGAGCAGAAAGGTGAGAGAGTAGCTATATACAAAGGTCAGCAGTGAATCTACGCAGAAAATGAGAAAACATACTAGATAGTCATGGCGTCGTGGTTCAGAGTAGAAAAGCAAACCTAACACTCCACCGGTTCGCGCAGCTTGATGCTTGGCTTGACGTCATGACACGTCTCGACCCGAACCAAATTCAGCAGCTAAACCGAACCGATCACTGACGCAAGCGCGTTTTGACGCGCCCACATTCTCTCATTTTAACCACAACACAATCTACTGACCATGGCACTGATCCCCGTACACATCAAGCACGCAGGAAAGACGTACGACCTCAACCTCGACCCCGATCTCCCACCAAATGTCTTCAAAGATGCCGTATACAACGCTACAGGCGTTCCTTTAGATCGTATGAAGGTCATGGTTAAGGGTGGCACACTCAAGGTTTGCTCTTCCTCTTTGTTTTTGAAAAATAATGATCATTAATGTATGTTGAAGGAGGACTCTTCTTGGAAAAAGATCGCGCCCAAAGCTGTGAGTGGGCTCCAAAAAGTGTTAGGAGAAGTTGGTCGAAGAGTAAGATCTAGGGACAAACGTTCATGGTTATCGGCGCTGCTGGAGACCTGCCAAAACCACCTGCAAAACCTATTGTTTTTCTCGAAGGTACGACTATCGTTTTCTATATCTACACATCTAACGCGTAAAATAGACATGGACGACTCAGAATTAGCAGAAGCAGTGAGTATATCGTTTCTTCTTCCAGCAATTCGACCTCATCCTTATCGTTTAGTTGGCAAAACCCGTCGGCTTACGCAAGTATGTCCCCTCTATCGCCTATCCAACCTTCATCCAACCCTGACCAACAACAGTCTTGGGAATACATGCTACATGAATGCGACTGTGCAGGCCCTTCGCGCCATCCCTGAGCTTCAAGTCGCTCTCACCGCGTATGTCGCTCTTAATTTGCATCTACTTCATCTTTGACACATCTCTAGTCCCGCCCTACACTCAACTACACCTTTACCCGCCTCCCTGCGCGATTTGTACCACAACATGTCGCGTACAACGGACAGCATCACGCCCATAGGATTCTTACAAGTTCTCAGACAGGTATTTCTTTTCCCTTATGAGATATGCGTTGTTGCTCAAGTATCTATCTGTCAAGGTCAACCCCCAATTCGCTGAAGTTGACCGTAGCGGGAAAGGAGGGATGATGGGTGGTGCAGGGGGTTATGCGCAACAAGGTCCTTCATCTTTCCACCGTCTTCCTCCTTGATATACAAGCTTAGATCTCCACATAGATGCGGAAGAATGTTATCAAGCCATAATCAACACTCTCCGTAACGTCCCAGGGCTCGATGCATCTGGCAGCAGCGTCGCTGCACATGGTGGCACCGCTGCAGCCCAATCTTCGATCGGAGAACGCAAACTGGTGGACCAGTATTTGATGGGCGAGATGCGTCGCGAGCTGACGTGCGACGAGGCCCCAGAGGAACCGGCGTCAGTGAGCACCGAACAGGTGTTGAAAATTGAATGTAATATTATCAATACGACCAACTTTATGCTCACGGGAATTCTGAATGTGCGTTCTCACCTCTTTTCCTTCCCCCTTGGCTTCCTTTGACTATTCGATTACAGTCCCTTGACACCAAAGTCGAAAAAAACTCACCGACATTGGGTAGACAAGCGATATACAGTCAAAAATCACGATTGACGCGCTTGCCTGGCTATCTTACTGTACACATGGTGCGGTTCGCATGGAGAGCTGACATTGGAAAGAAGGCGAAGATCATGGTAAAGTCTTTCTTCTCGTCTTCCTTGCCTGCGCCTGCCTTTGACTGACAAACCTTTCTCTCAAAAGCGTAAAGTGAAATTTCCACTCGAGTTTGACGCGCTCGACCTAGCTACGGACGAGCTTAAAGCAAAATTGCTTCCTGTCAGCCGGAAACTCAAGGAAGTGGAAAAGGAGAGGATGGAGAGGAGGAAGGTCCGGAAGAGGACTAAAACTGTTCCCTCTTCTTCGTCCGCTTCTACTTCAGCTGATGCGGCTGTTGTTGCGGCTGGTAATGCTGCGACGGGCGACGTGGAGATGGCTGACGCTGCTGCTGCTCCTGCATCGACTGAAGTGAAGGGTGGTGATTTGGAGGCGGAGGGCGTGTATCGGGAGAAGGAAGCCAAGGAGCTGGCGGAGCTCGTAGATCCGTCTGTTAAATCTGATGTGGGGTGCAGTGCGACTGGGTTGTATGACCTTGTTGGTACGTCCTTCCATTTATTTCATTTACTTTTGTTCTTTCCATTTGCGATCCGTGTACACTTTTTCTGTCCACAACCTCTGTTTCAATTTTAACATTATTCTCTCTCTGCCAAAGCATGAAAAGCTAACATTTAATTCATCATCCAGCCATCGTAACACACAAAGGCGCAGCCGCCGACGCAGGGCATTACATCGGCTTTGTGAAGAAGAGCGTGTTCCACGCTGCAAAAGGCCAAACGCAAAACACATCATCACCCGATGGAAGTGGCGATGGCAACGGGAATCCCGTGTCCTCGCTCGAGCTGGGCGAGGACGACGAGGATTGGTACAAGTTTGATGATGAGAAGGTGTCGATTTTCCCGAAGGAGAAGTTGGCGACGCTGGATGGGGGTGGGGAGGATTCGTCTGCTTATGTGTTGCTTTATAGGAGTAAATCGTTGGATTGATAGATGTTTGGGTCTTTTGTGAGGTTGCTGTGTGTAGGATTGGAGGATATGGTTTTGGAAGGCATGCATAGAGAGAGGGCGTGATTGAAAATTCAAATACTTGCTTTGATTTTAGGCGAGGTACTTGTGCATGAGTAGTAAGATACTTGGACGGACGATCATTGGTCTATAGGATACTGCAGAAACCAATCTTTGCTGGATATGAAGATACCGTGGTCAGCAATTCATCTACCACTTCGACCTTTTCAGATGTATCAACTAAAATTGGAGTCAAGACGATCCAAAAAGACAGAAATAATGGGATACGGCGGTGACCAACGTGATGATCATCTCAATGTTATTATTCGTTCACTAATTTAGTCGTCCAATGAGTTCCTTGAATTCTGCAGCCGTAAAATTCCAACTCGACAGCAATTCATCCTCACTTCCCTTCGCTTTCCTTTCTGCCTCGAACCATGTCTTGAGGGTTGCCTTTTGTGTACGCGAGAGAGCACCACCACACGTAACAGCATATGTCTGAAGCAACCTGAACCACCAGTTAGTTAAGCGACCCAACATTTTTGAAACACAAGCGACAAAACCACGAACCTTACACCCTTCTCTTCAAAATCTGGGTCGGCCTCCACGTTCTCTCCGTCTTCACCAAAGGGCACTGGGGACGTCACGGCGTTGATGACCGCGTCCAGTATATTGTGCTCACGCAGCGCAGTGAATGTATACTGGCATGTATTGGTCCGACTTGGGTTAGCGAGATGCGCTGCGTGTGAGTTGGGGTGGATCGGTGCAGCCGAGGCGGGTTGGTCGTCAGGTGTTAGAAGGCTTGGGCCGTCAGTAGCGGAAGGCGGGTGGGTTGGGTCGTCTTCAATGAGTTTTGGTAGGTGGAGGAGTAAGTCCGAGGGGGAGGTTGGGATGAGGAGGGAGTGGAAGAGGAATATTGTCTTTCGGCGAACGGAAATTTCGGGATCTAAAGAACATTATTAGTGTCAATGAAATGAGATACGAGTTCTTGCGAAGTCCACTCTACCTTGGAGGGCTTCGCGCAACTTTGCCCACCCATCGACTTCCGGCCTGCCGAGTTCTACGACGGCAGCAGCGTTATGCTTCAGAAGCCCAGAAAGCGCGTATATGACTTTAGAACGGATTTGTAGTGTCGAGGAGGGCGATGGGGTGAGGAAGGAGACGAGGGTGGGGAGGGGTTGGTATTTAAGGTACTAAAAAGAGTCAGTGAACCTATGTATGTCTCGGACATTAAGATAGAGGGGGACGCACTACATCTTGTGCTGCTGGATTGTTTTGGACAGATGTCCCAATGACCCAAAGCACCTGCATTCTAATTTCTAAAGAGGCGTCGGAAGTCAATATGGACTGCAGTGGTTCCCAAAGCCGCAATTTTTCGAGGTCTAGCTTGGGAAATGAGCGCGTTATTTGTATAGTCGAGAATAGAGACGAACTATTGGCATTATCAATCTGTTCAATCAACTTGTGGAAAACAAACAGTCAGTCAAACTCGCTCGAGCAAAAAGAAACAAGGCGGAGACGAACCATCTCAAGGTGGTCCAAAGCATTTATCCGGTCGTCCTCGCTCCGAGTAGCATCAATCGCAACGGCCATATCCTCCTTCATCAACTCTGCATCGGGCTTGCCTAATATCATGTCAATGATCTCCGGGTTTAGATCCTGCCTCTGAACAGGTGGACGATCGCCAGGCGCGCTGTCTAGCGGAGTGGAATTCTCGATTGACCATCGTAAAAGGGAGTCCATTGTCGTGGTTGGGAGATGAAAGGGTAACGTTGAGGAGGATGCATTTTCTCAATCTCAGTGGAATGTCCTCGAAAGCTATCTCGAACACGTGATCACACAGCGGAGGTTTAATGCAAACTTTTTTTTTGGCGTTCTACGTGGTTTGTTTCTCTGCCACCACCACACCAATGGATGTGAGTCTTCTTCCTCTATTTTCTTCATCTGCCGGTGATGATCCAACGACATACCATACTTTACCACATTCCGAATCATTCTTGTGGAATACTTTATCGATTTCAGCCTTGTCTGAGCAACCTCTTCTCTGATCCTGTCCTTCTCAACCGTTGCTAACTTTCAGACTGTTTCTTAGGTATTCTCGCCTCCCTAATCTGTTACACAGTAATTTGGTGAGTTTGGGGATTCTCTTTCATTCAGTGATGAAATCTACTCGATGGGCGGACACGAATTCTCTTGTCCATACCAAAGTCTCCGGTGTACAATGGAGGCGGGCGGAGAGCTTGTTGATATACATCGAAAACCTGATCCCTTTCTTTTTTCGTCATCTTTCGATGCCGCAAAGCAATGCTAACCACTTCCTTCTTAGTTATTTGCCGCTACTTTTGTGCATAATAAATCATGGCCTGTTCAATGCTATCTCTATTTTCATGTTTGCCCCCGCCTGTGAGAACTCGCGACGACCGCAGCGGTTGTCTGTTCTCCACGACCGTTGCTCACCTATGTCGCGAAACCAGTCTGCCGTGTTATGGTTCGGGAGACTTAAAAGTTATCCTGTTGGACGCGTAAAAAACGTCCTTTGGTTGACCAGAGTTTGAAAACAATCTCCTGGTAGTTAGTTAAGATATCGTTTACAAAATTAATATCGATGCAGATAAGATGAAAAATGAGAACCGTGAGCGCGTGAGCACCCCAGTCCTGATGTCTGTTTCGCCCACAGAAGAAGAACTCAAAGACGCGCTCGTCACTCTCAAACATCAAAACCCATCCCTTGGAATCTCCAAGATCTATGCACTTCTCCTCAGAACATATCCCAATTGGACCGTCAGCGAGAAGCGAACACGAAAAATTCTTCAAAATGAGGGCCTGGTCCTTTCCTCGACTTCAATAAAAAGATCAACGATTGTATATCCATCTTCTCGAGTTATCCCCCAGCTGGATGTTACACAATGGACGAACAAGGTGGAGGTCACTTTCTACGATCAACAGAAAGGAAAAGGCCTCATCGCCACCTCTGATATCGAAGAAGGGGAGGTGATATGGAAAGAGGACCCGTTCATCATCGCTCCTGAGTGGTACATTTTTTGTAGTCAGAAATTGCCCTCAAATTTACTCAAATGCCCTCGAGGACAATAGGGATTTATTCGATTTGCAGCTGAAGTCTACGGCATGTGCGTACTGCACTACCCCTCTCGTTGACTCTCCCATCGCCGGCTCCCCCATCCCATGTCCCGCTTCCATTTCTTCTGCATTTTGCCCTGCGAGGTTCTGTAACCGCCTCTGCCTGTCCCGATCGGCTAAAACCCACCCCTTGTTGTGTCCTGCGCAGAACCCTGCTTCTGTACCGCTTATGAAGTGGACGAAGGATAGGCAGTGGATGGCGCTGCATGCGTTGGCGCAGTGTATGAGCAGAATATTGCTTGCCAGTCAAAAGGACGAGGCGACGCTCAGAGCGGATTGGGAGGTCATGCGTGGGCTCGCTGCGCTAGGCATGGAAGAGCGTTTTAATTATAGCTTCAAATCGTGATGCTTGTCTTTTCACTTTCAAGATTCTGTGCTTATCTTTTCCATGTAGAACCGGAAACGCTGAACCGGACAGGTCATCATGGAAAAAGGCGCACCAGCTATGCGTGCAGGCGTTCAAGGAGCCCAAAACGGTGCCGGAGAAGAAGAAACTAGCTCGACTTCTCAAAAAACCACTTCCCGCAGATGTCGAGCGAGAGCTGTTTGAGTATGATCCATGTTTTCTTAGAAACTTGGGGTCTATGAGTCTAAGTACGCCCGTTGGCGTTGTTCAACGATGGTACACAGCCTAATCAAGTTTCATTTAGATCTCGAAGGCCATGGGGGTTTATACACCCTTCATTCGCATCTAAACCACTCATGTAGACCCAATGCATCCGTCCGGCACTTGGATCAGCGCACCGCGCTCTCGCGCATTACCATCGTTGCGAAACGGCCTATCAAAAAGGGCGAGGAGTTGCTCATTTCCTACGTGAACCCCGAGCTAAGGTATGAAACCAGACAGAGTGAGCTTCAAGGATGGGGCTTTGGGTCATGTCGCTGCCAGCGGTGTTTGGAAGAAGAGAAGCAAGCCAAGGAGAAGCCTGAGGTTCCGGTTCCTTCTGGAATGGAGGATCTGGAGAGCGAGCTGAAAGCTGGGCTGGGGGTGATGTGAATTCTTTCACTTGCGTTCGCTCGATTTGCCTATCTTTCCACGTGGTGTTGCGGTTGGGAAAAGCTTATCGCATGGATGTCTAGGTTCACGACTCCCACAAATGTGGAGAAGAGGATTCAATACTTCAATGTCGAATGAAAAGTTCTCTTTCGAACTACAACCCTGTATCATGATAAGCCAGACTTGGTGTTTTATCAGGAAAGCAATTGCTTTTGGTTCTCAGCGCCTTGTCGATACACTCATCTGACCACCCCAGTTCTGGGAAATTGGAGTCGTGAAGCGCTGATTCCTGCTCTTTGAGATCCGCATCTCGGCAGTCGGCGGAGTGCACCGGAGTTCCGACTCCGCGATGACCACATGCTGACCACATGACTGAGTGACGAGTGTGGCGTGGGAGCGATCATGATCCCTCTGCCAGGTCACAGGGTTTTGTGATCACGTCTTGTCGTGACTTTCACGCCCCCTTCCACCTCCTTGCCAATCCCAAGCAAGTCTTCCAGGCTCCCTCCCCGCCATTGCCGTCCTCGACGACCACCAATATTTTCATAGGCGCATCGACCCTATCGTTCTCCGCACCGATCCAATTTTTATTATCGAACCGACGATAATACTTCCCCTTGTTCATAGTGTTCGACCATTCCCCTGGGCAAATTCGAGGGCACTCCCCGCCAGGTTGAACGCAAACATTCCAGTCCTCGTTAAAGAACACAGAATTCATACAGGAAATTCACACAAGTCGACGAGCATCACCAAATTCCATTCAAATGGCTCCCACTACTCCCGCAACTCACGACTCAGCCCTGGCTCAGCCAGCATCCAACGCAGCCCCCCAAGCAACATCGGCGCTCCCCACCGGCATCGCAGGGGAGATATCCGCCTCTGACCTCGCCGCCATCCAGAATCTGGCTCTCGATCAGAACCAAATCATGCACCTTTTGCGATCGTTGCCCGGAGTGTTCAAACAGGTGAGGATATGTTTTCCACCTTCCTCATTCCTCCTTTCCCGTTCCCGTTGCGTTTCTCCATACTTGAAGCGTCGAGAGCGTCGTCGCATTAATTGGTCTACACGTGACTCATTATTGTCGCGACGGCGAGCACGAGCGCGCCTGACACTAGTCACGAGGAGGGCAACCAACCCTACCTCGCATCTGCATGTCACGTCTTCCTCATGCCGTTACCAAGCGCGATCTAACATGAAATGTGTCTACCTCCTACTCCCAACAGATCCCCAGCAACTCCAATCCCAAGGAAGACGCCGCGCAGGCATTGTCCAACCTTTCGCAGACACCCTTCGTCCCACCACACTTTATGCCTCCTCCCGGTAACGGTCTACCAGGCATTAACGACCCCGGCCCGTCGTCTCACCCCCGCGGCCCACCTGGTCTCGGACAGCTGAGCAGTGTAGCAATGCAGGCAGCCCCAGCGTCCGTTCAGCAGCCTCAACAGCAGTCACCACAGCAATCAGGCGCAGACGACCACAAAGACCACGAAAACGCTTCAGGTGGCTCTGTCGACGGCGGCTCACCGGCGGCGCCGACGACCCCAGCTGCTTCTGCGAGCACGGGCGGACGTAGAGGCGCGAGAAGCGCAGCTATGGGTAGCGATGAGTGGAGTCGACAAAGAAAAGATAATCACGTTCGTGTTTCTTCCGTAATGTGAGACATTGGGAACAGCCACTGATCCTTCTTTTTCTAACTATGCAGAAAGAAGTCGAGCGCCGTAGACGAGGGAATATCAATGAAGGCATCAATGAGCTCGGGCGGATCGTGCCCAATGGTTCGGGTGAAAAGGCGAAAGGCGCTATTCTATCTCGCGCGGTTCAATATATCCATCACCTTAAAGAGAACGAGGCGCGGAACATTGAAAAGTGGACGCTGGAGAAGTTGCTTATGGACCAGGCTATGGGCGACTTGCAGGCCCAGCTGGAGGAGGTGAAGAGGATGTGGGATGAGGAGAGGCTTGCTAGGCAACGTTTGGAGAATGAGTTGGCTGCGTTTAGAGGGATGGGTGGTGCGTCCAAGGAGGACGGTGGCGCGGGTACTAAGCGACGGAGCGTTGATAATCCTTCTGGTGCTGGCGAGTCGGAAGGGGATAGGGATGGGAAGCGACAGAAAACGGAGTGAAGGCGTCTTTTTGTGATTCTTTTCTTCTTTCTTTTCAGATTCTCTCTTCGGCTGTGGGTGACTTTAGTCTCTGCTTCCTCTCTTCTCTTGCGTCTCTCCCCTCCCACCTGTATTATATGTACGATTACCGCCCACTCACCCCCCACTTTTTTCTTTTCTTGGACCCTCTCTTCTTTTTATTAACGTCCAGGGCGTTTTACTTCTGCCTTCTATGCATGTAGTACGTTGAACTAGAAAAATGTTACAATAATGTAGGCGGCAGTTCCAATGAAGGGATAGATTCCCTTTGAGTGTGCTGTTGATTGATAGATCGTCCAACACTCAAATTGAATAAACGGCAGGTCATGAGCGCACAACAATCAGTATTGATTTTCAAAACGTAAGATCATTAAAGATGTCGATATCCAATGGGAAGCAATGATAGTATATAGGTAGCAACTGCGCAAGCACGCGGAAAAAGAAAATCAAGAGAGAAAAAATGTAGATGATGTGCTTGGCGTCGCAAGACGGCGCAGTGATGGTGGCTTCGTTTTGGCGTGCATTAGATGGTTATCGACGGAATTTCAGTTACGCGCTCAGAATATTTCAACGCGTAGTCGCAGCGCAGTACTTTTCGACGACTTGCAAAGTTTTCTTCAAGTCTTTTCAGAAAGAAATTTGATAACGCAGTCAATGTTACGAAGTGATGGTGGCGGAGAAAAGTGAAACCCGGCGAAGGGGCTTGAAGGGGAAGGAGATTAGTATCTTTGTCGACCGGATGACAAAGGCGCCAAGTCAGAGTTGCTGACATTGAAAGAATGACGAAGCCCTTAGCCGAGTGGTGAACTACTTTTAGATCGGTGATCGTATGCCAGTCTCCAACGGCCATGTTCTCCTCCTTCGTCTCCTTTCTCCCTTCATTCAATCCACTCACATCAACAGAACAACAGCCACAACCGTTCAAACAGGATTATCAGACGGACGACGACGAACCTGACCCAGACTCTACCCAAAAACCACCGCAACAAGAGCAGCAACAAGGTGATGAGCAGCCGACTCAAAAGTTAAAGGACAAACCTGCGAATGAGGTTAATCCATTTCAATCCAGCTTCTGTTCTCAAAATTCATCTACTACAAACAGACCTTTATCTTTGTTCGACCACCTCCATCAAAGTCGAACCATCCTTTAAATCTGCAGGTACAGCTCGTACCACCAAACGGCCGTCCACCATCGGGTGTCACACCTACGGGGGATTCCTTTGCTGGTGGTGGGGCTACCCCCACGTCCGCATCTACCTCAGGCCGCAAAAGCACCGACGGCGCTTCTCTAGCCCGCACCTCATCCGACCGCTCTGACGCCTCTTTACCCGTTAATTACGGCTCGTCCACCGCCTCTTTCGCTTCCGTCGCTTCCACGTCTACAACTGCTTCTACTCGTCGGACTATCATTCCACTTTATAATCTTCAAGCTCATAATGTAATGACCAACGTTATCGTTGATGCCGGCACTGATGCCAAGATTGCTAAATTCCAAAAACGCGGTATGGAACTCATAGATCTGGCCGTAATAGAACCTGTAGAAGTCTGGGGTGAACGAGATAAGGAGGCGAAGCAAGGTGGTTTGAGAATTAGTGTTGACGAAATGGGCGCCGTTGTCGCTCTGACACCCAACAAAGGGAGTTTGGCGTCCTCTAGGAATACGGCGGGTTTCCTTCAGCCACGAACATCCAGTAGACCTGCCACACCTTCCGCAGCTTCCTCTGCCCTATCTCTTCACTCAGAAACAGTACCCCTCGCACCACAGCCACAAGTCGTCCTTACACCACCTACGTCTCAATCCACTCACTCCACAGATGCCACACCAACTCCGTCATCCCCCACACCCAAGCCCAGTTCGATGAATCCCAGTGGCAGCAAACGCAACATTTTCGGAAAACTCTTCAACAAGCGGAATGGTACGGCCAAGGATCCCCCTTCCAATGGTGCAGACAGGGCTTCTGCGCCAAATTCACCTGCCTTTGCGACCTTTTCCATGACTCCCGTTAAAGAGCCCACGACGAGAGGTAACCCCACGCCTCTGAGACTGATGTCCCCACCAACATCCCCGAACTCCCAGCAAACAACCCCAACACAACGGGCACCACAGACCCCACGTCCGGCGGATGTAGATATAAGTCCAATCTCCCCCACCCCCACAGTAGCGCCGTCAAAAGGCCACGGTCGGAATCTGAGCCTGACCAACGCTATATCGAGTTCTATCAGAAACAACAAAAACCGATTAAGTGCAGTGATGGTTGACGGTATTGTGAGGAGAGGAAGCCGTGATGGATCACCTAATTCCACCATCGGAGGTTTGCGCGGGAACAACCACAGCGCACTAAGTCTAGCCGGGACTGGAAGTCGCGGCAGCGTGGATTCGCTCTCCCAGGCTGCCTCGCATGGGCTTCTCCCCATCCCTCCAGCTATGGGGGCGCAAGAGGCCACAGTAACACCAAGCCCAACGCCCTCTCGCCAACTCCAACTTCGACCCCCTATCTTGGGCATCCAGCCGACTTTTGTGTCATCAGCCACGACGTCCTCGGATTTGGGGTCCCCACTTGTTACGGGGACCGGGGGAACGACGTTCGAGGCGCAACAGCAGGAAAAGGAGAGCAAACAATCGCTGGCGGGGCAGAAAGCCTTGTTATACGTGTGGCTTGTGCGCAAATGGTTGAAGCGCCGGCCCGCAGTGGATGGCGGGGGTATTTTGGGCCTCCATCTGCCTGGGGCGTTGCTTCCTTCTGCTTCTGCCTACGGGAAAGATGGTGCTGCGGCGTTTAGCCAGCAGCAGCAGATGATAGAGGGGTTGGGGCCTGTTGAGGTTAGGTTTGAGTGGAAGAGGGCCAAGGGGGCTTCTGGAAAGTCTGGGAAGAGGGGGAGGAAGAGCCTTCGAAGGGGGATGGCGGTTTCGCAGGGTGGTGCTGGTGATAATGAGAACGAGGAGAAGCCGAGGGAGGTTAGGAAGGAACGAAGTGTTCCGGAAGATTTGGGTCTTGAGGCTGGTGTGGATCCTGAAAGTAGCAGCAGGAAACAACGGCGGGCGACGATGCAAGTGACCGCGGAAGAAAGACTGAAGTTGGAGGAGAAGAAACGATGGAGTCGGAGGTTGAGTGGACAGAGTTTTAGCACGGGGACGACAACTACGTTGAGCGAAGAAGCGAATGGGCCGCCTGCGTCTCCTGTTCCTTCGCGCAATCCGCAACCTCCATCTTCGCCCATGCCTGGTGGGAAGTCGATGGACAGGGTAGTTTCGGGCTCTCCAGCCAGGAAACGGCTTTCATTGAAGAAAGACCTGGACGATTCAGGGGAATACGATGCAGGCGAAGAAAGCGACCCAGAAGATTCGGAGACGCCTTGGATATGCACCCTGAAGATCCGTCGAGTTGGGGGTGATGCGAACCTTTCACGTACCAGCTCGAGTATGAATGGTCATGAGAATGGGGGACACTCGAAAGCTGCTTCCAGCGCTAACGTTGGCACGGGGATCCTCCGCTTGAAAGTGGGCACGCTGTCTCCGACACCGCATCATCCCAAAGTGGTCGCCATGCTTAAAGTCCCGTTTCCACTCCCTGACGTGGAGGTGGAGAGGATGGGGGTGGTGAAGCGCCGTGGGGTGGGTGCGCCTGCTCGGCAGACTTATGCTGGGTTGACGCTTACGGCGGAGGAGATCAAGGATGTGGTGTGTAGTACTGGCCTGTGGTTGGTTGTTCGAGAGGGCTTTGGAGGGGTTGGAAAGGTTAATCGGAAGGGTGATGGGTGGAGGATTAGAGCGTAGGTGGTTGATGCGATGGGGAGAAGGGGGTGAGTTTGATCTAATACTTACGAATTACTATGCCACATCTCCTTTTTTCTTTTCTATCTTTTTGTTTTTGTCCTTGTTTTTAGTTTTCTGTCTGGTTCTTTCGGTTGTCGTCATATTCATACACCACAGCATTATCCCTACACCCATTTGAACCATTCCCGTTCAATTCACGATCTTCATTCTGTACATATATTACCTTGTATCATGTAAACTGTAGGCCCACAAATTTTTACAATGGGCGTGGAGGCTTTTGTTTTTGGTCAGTCACTTAAGTTGGAGGGAGAGCCCAGGCTAATTATAAACGGTGCGTTGCTAATAATAGACTGGTATTGACATGTGTCGCCCACGCCAAACAATCATTTCAAGAAACCAACCTAGGTGAATGGAGAGTCGGGATACTACCATCAGGACTTCCGCATCGCCGCTTCTCATGTTTAACTATTCAACAAGGACACAGAATGAAAACTTGTCTTTCCCTAGCATAACGATGCTAGCGCACCCCCAAGTCCTTCGCTGGCAAGCAAATATTATAAGTGGCATCGACCTAGCTTACACTGACGTGTCTGTAGGATATCACTCAGAAGACGTCGCCTCCTACTGCACGCCATCAATCTGCTGAGAACTACAATTCGGAGGATGAGGCATTTATTGAAGGACCCGATGAGGTGTGTAAACATATCGATCAGTATACATTTCTCGACTAACATTACTGGGAAGATAAAGACCAATGAACATGGTCAAGCATGGCAAATACACCTATCGGGACTTACGCAAGAGATCATTGAAACGTCCTCATTCCAAATCTCTTGCCCGCCTCCCTTCCTCGCAATGAGACCGCAACGTCTTTTGAATTCCCGAGGTGTGAGCTGATTGTGTCTAGAAGGTCACAAGTCCTGGGTGGAAAACTAGACGTCAACGCGATTCATGAAGTCACCTCCACGAAATTGGCTTATCACTGAGGACCCGAGAAAGGCCATATGCCAGGAAGTTGACCTTGAAATGTCCATGATTTATTGGCTCAGCAATTGGATAAAACTGTTATTCTCTGGCTTATATCCGATTGATCGGTTGCGTTTCAATGCACCACTGGGCTGAATCTCATGGCACCCTCCATGGAATGCCAATGACTTGCATCCAAACAGGTTTTCAGATGTTGGCGTCTGGGATCAAGTTCGAATCATGACTCCTGCCGAACTCAAGCAAATGGGTGATTGCACACGTTGACAAACTTACTAGCCGTCTATACTTTCAGATCGCATGATCAAGGAAATTAGCTCGAACAAAGGATCTCACTGGACTATCCCGAACCATGTCCTCGGCGCAGAATGAACACAGGCAAACACAATTCGATCGTGGCAGCGGAGAAAGTACAACATTTAGAACCGAAATCAGACTCCACAGTGCTTGGACTCTACAAACTCTTCGAGTAACACCATTATGGATGTTTTTGACACTTCACACCACAAGCTTCCAAACACTTGCATCATATTACCCACCAGGCGCCAAGTCCTGGCATGAATGTCTTCATCATCTGTGCAAGCTCCAAGTTTCTTTTCAGTGTAGAACTCTCCCACCCAGCCAACCTTTTGGAGGTGACTGCTCCGAAGGTTCCGATCCGTCTGACCTCCTCACAGAGCTTCGCGTCATAATCCTCAGCCAATGCTTTGTCATGCGCAATCCCCGCGTCTTCATGCGAGTCCTCAGCGTGTGGTATGTTCGGGCTGAAACCAGTGATCGCATCCCTGGACTCTGGCACGAAAAGGACGAACCAAACCTCCTGCAAATACTTCATGTAGAAGCGTGGGCCTACTGGAAGACCAACAGTGGTTGCAGAAAAACGGGGTTTGGCGAGCCCAAACTCGCTGATGTCGAGAAGGAGCGTGCATAGTTCGCCTATCATGTAGCCAAAAAATTTGAATGCGTCGAACATCTTTGCAAGGTCGTCGATGGTCGCAGGGAGTGGGTGTGTTTTTAAGGTCCCACCATCACCCTCGGATTCTGAGTCGTCAGACTCGGCGTCTGGCTCCCAGTACTCACCCCAGTGGTAGAGGAGGATGCTTCAGGGACTTTGGTCCAGTCGATGGGGGTGGTGGCGCAAGAGGAGGGTACAAAGCGTAGATCGCTCGGATCACCCATCTTTTGTGAAGACGGACACTAGAGACCTTGAAGGTAGATGAACCTTGTGGGACTGCCTGAGACATCTCAGACTCGGAAAGGAGGCTGTAATCAAAGGCGCACATTTTAGTATGGTCTCATTCTAACACTTAAGTGACTCCATGCCCATTGTAAACTTTTATGCCTACGGTTTACAAGATACACGGTAATCAACGAAATTGGATTTTCGGAACGATAACGAGCAGTGAAGTCTGCCCGAAATTCGTCAGAGAGACTATTCAACACCATACAGAAACGCGAGGGCAGGATTCCCGACCTGAATTCTAGACCCTCAGCGACCACAAAATGGTGGACAATCCCGCGTTGTTAACCTAGATGTTCAGAGGGTTAGATCCAGTTTATCCATATGAGATAGCAATATGCGTGAACTCAAGAAGTAGATGAAGGCTCGAGTGGAGTAGGGAATGTGGAGACAGAGAAGGCGAGCGCCAAACGAATGAAGGTCGAAGCAGAGAGAAAACATACAAAAAGCATATTGTTCATCCATAACGTAACACGTGGCGGCGACTGGTTTGCCTCCAGATACGCTTGGAGGGAAGGGTTAATGTCAGCGCCAGGCGGGGTCCGTAATCCGTCTTTTTCCGCTCTCCATCTACTGTGGGCGGCGATGTGGTTCCGAAGACAATGCCGATACAGAAAATCCTCATGATCTGGTTTTGAGCGGAGATTCGACCTGGCCTGAGGATCTGTTTTCTTGGTGAGACGACTTAGACGTTAGTGATACACATAGTGCGACACAGAAAGAAGACGGGAACGAGAGGAAGCATTGGGGCGAGTGCAGGAGAAAACAGAAATAGGACACTAAGGTCCGTAACGAGAGAAAGAACGTGAGGGGACAAGCGAAGACGGATGAATCACATACCAGATATGTAGACTCTAACCTCAGCCAAGTTACCTAATAGGTCTGGATCAAGAACCGGTCTCTTCCTCGAGTCCCAGATCCAAGATGATTTCCATTCATCGCAGAGTATAAACCTTCTACGTTGGAGAGCTTTATAGGAGGTGGAAGACAAAGAGGCGACTGCTGCCTAGGGACGACCTATCGCCGTGGAAGGGAGAAGGAGATGCGTTCGGAGATCAATGTCAGGCTAAGGAGTAGATAAATGACTGCTTAGAAAGGAGCAATAGGTCGAGAGAAGAAAAAAGACACACGACTGCCACCACAGCCAGTGAAGGGCTCACGTATTCGTTCGTTGTCCAAGTATGCGGCAGGTTGGGAGCAATATAGGTACGATGGCGTCGATCCCGAGTCCCTGGGGGTGGATGAGGGCAGTGAACGGACGGCTAAAGGGAAGGCTACACACCATGATTCTGTACGAGGACTTTCTGGATGAACAGTGACTTGCCAACTTGGTGGTGAGTGGGTTTTCGGGTCCTTCACCGACAAAGATAACAAAGAGCTAGAGGAAATTTAGGGACGTAGATGGCTGGGACAGGAAAGGGGAAACCTACGATGAATTCGTGCTAGGTGCACCCGTGTGGCAACAGAAGAAGTTGGAGGAAGGAATAACGTGGGAAGTAAGCTGTACGCCCATCTCGTCTCTTTGAGTCTACAGTCGTGGACAAGCAAAGCCCACTAATTTGGTATCTTGGTAAATAATGTATCTAGAGCTGAGATTTTTCCAGATTCTGGCTCAGATTTGCGAAATGCGTCGAAAAACGCACCTCCGATGTTTTTCCCACGAGGAATTGGTGTGGCCAAAATTTTGGACCAAAAAACTGCAACATTTGGGGAGAAAAACAGGTCAAAACCGGCCAGAAATTATCGAAAGTTGGTACCTGTGCTGGGCTTCGGCTGGAAGCTACTCAGAAAGGGCAAAGAATCTATCAGAAAGGGATTTCCCTGCATTTCGAAAGCCTAGTGTGATGGAATTTCTTAGTCCCGTGATAGATGTCACATCAAAAAGTGACTAAGTGCCCAATTTGGGTCAATGTTTGGCAATTTTTTCCAGAAGAACCGCTCGATAAATTGTTTCGAAACTTGATGGGCAGATTGTTCTCCGTGAAAGGAAGCGATTCCGCTATTTTTCATATTTTTCTTGGCACTTTTTGGTGTCCGGCCAAAAATCTAGGGTCTATTTTTGTATATGGCCATTTTCTCCAAAACGGCTCGTGAGACTTGGCTGAAATTTGGCCAGAAGCTTCCCTCAACGTATCTGCACGTTTTCCGGGCACTTTGGTAGCCATCAATAATTTCCATTTTTATTAGTGGGCTTTGCTTGTCCACGACTGTAGCCTTTATCTACAACCTTCATCTCAACCAACTTCCACCAAACCTCTTTCTTGATCGACAAGCTTCAATCAACCTCTACAACATCTCGTCACCATGCCAGAGTCAAAATTACCCTCCGATAGTTATAACGAATCAGATAGTCCTTCCATCCAAGAGCTAGGATCTCATATCGTGGGAGCTCGCGTACGTATCACGAATTAGGGAAATATCTTTTGTGGTTGTTAACAATATTTATACAGACCCCAGTTGGAGAAAGTGACGCTACCAAAGCCAGTGCACAGGAGAGCCCTCAACTAGTACATCCTTTACCTTTACAACATTCAATGCATCACGGTAGGCTAATGAAGAGCAGGTCACAGATATTGGCCCAGCTGGACGCACAACAGACATTGATGGGAACACTATCGCTACCGATGTAAGTAAATGATGTTGTCTCACTTCTTGAGATTGTGATTAAAATGACCTATACTGCAGGAGCTCGAGGATGATGTGTCTGGAATGATCAATCTTGCTGTCTCGCTCATGGCAGAATGCAAGGCAGGGTTATCGCTTTCAGAGCTAAACAATGTGGTCTTCCTGTTCCGTCAAGTTAAAGATAGCCACCCAGCAACACACCTGCTCCACCGTGCTGCCAAGAGAGATCTTGCCTCCGTGTTGGGTGTCAGATTCATGTATACCAATCACAGACATGATTTGATGGAATCTTTGACTCTTCACAATGAGATAGTCAAGGGTTGGAATTTAGACCAAGAGGCAAGCCCTGAAGTGAGTGTATTTCATTCTTGACAACATATATTAGCTTAGTGAAGAATAAGACCAATACTGCTATCCAACTAGAGGACAAGACAGACACAGAAGTCACATTGAACCTGGCAAAGGGATTGTTGACAAACTTCCAGAAGTCAACTTCCCTTCACATTCTGAATGACATTGTCTTCCTTGTTCAACAGGCACTTCCACAATTATCAGCTGCATCTACTAGCTGGTTCATTGCATTAACAACTCTGGTTGATGCACTATATGCCCGCTTTAACCATTCCTATAATCTGACCGACCTGAATGAAGCAATTTCTAGTTTGCAAGATGCTAGCAAATGTTGCATGAAGCCAGATCAGCAAGAATCAAACATGAACTTCCGGATCTGTGGGCTGTTAGCAACACGATTCGATTTAATGGGGGATATTTCTGATCTTCCAACAGCATTGGATTCAACTATCAGAGGCACTAAAACTTCCACAGGTATTCTGGAATCACTTAAATTCGCCAATCAACTTTGTAAACAGTTCACAATGTCAGGTAACATGGCTTACCTAAATACTGCAGTGACACTTCTCAGGAGAGGGATTGCAAAACTACCTCAGGGAAGTGAGAATCATGCAGCTGTTGTCAATAATCTTGCAAATGCACTGTTGACCCGATTTGAGCAAGGAGGTCAGCAAAGTGATCTTGATGAAGCCCTTTCTCTGCACAGGCAAGCTCTCAAGCTCCAACTTCCATCCCATCCCAATTGATTCAACTCGCTCAACAACCTTGCAAATGCACTGTCAACCCGATTTGAGCAAGGAGGCCAGCGAAGTGATCTTGATGAAGCCATTTCTCTGCATAGGCAAGCTCTCAAGCTCTTCCTTCCACCTCATCCCAAACAATCCAGCTCACTCAACAATCTTGCAAATGCACTGTCAACCCGATTTGAGCAAGGAGGTCAGCAAAGTGATCTCAATGAAGCCATTTCTCTGTACAGGCAAGCTCTTGAGCTCCGACTTCCACCCCATCCCCTGCAATCCAGAGGCACACTCCACAATCTTGCTTCTGCACTGGTGATTCGATTTGAGCAAGGAGGTCAGCAAAGTGATCTCAATGAAGGCATTTCTCTGCACAGGCAAGCTCTCCAGCTTTTTCTTCCACCCCATCCCTTTCGATCCAACTCACTCAACAATCTTGCAAATGCACTGTGGACCCAATTTGAGCAAGGAGGTCAGCAAAGTGACCTGGATGAAGCCATTTCTCTGCACAGGCAAGCTCTTGAGCTCCGTCTTCAACCCCATCCCAATCGACCCACCTCACTAAACAATCTTGCTTCTGCACTGTCAACCCGATTTGAGCAAGGAGGTCAGCAAAGTGACCTTGATGAAGCCATTTTTCTGCAAAGGCAAGCTCTCGAACTCTTCCTTCCACCCCATCCCCTTCGACCCAGCTCACTCCACAATCTTGCTTCTGCACTGTCAACCCGATTTTGGCGAAGAGGTCAGCAAAGTGATATTGATGAAGCCATTTCTCTGCACAGGCAAGCTCTTGAGCTCTTCCTTCCACCCCATCCCCTTCGATCCAGCTCACTCCACAATCTTGCTTCTGCACTGTCAATCCGATTTCGGCAAGTAGGTCAGCAAAGTGATCTCAATGAAGCCATTTCTCTGCAAAGGCAAGCTCTCAAACTCTTCCTTCCACCCCATCCCCTTCAATCCAGCTCACTCAACAATCTTGCAAATGCACTGTTGACCCAGTTTCAGCAAGGAGGTCAGCAAAGTGATCTTGATGAAGCCATTTCTCTGCACAGGCAAGCTCTCAAGCTCCGGCTTCCACCCCATCTTGACCGATCCAGCTCCCTTCACAATCTTGCTTCTGCACTATCAACCCAATTTCAGCAAGGAGGTCAGCAAAGTGATCTTGATAAAGCAATGTCTCTATTCCTCGCTGCTACCCAATACCCATTCCAATCTCCATCAAATCGCCTCCGTGTTGCAAGGGGGTGGACACGTTGTGCAGATAGAAATCAACATAGCTCTGCAATTGATGCTTATGAAGCTTCCATACAGGCTTTACCACGGGTGGCTGCTCTGAGCTTGGATGTAGCATCACGACAGGACGCCATGACTGCAGGTAGTGATGGCTTAGCTCGGGATGCAGCTAGATGTGCTATTCGCTCTGGATGTATAGACAAAGCCATAGAACTTCTAGAAGCAGGACGAAGTATCTTCTGGTCACAGGTTCTATCTCTCCGCTCACCCTTTGATCAACTTCACAAGATTGCACCGGAATTGGCAGATAAGCTACGAAGTATTGCAACTAAGCTGGAGATTGGGTCTCATCGTGATGTTTTTTCTGAGATTTCAGACAACAGAAAGAAGTTGTCTATAGAGCAGGAAGCAGCCCGACTCAATCACCTTAACCAAGAATGGGCTCAATCTATTCATGAAGTTAGGAAATTGAGTGGATTTGAGGACTTTCTATGCCCATCCCGTCTATCCTCACTCAAAGCAGCTGCATCAGAACATCCAGTTGTCATTCTCATCGCAAATGATGATGAAAGCCATTGCCTCATCATGACATCAACAATCATTCATCACATCCCTCTTCCAAACTTAGGCACTCCAACATTGAAGGAACTTGTTCATAAGATTCAGATAGCTGGCTCTCAGTCACCAATATCACGGTTGCTCATTGATCAAACCCAAGACATAAATATAGAGCTTCTGGAAGAAGAGCGAGCAGGGAGGGTTAGCAGCGATACTCAACTTAGATCTTCAGATGACCTGTTCAAATCCGTTTTGAGGATGCTGTGGGATGAATTGGTGAAGCCAGTCATTAATGTTCTCAATATTAAGGTCAGTCAATATATTTCTGCAAATGATCAACCTACTCACAAAATATTATAGAAATCGGACAAAATGACTGTTCTGCAATGGTGCCCAACTGGTCATTTTACCTTCCTCCCCATCCATGCCGCAGGCTGCTATGATGACAAGCTAGCTATTGATTGTGCTCCAGATTACTTCATTTCCTCATATACTCCAACCATAGGGGCACTTCTGGCTTTGGATTCAGCTCCTGATTCAGCTCCCACCACCCAATCATTCCAAATGATGGCTGTGATCCAATCTAAAGGGCTTCGTTATACAAGAATGGAGCTAGAAAACATTCAACGACATGTACCCTCCGAAGCTCTCATCAAATTAGGAGTTCCCGAAGTACCTGCTGGAGTTGAAGCCGTTGCCTCCCATCTTTCGAGTGTGTCTATCGTTCACTTTGCATGCCATGGGAATCAAAATCCACAAAATCCACTTGACAGTGGGCTCACACTCGATGATGGGCTACTCCGAATCTCGAGAATCATGAAGGAAAAGATGCCAAATGGATCACTTGCCTTTCTCTGTGCCTGCGAGACGGCTGTAGGTGATCAAAATCTACCAGATGAGGCAATGAGCATAGGTGCAAGCTTGATCTTTTCCGGATTTCGGCGGGTCATTGCTACTATGTGGTAGGTTGTTCTTAGCATTTTTCCCTTGGAAATACATTCTGAGAGTGTTTATTGGGCTAGGAAAATGAGTGACGAAGACGGACCTACCATTGTGGATACATTCTATGAAGAACTTTTCTCTGGCAGTCCTGATGGAAGACCAGCTCTTAAACCTGATATGACAAAGTCTGCCCTAGCCCTTCACCTTGCAGTCAAGAAACTCCGTTCACAGGGTGTTCCATTCCGACGTTGGGTTCCCTTTATCCATATGGGCAAATGATATGGGTACAATATAATACATTTTGCCAGTATACTGTATGTTTCGACTCCGTTTGGGATATTTTTTGTTTCTCTAAGGCTGCCTGCCCTCTTTTGTTAAAAACGATGTCAATAAAATGCGAATCAAGATAATGATCTATGATATTTAGCCGTGAAAATAAATGAGTCATATTGTCTTCGCAACTGTGTCATTACCACCGTGCCCTAAGGCTATGACAACCGAGGAACCAGACAGAAAACGAAAAGAACGAAAACAGAAAAAAATTGCATCGTTTCCACTCGTTGTTTCCGGCTGGTTTCAGCATCTACATTGGCCTCAAAACCCAATTCTTCCGGAGCCCTACCAGCTGGTGTTTACTCTCCTTCTCCTGCTGATGCACCCACAACGTCGTGCCCTCGCTCCCCGTAACAAGTGGGGACCCAAATCCGGGGTCGTGGCTGATGACACAAAAATCGCATGGATACCCAGGATAGGGAATCGAAGTCGGAGTTGTGGAGAAGGCGCTGAGCTTGATCTTACTGTGGACTCCATAGCTGGATGGATGGGAAGAAGCCCCTGCTGCCCTTGGGAGGGGCAGTCTGGGAGAGTGAATCCACGCTGCCGAGACTTCCAGTTCCGGCCAAATTTAGTGCACTGTGGTTGTTCCCGCACAAAGTGGATTTCGGCGATCCTTCACGACTTTCTCTCCTCACGATACCGTCACCCATCACTGCACTTGATCGGTTTTTAATGGAACTTGATATAGCATTGGTCAGGCTCAATTCCGACTGTGGCCTTTGGATGGCGCTACTGGGGGAGCTTGGACTTGGATCTACATCCGCGGGACGTGGGGTCTGGGGTGCCCGTTAAGTTGGGTTTATTTGCTGGGAGGCCGGGGATGTTGGTGGGCTCGTTGTGTGTTCTTTAGCGGGAAACATGGAAAGGTCCGCAAAGGCAGGTAATTTTAGTGCGGAAGCCCTGTCTGCACCATTGAAAGGGGAATCCTTCGTCGTAACACTCCGGCTATTGAAGACTTTCGCGGTGGCTGCCGCTGGGGTTCATCAAACTGAGCTTTTGTGTGGAAGAAGACGGAGTTGGGGTGAACTGAGTGAACTGAAACGTCGGTGGTGAGGATGACTTGCAGCTGTGGTGCAATGGGTATTGTTTCTGAGTGAAGGGATACGGCGGAGGAAGCTGCGAAAGATGTGGCGGGTCTACTGGATGTTCCTGGCTGAAGGAAGCCCGCCGCATTCCCAAAGGTCGCCAAGCTCCCTTTGTTGGGTGTCACTTACTTCGCCTCCCTCTACAAACTTCTACAGGTTCCATTACAGCCAGATTATGAGTTCCATATCGCGTTTTTGGAATTCAGAAATTTTGGCGTCAGTGCCAGCATCAACGATACCATTGGTCATTACATTATGGGCTTGAAGATTGTAAAAAGGAATGATAGTCGGGCAGGTAGAAACGGTTGTCGAATTGGAAACGACAAGGACGACCGTTTCGTCGGTAAGAGCACTATTGTGCTCGTACCCACCCGTGGGTACGACATCCAATGGTGGACTGAGGGTACGAGCTGTACCTGCATATGAATCGACTTTGATGGAGGTGGTCGAACAAAGATGAAGATCTGTTTGTAGTAAATAAGTTGAGAACACAAGATTGAAATGGATTATTTAAATAACCTCATTCGCAGGTTTATGGTCTGTCTGAAAATTCTGCTTGGATGGTTGGGGCTGTTGTTCTGAAGATGCGAGTGGATTGGATGAAGGGAGAAAGGTAAATTATTGACATGCGTCGCCCATGCCAAACAATCATTACATCAACTACCAGAACCAGCCATTGAAGGTGAATGGAGAGTCGAGGTGGTGCCACCAGGACTCCCGCATCGCCGGTAGGTGCGCTTATCATGTTTAACTCTTCGACAAGGACACAGCATGAAAACTTGTCTTTCCTAGCATAACGACACTAGCGCACCCCCAGGTCCTTCGTTGGTAAGTAAGCGAAAATATTATCAATGGCGTCGACCTAACTTACACTGACATGTCTGTAGCATATCAAGCCTCCTCCCTTACGTACCCCTTCTCAAACTCAGAAGACGTCGCCTCTTGGTGCACGCTATCAATCTGCTGGGAATTACAATTCGGAAGATGAGGCGTTTATTGAAGGGCCCGAAGAGGTGTGTAAACAGATCGAGTAGCATACGTTCTCGACTAACATTACTGGAAAGATAAAGACCTGGCGATCTGGAGAACAATTCCAACATCCACTTTCTCAAACAGACGACGACCCATGGATGACTTGCAATGGCATTGTGGGGAAATTCGACAAGGACATGTGTGACGTATGGAAAGACGAAATACAGAACCTTCTCATATTTGTGAGCTTTTTTCTCGATTTTAGTCTTTTTACGAATGTTCAACCATCCGTATTCTATCTAGGCAGGTCTCTTCTCAGCAGTGGTTACTGCATTTACAATTGAGTCATACCAGCTGCTCAAGGGAAATTCTGTAACAGCTCACTCAGAGCGGATAAACATCCTCTGGTTTGTCAGTTTGTCACTGAGTTTGGCGACTGTCTCGATTGGCATCGTTTGCATGCAATGGCTCCGCGAATTTCAACGAGACGCCAACTTGCCTCCCAAGGATTCTGTTGCCCTCCGTCAAATGCGCTATGAGGGTTTGCTGAAATGGCGCGTGCCAGGCATTCTTTCGGTGCTTCCGTTGCTCCTTCAGGGAGGTCTTGTCTTATTTCTGGCTGGTCTCCTGGACCTATTATGGCATCTGAACCACAAGGTTGCAATTGCTGTCACTACTGTCGTCGCAGGTCCGATGTTGTTTCTCGCTGTGACAACAGTGCTTCCCGCTTTACAAGTCATCATCACTCAGGATCGCCACCTCCGTATTGCCCAGTGTCCGTACAAGTCACCACAGTCTTGGGCATTTTATCGCGTCGCCATTTTCTCGGCGCGTTTTGCCCTATATATTGATCAATATATGAGAGGTCAAAACCAGCGTATCGCTACGAAACGTGGAGTTCTGAGATGCCTTTCCCAAGTACGCAATTGGCTTCAGTACGATATTTATTGGTGGCAACTACGCGAGGCTTTCTCTGTGAACGCCGCAGGAGAGCCCTGCTTGACGACAGATAGCCACGATATAATTGGAGGCTTAGTATGGATTGCAGAGGCGTCTCTGCATAGCATCCCTTGGCTCAGTGCCGTCCAAGCTTGTTTTCGGGATCTCGACTCTTTGCCTGCGGTCAAAGCACTACGGCTACTGTTCCGCACCAAAGGAGATCTTTCTGTTCCGAGCGAACTGCGCGTAGTTCGCGATCCTGTAATCCATCAAGATATCGTTGCAGCGCATGTGCTCTCATACTTCCGGGAACACAATCATCAATTACATGAATTCCTTCTGCCTCACCGCACAGAGTTGTATGTGCGCATCAGAAACAGCTCAGTTGGAAGCTACAACATGAAGGACGGTGTTACATGCCCCGTGAGCACATTTCATGATGTGAAACAACTACCAAAAGGTTCGTCCAGTGCTTTAAACCCTCATGCAATGTCCATTGTCTAACCATATTTTCTCTAGATATATACATCCAATTTTTATACTGCTTCTCCTCATTGCTTTCTAAGAAAGACGTGAAGCAGGAAGACATGGACGCTGCGTGGTACATCTTCGTCATCATTCTCCGTGATCCACAATTGCCTGACCTTGATTCACGTCGTGCACTTGAGAGGTTTTTGGGATCTCTTGAGCGATGGGTGAACGAAACCGAAGGCCCTGCGAGGTTGCGTCCTGTAGAGGGTTTGGTGGACCACATTTTAGCCTTTCACAGGAGTCGTGCCTATGCCTTGATTCGGGAGAGGGTGCCTGAATGCCTCCCTCTGTTTTCTTCGGTTCTGGGGTCTTTGGATGATGCGGTGGTGCAGTATGGTTTTCCTGAATCTTTCTCTCGGATGCCTGATGTTGATTATTGGTGGGGTCTTGCGATGGAAATGAGGGTGGACAATACCCCGGTCCCTGGTGATACCCAGTAAGAATGCGGCTATGGACTTCGCTTGACTGTCAGTATGTAGGACTTGATATCGTTAATTATACGGGCATAGTTTGGTCGTCCATGAGTATATATACTCAGGACACCTGGTCTGCCCGCAAATATCAACCAGTCCTTCTGTGAGCAAAACTGAGAGGCTTGCCGCCGCTCTCTGCCCCCCCACCCCCAGGCAGGACCCACGCGTAGGGCGTACACCCACATTGCAATGCAAAACTCTATTTCTATTAGTACGATAACCAACGCGCCTGCGAGTGCCGACGTAGAAATCCAAAGGTCAGGCTTTCAGGACTCAGGAGCACCGTCAGCTCTAAGTAAGGCTGCGACCACGGGAGGAGGTCGACGGTACCGCAGCCCTTTCATTGACAGGATCTGGCGTTTCAACCGTGCACAACGTTCCCCACAACTGCAGGCCAACCTTTGACATGTGCTTGTGGTTACATTTTGTTATTGGTTGCCCGGATTTTAAGGATCTATTGCCGCCATTAAGGAACGGGACTCCTGAGCTTCTCGCTCCATCAAATCAATAATGGGCGTCTTCTTCGTAGAGATTGCAAGTGATAACAGAGGATGGATATAATGTATGAGTGCTGGCAAGACGAGTAATGGGCCTCTCTGGAAGAGGGACTTGTAAATTTAAGTTGATGATGGGGTTGGTGATGGTCACTGGAATTGATGAGAAAAAGTCTACTTGAATTATTGTGAACGGTGAATCAAATACAACCGCTTTCCCTGTACTTACTTACTCTCATCATAGTTCTGACCTTGCCATCGACGAGACTGCCTTCCTCGCCGTTCTCGATGGTCAAGGAGCCTCCTATACCCCGCTCGCCCTTGCCAGGTGCCAAGCGATTCCGTCCTCCCAACATTGATCTCACTCGTGCGAGTGAGAAGCGGGGCCCCACAGTCCAACTCGAATCAGAAACGCTCGCATCTCCCCTCAACCTTCAGCTTTCTGACAATGAATTGGATGATATCCTACAGCTTTCTTCGCCAGAGTCATCTCCGTCTTTATCTCCTGTATCAGCCGCCGTTCCGTCTCTAAATATACCAACGGGAGAAGACGCCGTCCCAGACGACCTCTCAAAGGATCTGGCTGTGCTTGAACGACTCCGCAAAAGTGTTCAGCAAAACTTACGGCTTCGTCCTATACGCTCTCGCAGCAATCTTAAAGTCGACCTCAGTGTTGAATTCTCTCCTCCCAAAACCCCAAGATCCCCCTTCCCGCCGAGCGCCACATCTCCTTCACGGAAAGAATCTGACCCTCTGAGCGCAATTAGCCCTACGTCCAGCGTATCTTCGTCATATTTCACCCCCATCGCTGAAACACCACGTAGCAGCCTATTTGCAGGGTCAAGCCATGCAGAACGCTTCACCACCATACCAATCCCGCAATTACCACATCCCCCCAGTTCCATCAGCCCCAAGATTCTATATGATCGCATGGTGTCCCCAAAACGTCCTTTGTTGATCGATACTCGCACTTTGGTCTCTCATCAAGAATTTCATGTGCAACATAGCATTAATATCGCCATCCCCTCTCTTATTCTAAAGCGCTGTCGGAAACCTGGAGGCGGATTCCAAACCCTTGACGCGTTGCGTCAGTTTATCACCTCTGATCAGGGGAAAGCAGAGTGGGATAATTACATGCGTCCAGGAGGCGCCTGGGATGGGGATGTGGTGGTATACGATGACGAAATGAGTCTGAAGGACAAGGACAACGCTAGTATGACTGCATGGGCCGTAATTCATGTTATATCCCCGCTGCTCAGCTACGGCAGTGTTCATTATCTGGATGGTGGCATCTCCATCGCAGGACATCACCCCTATCTCGAAAGGTTGATCGTAACCGAAGGGGAATCGCATGTCGCAGAGAAACCAACGCCCCAAGGAGCTCTCCAGAAAGGTCCAAAAAAGGGTGCAGGATTGTTTCAGTTGGACACCCAGACTGCCTTCAGGTCAAAGCAATTGCCAGAATTAGAGCCTTCATCTTCTACAGCTTCCAACCCACCATCTCCCCTCCCGCGATCACCTATGCCTATGATGCCCTCTGTGTCATCATCCCGAACTTTATCTTCAGCGGATCCGGACCAGATCAACATTGTAGATGCGACACCTTCACCTACGCCGTCGTCTGTTGGATTCAGGCGACCCCTACCACCCCGTCGGCCCAGCGTCCCAAATCTTCGTCGCATAGAAACGAAGTCCACTGAGCGACTTAATGGAAACCCTCCAAAGTTATCTGTACGCACAAAACCCATGCGTTCAGTGACTTTGGCCGTTCCACCCTCTCTTTCACTTTCTTTGCAGATACCCACTTCCCCATCCCATCTGAATCTTCTCTACTCAACTCATTCTCCACCAGCATCCGCTCGATGGACACCAACGTCACCCTCTATAAATGATCCAGCCAATTACCTCACACCTTACTTCACCCCTCCACATACGCCTGCCACCCCAAAACCCTTCTTACCGCCATCACCACACACCGCCCGACTCGAGCTCGATCCTCCAACTACCGACGATTCTTTCCCCGTATTCACGATCTCGACCATTCTTCCCAATTTCCTGTACCTTGGTCCGGAGTTGACAACACAGGAACATGTTGGAGAACTGCAAGAGCTCGGCGTCCGCCGAATATTAAACATTGCCGCTGAATGCGACGATGACCAGGGGCTCCGATTGAGAGAGGTTTTTGAAAAGTACTTCAAGATACCAATGAGGGACACAGTCGAAGAAGAGAACATTGCACAGGGTGTGAAAGAAGTCTGTGAGATTCTTGGTGAGCCCCAACGTTTCCTGTTAGCGCATGTATGTATTCATTCTTCGGTAGATGACGCCCGGCTACACTCGGCACCCACCTACGTCCACTGTAAAGCTGGAAAATCTCGCTCAGTCACAGCTGTCATGGCCTACCTCATCCACGCAAACCACTGGACACTCTCACGTGCTTATTCATTCGTGCTCGAAAGACGGAAAGGAATCTCTCCCAATATTGGGTTCGTCTCGGAGCTTATGAGCTTTGAGGAACAAGAGCTGGGAGGAAAGTCTGTCGGGGTACAACCTTCAGCTCCAGGTGGTGGCTCTTCGACTCAAGATAATGGTGTGCCAGATAACTATGGTGCTGCGGTGGGTCGACGCAGCGGCCACGTACGCGAAAGTTTACCGCCAGCCCTTGGCGGCCTTGATTCTCTTGGGGTAAACGGTGGCCCCATGTCCGCAGGAGGTCTGATGGACAGAGTCATGGGTGATTCTGGCCAAGAGATGGAGATCAAAGACTCTTCTGGCAGGTATCGCCATGCTAGAAGGGCCCCTGTGGACGAGAATACTTTGCAGCCCATGAGAAGGGTGAGCAAAGCTGGACTGGAGAGCTCGTTCTATGGATGATGTAACTGTGCTCTTCTTTCTCGTGCTTTGATTTATTCTTTGAGAGCTTATTATCCTGTCAGTACCATCGCGTCTCCTTCCCATTCCCTTAACAATTTTACATCGTTTTTCTTCGGATACATACACATCATACCCCTCCTTTCACGGCTACGATTCTCTTTACCTTGGTCATTGCATGCACGCTTACTTTGTGCTCTAAATTATTCTCTCCTCCATTTGAAAAAACAAAAGAACTAGTATCTATTCTTCTCTCAGAAGTTCTCGTGCAAGACCACCCGCCACAAGAACCCCTTGTTCCTCCGGATCCAATGCTTCCATTCCACCCTCCAGCAAAAGTTGAGACCTAGAAGAATTCTATCAGTCTCATTGCGTTGATCGAGGTTGAATCCTCACTCCAAACGTGATATATAGCTTCCGTCCGACTCCAAGCGAAGGTCAGGTCCCACGTATCTGCCCAGTCAACCAACCATCAAAGAAACGCATAAAAGTAATGCACACGACTCACAGTTTATTCCTTACCGAAAACTGCAGGAAGCTCTTCCAGTACGGGTCGCGCTGCAATAACGCCCCGTTTCCAACGACTACCAATAGCTCTTTAGCACGAGTAATCGCCACATTCATCCTATCCGCGAACGCGAGTCAGAAGTATGTCATCAAGTCAAAGAAAGACCTAACCGTTTTCGCTCGTAAATCAAACCGAGACCTTTTCTGATATCCTCATCCAAGAAACGTTCCTGTGACCGTACGCAAGATATAACGACCACCCTACTCTCCCGACCTTGGTAATCCTATAAGATAAGAAAGAATTGGGGTCAATGACAGAGCCCCGTTGTTCATCATAATTCAAACAGACACCAACCTCGACAGTACCAACATCAACGGCATTCAACATCTCCTTCCTCAACTTCTCTCGCAACTTCCACACCTGCTCCCTCCACGGCGCCATAACCCCAATTTGCTCAGGGTGGAGCACAGGTTTGCAGAGATGGGCATCCTTCAGCAAAGACTTGATAACCTCCACAACCTCCTCGATCTCGCCAGGGTTGTACCACGTAGCCCTCTGTGTGATGTGAATGATCAGGTCGAGACCGTCTACATTCAAGGGACTCAGCCGACGCACTTCGTCGTTGCTCTCCTCTTTGGAGTCGGTCCCGATCACCTTTAGCGGAAGCTTTGGGTTCGGAAGGCCAGACCATACCACGGTCCCGTTCTTGGCGAATGGTTGTAATGTATCGTTGTAAAATATGGCTGATGGCGGCATCAGAATCACAGGGTGGCTGCGGTAATTCTACGACACAAGGGGTGTCATGGTTGTGCATGATTGAAAGGATGAGCCGTACCTTGACAAGATTGGTAGACGGCGCGAGAGAGGGCATGAGGGCCAACGAATTTCCCTTTTTAGCCGTATATAGTGGTCTCTCGAATAGGCGTTCTAGCAGTGATACATTGAGTTCACCCGTGCGAGCCTCCTCCGATGTTACGATGGGGCCCACTGAGTGCATTTGAGATATCCATTCTAAAGTCATAATATCAAAACCTACGCTGATTAGGATCACCACAAAGCACTAATTGAGGTAGGAATGGTTTGGGAACAATTTCGTTGTCTGGCACATGGGGCACAATGACGGAGATGGGTATGAGGAGTTCGGGTTCGGACCCTTGAGCTGCCTAAGAGTCAGACAATCATCAGGTAATGATTGCGAAGGAAGCAAGAAATAGACCTCGTCAATTAACAAATGCGTCCAATGAGGTTCAACAATATATTTCTGCGGTCGATGCGGATGGTAGTTTGCAGTGACCTCTTCCTCCATAGCCATCAAGGTTCTATTGGTGAATTGTGCTCCCACAAGTATATTAGCGTCTAAACAGGAGCATACTACCACTCTATACTTGAAGAGGGTCTTCCAAGGGGGCAGGGCGAACTTGTCTTCTTCGACGTCTGTGAAAAGGTGCACGCTTTAGAACAGTCAGGTTGGGGGAGAGGCAAACACACAGCAATATTGCATAATTTTACTGGGCACCTCAGCAAACGTTCTGTTTTGATCGTTCAGTCGCAACATTTGTGATGGAGTAAGGTTTGGCTGAAGTCGTTGAGCGAGGGTATCTGTTGCTGGATTCGAGGGTGCGCAGAGGAGAACACAAGCTTCAGGTTGAAGGCGGAGGATTTGAAGCACCGCTTCTACGACTGTCCTACAAACAATGTGAATATTCGCTCATTAGCAGTGAAGACAATGTCCTGACCTGGTTTTACCCGTCCCTGGTGGACCACCAATAAGGTGAGGCACAGCCGATTGGTTCAACGCGATAGATGTTACTGCCACCTGGAACACGTCGCGCTAAGCCCATAATCGGACAACGAAAAATGGGCTCAAACAATACTCTTTGTTCTCTATTCAGACCCGGATCAACCCATTCGTCTTCATTGATAAATGCATTCTTCAAGAGGATACGGGGAGTGCCCTTTAAAAAGTCTTGCGGCTCTGGAAAAATCCAATGCCGAGCTATATTCATATTAGACTCTTCAACCAAAACCTCACTAATTGAGGACACAGCAGCTTCCATTGCGCAAGACGGCGCAGCGTTGATCAGGAAGGAGATGTTGAAGGCAAGAGGGAGTTCATCTTCCGGACCGAAAGCATATAGCCCATCTTCAAACTTCTGTCCAAGGATTGGCGTTACGTAGGTTTGTATATGTTTCTTCAAAGTCGGGCTATGTAAATCTGGTGGGAAACCCGTAAAAATTTAACAGCGAAAAGAAAAGAAGGACGCACGAACAAAACCTTCCCTCTTCCTCAAAGTCACAACCCTTCCTTCAAACGCTTTCATACTTCCAATTTTCTGATCCTCGATGACCTCTCGCATGTGTACCAAGTCTCCAATATCTAACCTTGGATGATTTTCGCGTATACCAGGAACATAAAGCACAAATTGCGCATCGCTCCAGATAGCCACGCTGACCCTGGTTTTCCACAAAGTAATCTGCTCTTTTTGAGTGGTCATTGCGTCAAGCTCATGGCGCAGGATGCCAGTCCAATGCTCGTAATATGAAGCTGGATCGAGGGGCGGCCCACTTTCCTCTGGAGGTGGTGCAGCGAGTAGAGCAAGAGGGTGAGAAGATCTGACGATTTTGATTAGACTGGGGAGAAGGTATGTTTGACGATATTGTAAAGGGGGGAATACAGCTATAGGTTCCAGAGGGTATAGGGTATGAGGTTGTTTTTGAATATCTTTTAAGTACTGAGGTATGAAAATGTCTGCCTACAAAGGAGGTAAGCGCAAAATACATCATATCTTGGTGAACTTACATATTTATCAAGTTGAAAGTTTTCTGATGTCTGAGGAGCACAATGATAAGCCACGGCGTCTGATACAATAGAAAGCACTCGCTTGTGATTTTTCTTTACCCTTCTCACCAGTTGGTGAAAATGGGGATTTTATGTCTTCATCGTCGTCGTCGTCCTTCACGGCCATAAATGAAAGCGGGGGCAAGAGGTCAGGATTTCGTCTTCGTCTTTTTTTAACTGGCTGTGTGATCTTAATTTGTTTGTTTTCTGGTTTCAAAGGCAAGAGTCCAGGTCTCGAACTGAAACCAGGGAGAGGAGCCAGACGACCTTTCCAAAACTCATGGATAGCAGGATTACCAGCTGGGTTTTGAACGGGGTTCAGTTGCATTGGGGGTGGCTTGAGAATGCCTGGGGGAGAATTTGGGCGCCTAACATGGTGAGAGGGCGCGTTCTGTGGTGTGTACCATCCATGAGGATCAAGTTGGTAGTTTGAGTTCTGTGGGGGAGCCTGATGGTTAGGGGGCATCGGGCGAGTCTGATAAAAAAAGCCGTTTGGGGCAGGGCGTTGCGGGGAAGGAGGATAGGCAGGAGGGTGGGGAAAAGGAGGTGGGGCGAGTGATCCGGCATGAATCCCGTATTGAGCGCCTACTTGCGTAGGTGGATGGGGGAATGGCGGGTGATAAGGAAGATAAGAGTGTGGATTATATCCATGCTGATGGTGCATAGGTTGAGAGAGAAACTAAGCCCATACACACAGCAGTGACTCGGTACTACTAACGACACCAACAATTCAATTTCATTTATTTCCTACAACTGCGTCACTTCAGAGCCTTTAGCTATACACGTGTAAACACTCGCCGCCCTCTTCCATCGGAGCCATGGCTCTTGCCCTGCAACTACCCTTACACGAGCAAGTCTAAATAAGAAAGCCTCTAATGAGTCCAACAGAAGCGATAAAACTATCATGCTCCCTCTGATCACCACGCTGCTCTCGGCATCCAACGGATGGCAGGCAGGTATGGGATATGGTATCGTCTGACCTATACCTCTCAGGCGAAGGCGTTGCAAAATTCCCAAAGAACTTGACACCTGCGAAGCTGAGAACAATTTGATGAACAGGTCGCGGGATGACGCGGAAAATAGCTTTTCCGTGTCACTGCCGAGCAGGAGGGCATGTTGCGCTGACGGCGAGAGCAATAGAACAATGAACACTTGGGAGGAGAGATATGAGATCGTCAAATGCTCTTTCTCTGCCTGCGACAATGGTGAATATGAAAGCCGAGCTATAGCAGGGTTCGCAGCGATAAGGGTGACGCCGATGCCTGTCTCTTGTACGCGATGAACAAGAAAGCTTATTACGCATCTCTGAGCATATTTCTCAAGCAAGCCTTCATTCAACCATTTCACACCACCCCCTCTTCTGACGAGGTTTTTTGTGTCATCTGGCAGTGCGGAAATCCAGTCTTCAGCAGCAGGCAGGGGCTCTGGCCGCGGGTATACATCAAGTCGCTTCTGGTAGTGCAGCTTCCATGCCATAAGTAAGATACGTGGCATTGTAAGGAACAAGATCAACGGCGCTGTTGCGAGAGTCAGGAGAAGAGCAGAGCTTGTCAGAGGAACGGCTGAAGTCGGTCGAAGAAGCGCCGTCAGCTTGAGTTTCTCCGGGGAATGAGGTATCGACGTCGACGCAGTGTACAGATAGACGCGAACGGTGGGTCTAGGAGGCGGAGGGCTAGCTGACAACTTGACGCGCTCCAGGGAGGGTAGGTGACTTGGCTTCTTTACGGAAACTTTATAAAATCCAGTTCGGTCGTTGAAAGGAGAGACGTGAAATTCTCGTGGAAATGTCCATTGGTGGTCGTAACTAGGACCCGAACGGTGAGCTATACTTTGCTCGTTCTTTGAGAATGTAGGTACTAACCCTCTCGATGGAGTTTCGTCCTCATTGTGGTTCACTTCGAGGACATGGATATGACTCTCCCCAAAAGTATTATGAATCTGAAGCACCAAAAAATGAGGACGCCATAGAAACCTCAATGACACGGCACACACCTCTAGAACGGTAATCCACAAGTCACCATTCTTGTAACAGAAATAAACGGTAAGAGGATTGATCCCCTCAAACCCAAGGAAACTGGGCATTGTCATCATCCACGCATCGTCCATCGTATCCACATAACCACGGTGTCCCAAAATGCCCTCCAACTTGTTGCGGATCGACAAGGCCTTCTGGCCAGTTACATAGGGTTCGGACCGGAGACCAACAAGTCTTCCCCACAAACCTCCGTAGCCAAAGATCCAACCACGCCCCAGGTCTAATGAGCCACGTTCCAAGGCGTCCAGAGATACGAGTAGAGAGAGCGTAGGATATGTAAAGGCGTGCGACGCCTCCAACGGAAGGTGTCTTGCGTGTGTTACCTGGTTCCGCAGAATGTATGCTTGGGGACATAGATGCTCGCTGGGTTCATCAGACTTCCTTCTTCCGTAAAACAAAGAAGAAGCGGACAAAATCAGAGCAAGAACGATGAGCACACCGTCCTGCGGTGTTAGTGCCATTGAGCGTTATCCATCGGCTAAAACATACGGTCTTGGCCTCTATAATGTTGTTTGCCGTCGACGGGATCTCCAAACAACACGTTCACATGATCTGGGGCCATCATCGTTGGAGTTGACGCTGAGCGTGCTCGTCGATCCACCCTTTCCCCTCCGTCTCCTGTCTAGTTTCGGGTATTTCATGTCCACAAACCCGTCTGGTAGTGAAATAAAACCTCTGCCACCCGTTCTGGATGTAGAGGAAAGCCGCGCGAAACGACTACAACGTCAACAGGCCCGCTTTCGTGCCAGAGGAGGGTGAGTGTTCAAATAGCCATCAAGAGAAATAGGCTCGTAACCTTGTTCGAGGTAGAATATTCGTTCCCTCAAATAGGAACCTTCTGGCTGATATTCTTCTCGGCCGAGCTGCACCAAGACAGTCGCCACGGAGATCTCGCTCAAGGAGTTTATCATGTTCTCCTTCGAAGCCTAATGGAGGAAATACTGTTCTCGATGAACGGGGACAACATGTGCACTTGAGCTCGAATGCCATTCGCAGGAGCCCTCGGAAGGCCAAGGCTGGCGTTACGGAACGACCCGTGTCGGCTGGTGAGTCCTCACCAAGCACCTTGATGCGAACTCTCCAAACATCAACCACTGCAGGTCCATCACGGGAAAAGCCAATCAGCGCTCTCAAGAAGTCGTCAGCTTCAAAGGGGAAGAGAAAAGCGCCAGGTAATGAGAGCAGATCACGGACATTGTCAGCTCTTCATCATTGTTTCACAGATCCTGACATCAGCGAAGATGCGCCCGTGAAGAAAGCTCGAGGTAGACCAAGTAAGAAAGCAGTCCCTCCTGAGGAAGAGGAGGACGAGGACGCGAAACAAGCAGCCAAGACGACATCTCGGAAGGGCAGGAAACCTACAGCGACCAAGCTACCTGCTTCGCAGAAAAGGAGCAAGGCTAAAGCTGTAGCGAGGCCTGAAGTCGCAGAATGTGACGGTGAGCCTCCCGAAGAGGTGAAGCCGAAACGTAAGAGCCAGAAACCTGCAACGACCAAGCCAACTGCTGCGCAAAAAAAAGGGAAGGCTAAAGCTTTAGAGGAGACTGAGGCTGTGGAATGTGGGGAGGTTGATGCTGAGCCTCACGAAGAGTTAACGTCGAAGTCTAGAGCACGTAAGAGCTCTAAACTTGTGGTGACATCGTTAAAGGACGCCACCGGTCAGTGCATCTACTGACAAGCTCAAATTTTTTCTGATCTATTTAATTTTAGTGGCTGACTCTGACGCTAAACGGAAGCCTGCCGTCAAAACGTCGAATGACCTTCCGAAACGCACGCGTTCGAAGAAACCAAAGGGAGTCTATGTTGAGGTATCAGAGGATGATGATGATCTCTCAGAACCATCTCCAAAAAGGTCTTCCAAATCAACATCCAGGTCTAAACAATCTGCTCTGGCTTCAAAGGGAGAGCCCAGTGCACAAGCGACTAAACCGAAGTCCGTTGGTAAGACGTTGACTGACTCCAAGCGTGCGCGCCCAAAGAAACCAGCTGAAGCATCTGTTGCTTTGTCTGAGGAGGATGATGATGATCTCCCACAATTGCCCCCCAAAAGGTCTTCTAAGTCAGCACCCAGGCCTCAGCGATCTGCTCTGACATCTGACGGCAAGAAGCCTCTTTCGGTCATAGAAGAGGAAGAAGAGGAGGAGGAGGGGTCTCCAGTCGACAAGAATGCGAAGAGAGATGGGGGCATGGCTGCATCAGTAAGACCCAGAAAGCGCACCTTCAACGAAACCACGTCTATGCAAGAGGACACTCTCGATGCAGACGACCATCCTCTGCGCAAGCGCTGCAAGACAGTGGCTCCCAGCAAGCCTGCCTCACAGATCAAGGAAGATATCAATACTTCATCTGATCCCAACAACGCGCCAATCTCACACAAGCAGGCTAAAGCTGTTCGGGGGAAACCTAGACCTCGAAAAGCGCCCGCAGGTGCCGAGGAGGTAGACAAGGCGCCGAAAAGCGATAGTAGCGCTACCAAGCGGAAGAAAACTGTTGTCCAGGAACTTGGGGGACGTCCTTCCAAGAAGTCCAAGGTAGAGACAACAAGCACCGATAAATCTTTTGCTAGTGAAGCCCTTGAAAGTGAGGCTATGGCGAACACTAACGGAAGGCAGACAAAGACAAAGAGAACGTGAGTGCTCCTCGAGATACCTCGCTTAAGTTGCCATTCTTAACATTTCAGTAGGAAGACTTCCAAGAAAGAGAACACTCGAGGTGTCCCAAAGGCCTCTGAGGATTCAAAAGTGTGATCCATTTTTCTCTCATTCCGTCAATGCCTAACGCCCATCATCGCTTTCAGGTTTATACCAAAGTCGCACCTCACAAAGGTCCTCCACAGAGTGTGCTACTACGCATCCAAAAGATTGCACCTCGCAAGCATGATGATGACAATGAACCTGACCCCATTGACTTTCTATCGTGACCTACTTACATATTTATCCATTTTGTCGATTTGTAGATATCAACCTCCATCGCATTTCATATCCATGTACTTATACCAGACAATTTCACATTGTATCTCTCGGAGCATCTCAGAGTCTTCCACAGTCATGCATTAGTATACGTATAAAGTACGGTAGCGATTGCTACCTAAAGCTACTAGATAAACCGTCCAGAGACGGTCGACGGCGAGGATCTACTGGCTGCACAACTTCTACAACGTCCATTGGAGCAGTGAAAAGATCAGCCGGCGGTGGGTGCATCGGCGTCGACGGACCAGAAATCCTACTTGATTCCGCAGGCGTCACTGCACCGTTCCGTCCTTCATCCTCCTCCTCCTCCCCTTCTCCCTCACTTGCCGAATCCGGATCCATATCCATCGCCTCTTCAACTGACATGGGTAGCACGTCCATTGCCACATCCCCATCAGCCGAATTAGGGGTCGCCATGGACGTCGATGGCGTGGTTTGTATTGTTGAAGAGGATGAAGGTCTGTCACGTTTGCCAGACTTTTCAAGTTTGCGAAGAATTTTAGCAATGTACTCCTTGGCAAACTTTTTGATTTTGGAGATTTTCTCCTCTGTAAGCGCATCCAGATTTCCCTCACGGTAACTGGAAGACTTCTTTTCCTTCTCAGCGATGACCTGCGTCAACTGATAGAGCTCAGTACAACATGTCGTCAACAGAGATCGCCGTACATACCTCCTTCGCATGTTTCTTGAACAGGTCATGGTTCAATGACTTTGCATATTTTGACATGCACTTCACGACCACCGCGCCAACAAGTTTCAATAGCCTCTTCTCTTTGTTCGCCTCCTTCTCCTCGGGAGTTAGGGCCTTCTTAGGGGTCTTGGATTTTTTCCGGGCAGCCCTCTCTTCTGCAGCCTGTGCCTTGGCCTTGGCTTCAGCAGCGGCAGCGGCAGCGGCTTCTTCTTCTTTGGCAGCACTTTCGGCCGCCGCGGCAATGATCGCCTGAACCTCCTCGCGTGTAGCTTTTGCAACTTTTGAAGCATCCTGGCCAATGTGAGGTGGTAACGGCGGCTGGACTCGTTTCGGTATGAGATGAGATGGGAGACCCCCCACGAATCTACTAGGCGGCAGTATGCGAACTGGCGGGTCGCGAAATATAATGTCTTCAACAGACTTGAGGCGTTTTGAATCATGTATATCATTATCATTGTTCGCAAGAATGAGAACGGGGAATTCATCCTCATCGTCCTACACAGTTCAACATTCAAAAAAAAAGAGTCACTAACAAAGTTTATTGCACTGACCTTCTTAACTCGCTTTGGTATTCGATTGTATAGGGGCAAACTCTCCCAATGTTCGAGGAGCTGCGAGATTTTCTTTTCAGTTTCATGGGGAGGAAAGCCCATCACATGCGTACCTTCTGGGCTATTTCTTTCACTGCGTCGTTGTCGAGCTCAGTGCATGATTGTACCGGCTCCGTTACTCTTGAATCTACGACCTTGTTCCTGTTAAGCAAAGGCCATGTAGTCATGCACTCGAGGGCCTTACGTGCACGCATCAGAACGAAGCCTTTGACACTGCAACACATCACTCGCCAGCAATATCAAGTCAATGTTTGTCGGATAATCATCCAAAACATTCTTCATGAGCGTGTATCCACGCAAACGCATGATCTGTCGCAGCGCTGCTTGATCCTCGGTTATCTACACAAGCCACCATAAGCGTGACAACGGTCGCCGATGATAGATATAGCACCTTGATGCGTGTCAGTAGCTTATATAGGACCTTGCGACTTTGAGTTTGCCGTATGGCTTGCACGACCTTTGGAACATCCTTCTCAACAATCGGCTTCATCGTGGGCTTGATAAAGATGAATGAGCATAGGAATTAAAAAGACGATGCCGAGCCATACCATGAAATCCGGATCGTCGATCTTCTTGCCCTTCTTCTTCTTTGTCCCTTTGAGCGCCATGAGGTCTTGTTCGTCAGTGATTCCAAGGGCTACAGCGAGATCTAGCAGAGGGCAGAAGGCAAGAAATATGTAAACGGACCATCAAGATACAAGTCGTCCATTGTTACTATGTCCGTCTGAGTCTTTCCTCCAATGAAGCCCACACAGTTGGGTTCCCCGCAATAGCATATTTGGGCTTGATGGCTAAATTTCCAGAAAATAAGGGTATCATCCCCTGTGAACCCTAAGTTCAACTCACCCGTAACGATCAACGTTGTAATTGAAGGTCAACTCCTCATACTGCTTGATGTCACGTTTTGCGAAAATTCCCATCCGAACGTGATGTCCAATCGTCCACTTCGCGACGTAGCAATTGGGACTGCAGCTGTGATTGGCGAAGCGCCCGATCCCTCCGCCCTTCGTTGCGTCGATAAACTGTGGGGTATTGGGCGACAGATGATCCCAGGAGCACATTTGAACGCACCTCATCCTTCTGCAGCATCATGAAATAAAAGTGTTGAATGCCTTCGAGAGCATAATCTCGCATACGCTTCTTGAAGGAGGTAGGATTGACAACGTCCCCGACATATTCATAGATGAAGGTGTCCCTGAACGTCAGATCAGTGGGAAGTTGAGTGAGCAATTTTCAGGACACACCTCGGAAGGTCCTCTTCCGCCCTCAAGCCAAACCCCTTCTTCTCCGTCAGGACAATGTCGATATTGGCGTACTCTCTCTTCTGAAACCTAATGAAATGTAACGTCGCATAGTGGTTAAATGTAGAAATGCAATTCTTGCCTTTGGTTCTGGCAGTAAGAACGACAGCGACAGTCCTCGGGCAGGCACTCGACTTGTGTTAATCTGTTAATGCAGTCTGAGTACGGACCACACGCTTTGTCGTGACTGTCGACGCCTGTGAGCGACAGTGTGTCAGCAAAACGCCTCACCGCACGTAGACTACCTCGTTGTATAGAATATGCTGAAACTACGGAAAATGAGCGAAACTGACCATGTTCGTAGACGCAATCACACGTCATGCTTTCGAGGACCTCTCTCGAGCGGCCCAAAGACTTGTTCTGGTAATTATTGGCAGAAATCTCATTGAAAGTGCTCAGGGCGTCTGTGCGTGCGATCGGAAGGTCTCCAATAAGCTGGGGACCTGGGCTAGAGGGCTTTCGTAAGTTCGTGACGGGCGTTGGGGGTGGGGAGGCGGATGTTGTAGTGGGAGTGCCATTCATGGTGGATGGTGGAGGGGTAGGGCTTGGGGTGGGCGATGATTTGGACTTTTGGGGCAGCGTATCTGCCACAAGAGTGGAGGGCGAGGCCGGAGATGCGACCATGTCCGCCTTAACGTTGAAGTCCATCTTAACATCGAGATTCATGGCTGGACCTGTTGAGAGAGAAAATGAGGGTAAAGGAGTGGCATCAACGTCTTCAACCGTGGGTGGTGGTGGAGACAAATCAGAAACCTGCTTGCTAGGGACTGATGGGCTCAGAGTCTGGCTCTGTTTTGCCACTGAGCGCATGTTGGACATTATAGCCAGTCTACAATGGACGGCTCAAAGGTGTCAGAGCGGCGAGGGCTTGACCTGAATGACCTGACTGAGTCAATCTCTCCGTTTAAGAACGCCCGGGACGTTGTGCCCCCAGGCTGCACGCAGTAGAGGTCAACACAACGCCAACGATAGACAAGACAGAGGTATAGCGAAGCAAATAGCGACTAGTCCAGCGGCCGTATGTACATAGAGAGTTGGAGCGGAAGGCCAAATAAATTTCATTCGACGGTGGTTGTTTTGCTCAAACCTTTTCTTCGCCAAATCGCGACTTTCCCCACTTTCTGATACCAATCACACTCTTCCTCCGACCACTATGTCGACGGCTAAATCTTCGTCGAAAAAGAGAAAACGTAGCGCAAGCCCAGAGAGTCTGTCTTTTAGGCTTTCAACATCAACACCCGCCCAAGTAGGACCACTGCTTGGTAAGATCCCTTCCAGTTCAAAGGAATAGCTAATGGACTTCGATCAGTGACCTACCCAGCCCTACAAGCACCCTCCTCAACTGTGTTCAAGTGCTACGCCCGAAAAAAAATAAAAACAAAAAGTCGAGAAAATGACACTGAGGACCCGAAAAGTCAAGATCTTCTGGCTGTTGGAGAAACTGATAGTGTCGAGTTCGTGACGAATGACAGTGAAAGCAGAAAAGTCGCGAGTTTGGGATGCCAGTCAGTATCCCTCTCCATCCTGCCTATTTGGTAAATTGATTTTGTCGCGTTCTGGGTAGCTATCTTGTGGCAGCACATAACCGGCGGACGGGATCACTCTCTATACTACCTATGCCCAAGTCCCCTCACGTCCTAACTCGTACAGTGAAGGCCCTGAAGTCCATTCCTCCTGCGGCTGCCCCCTCGAAAACTCAATTCCGTGAAGCTCGCGCGGCTCTTGGCGAAACTTTTGGGACGAAGAAGGCTAAAGCTGCAATCAAAGCTCAGGAGCGAAATGTCGTAGATGTTGGCGCTATGGAGGGTGTCATGGGATATGTCATGGATAGCATTGACAAAGGTGCAGGCGGACTTATGTCAACAGGTTCGAGTACAGCTCTGCGTCTGCGTCTGACGTTAACTGACACTCCCTTTCGTCGCCTAGAGGAGGCCAAGGATGCTGCTGACCAAAACAGATTAATCCCTCCCTTCAATGCCACGACAACGGATCCTTCGGATGTATATCCTCTGCATGACATCATATCTGAAGCGGAATGGAAAGCGCTCTCTGTCACCGCTTTCGATGATGCTAATGATGATAAGGAGCGCATTGCCTTACTTCCTTTCCGATACTCCAAATGGCTCACTGGCCACCTGAGCATCATTTCTCAGGAAACAGGGAAATCAAAAAAGAAGCACATGTTCGAATACTTCTGTCGTCCCACATTTTGCTTATTCTCATGATGAGTCCAGGAAAATTCTGCTATACATTTCTGCTATGCTTGGCTTCAGGCAAGCACTTCTTCGGAAAGACTTCGACAAAGATCAGCTGTACGAAAAGTTTAGTGGGGTTCCCAGCATAGTATTGGATAGTCTTGTGTCAAGATTCACCGAAGTTTCCCGAGGATCAACGAAGTGCGTTTGTTTTTATCCGAGTGACCTCATGTATAACTTCATTGCAGACATCAGGCAACATCGACAACAAAAACTTTGATTTTGACAAACATCTTTGCTCTTTGTTTGAAATTGGACAAGTTCGCATCAGACACGGATCTTCTAGCTCATGACCTAAGCATGAAAGCTTCCGAGTAAGCCCTTTGTTCTTGACTGTCCACAATGCTCTAATTTTTATTTCGACAGAGTCAACCAGCTATTTAAATCTCTTGGTAGGTTTCTAGCTCTGACGTTTGAGTTTTCTTAATTCAAATGGTTAGGCTGTAAAATCACGACACTCGGCGAGAGGGAGAGAACCAGACTCGGCATCCCAGACAGTTCTGCGTCAACGAAGCGAGCTGTGTTGAATGCCCCCGTGGTGTTCCCTAAACCAAGGATAAAGAGAAAGACTTGAACACACCCGCATTAAGACTCTAAAATGCCCTTACATCCTTTTACTCACCATAATACTGGCTCGACACATGACATGCATCGCGATTGTCTTCATTTCCGCCGTTAAATTGAGTAGTCACTTTTTCACTTTCGACATCCTTATATGTTGTCAAGATCACACAGCGACAAGTGCTGCGTGACGAAGGTTATTTGACTTTTCAATTCGAAGCGGGAATTGATTTCATCAACGTGCCCCTTACCAGCTGACGCGCTGAATACGCTATCATGATTTTAGTAGGACCACCACTGGCAGAATACCACTTCAAACTTTTCAGACGCCGTTATTCAGAAAGTACTATATTGAGAGTAACAAAACAAACATTCCTCAGTCCCCGTCCCGCGATGCAATCTGGAGAGCGTCCAACGAAGCTAAAATACAAGTCACAATCTGAGCAAACGCGACCCATTCACCCCCACGTTCGTGATACAACCGCCATGGCCCCTAACACTTGACAGGCTCCCCTCGCCATTTAATAATGCGACGATGAATCCAAGCCTTCATGGACGCGAGAACACCTGGGTCAGGGTGAGCTTGCACAGCGTGAAGCACCAAAAAAATATTTACCTGAAGCGACGGAGTAGAGTGTGAAGTGCAGATTGAAAGAGATCTGCGGTTGACTTGAACGCGGGAGTGGAACCTGAATGCTGGGGAGGATGGATGTGCATCCATCGTCCCGACTACAATATTTAAGACAATCGCTGCACCAGTGGCGATGGAAAGCGTCGTCAGCTGAATACATAGAACTGTCTGGACCACGAAGGTTTGGGCAACCACAGCGGATGGTGCAGTGCTTCTGACCGTTGTGGCCGCACTGGGAACAGACGATGGCGTGTGTCAAGATAAAATTGGAGCGGGGCGACACATCAGCCGCGATGAGGGGAAGCGGAGAAGCGCAGTCGACGTCCTGATGACAGTATTGCACACAGTCTTTGCACCATTCGCGGTGATAGGCGTCGTCGGCGAGGTGCTTGGGATCTTCTGGGCCGCGACGGCTTGGGCAGCCACAGCGGATACGGATATGCCTATCCTCGCTGTGTGGGCAGGTAGATTTGACGAAAGAAGCCATGATTCGAAATGGGAGCAGTAAAGGAGATGTGACTTTATAGAATGAACACTGAGCCTCTTAGGGGAGGTTGGTTTCTGATGACTGGAGAGGGACAGTCGTATTTTATAGTTTCGAGCAGATAGAGCATGGTCTTGTGGTCGCGAGAGGTGCGGGCGAAGACCGCTCAAATTTCATGGTGAGGACGGAGATGAAAAGGTGTCGTGAACCTCCTGCTGTCGAAAACGTCGGATTATGGACTCGAGGAAATGCTATCGGAGAGGTTATCGAGGATCTTCGTGCGAGCCTTCTACCTGGTTCCCGGCCAGTTTTGTCCTATCCTTATCGCGTAGAACCTCGTCAAAGGACCTAATGGATGGCAATACAGAGCACGGGTTCGTACAAAGAAGGGAAGGACTTGATATTCGCAGCAATGGCCGCTTACTTGCTGCATTCAGTTTCTGGGAGTGCTGCGGGAAGAAAAACAATATACCTGATGACTGAACCGGTTCACTTGGACAGATGTCTCCTGCCCGACGAGGAGACCTTTATAAAGAAATTTTGCGAGGCTGCACCCTTGGGAAGCTGCGATCATTGAATTGCGTATCTAACAGCGGTCGGTAGAATTAGAAATTTATCAGCTATGCATGACGGCAGATGGGGAGCCCAGCACTTACGAAAGTATCTCCCTGTGGAACCTTGGAAAGGGCGCGCCGCGTGCGCCTGCGCAAATATTACTGGACGAAAAAAATCCGGCTGGCTCAGCGGCATTCAGCCGGCTGATACATTTGGATTAGACATATGAAAGAAAATAATGGAGTAGTTACGACGACGCGAAACGGTACTCCTTACCTTACGTATGAGACGGTCACTGACGGTCAACTTGTATGGGACAACAGGTCAGGCCAGCTTTCTTGGTGATGCATTCATGCCCAAAAACATGTGTTCGAGTTCCATCTAAAGTGGCGAGAAATTGTTTTTGAGAGACTCTGGATAGAATTTGGAACTAATCCTTGGGCGTAAGTAATTTCGACTGGATTCCAAGCATGTTTGCACGGTCTTACATAAGCAATATTTGCACAAAAAAGTCCAGACCGTTGTGTCAAGTTCGACTTCGAGTTTTGTGTCCGACTGCGAAATGTGGCGAACTATTTTTGACTCGCGGTGAGGCATTGATGAGTCAATCCAGATACGATTTGCTTTAGTAGAGGGTTTTATCCTCCAAACGGGCGCTTCAGGGGATACGCTTGACAGTGTGCTTAGCCTTCATGTAAGCCTTCATGGAGTCGGAATCGTGGAAAGCCTCCCCCGCCTCTTCGACGAATTCATTCTGGTCCCCTTGGCGAATTTCTCATATACAAACCGTCGGGTTGCTATCCAGGTTTTTACTGGCACTATCCCAACACTATCCACCTAGGGGTTCGAAGGCCCCACTGCTGTGTCTGGCCGATATCGGCGTTGAGAGGTACGTCATATTGTAGGCCCACGCGCGTGCCGAGTGCTGAGCCCTTGTCCGTTAAATTAAAGGCCGTTCATCAGAAACCTTCAGGAATCGAACAGAGAAGGTTAATGGTATATTTACCTGGAAAATCAATTACCGTTGTGGCCCGTGTCAATCTTCAAGTTGTGTTAAGGGAGTTGGGGTACGTCTTTGGGCATGTACATCATGCCCGACAAGACCGCGCCTACGTCTCTTACAACCTCTTACTCTGGATCTCGGTCGTGGACGGGCATCCGAAAAACGCGTGTAGGTTGGCCAGAGTGAGGTGATTTCCCCTTCCGACATAATGTTGTGTAAAATCACGAAGTTGGGAGGCCTTCGATTTATGGGCCAGTTTTGTGGTGCGGTCCCTTGGCATAGATAGCGGCACGGCGTGTTGTGAATTTATGGTATCGTATGTAAAGGTGTCCGCGGACAAAATTCTCACTTTCTCTGCTACATAACCGGGGGTAGGTCCGCATGGATTAATCCCCAAATGATGCATAGGGATAGATCGCAACGATCATAGACATAGTGCTATGACATGGATGAATCCTATCCATAGACCTAGTTTCCGAAGGTCCCGGTATGGCAAAAACGGGTTTCCGCATTTTAACAATGAACAAATGCTACCCGTTTGAGGTGCTTGAAGCTTGAGGCGAGGCACACCAAACGAGACGAGAATCCGTTTGTACATTCTGGGGTTCGAAACACAAAACTTAAACCTAAGAACCCAAGACATGATCTCAGGTATGAACCGAACAAGGCAAGATTTACACCTATCATGAACGTATCATAAGTAGTGAAGATATATCACATTTGGAGAGCCATTGCTACTGACGCGCGTCGATTACAAAGTTTGTGTTCCTTTCTGTCACTGAGCATCGCGGCTTGTCATAAAATTGTGTATCCCCCGTCCTTCCGGCGGCCCTTTCATATACCTGTTGAATCGGAGGACATTAGTGACGTCGCCGTAATAAAAATCCTGGGTCCCACCAGGGTCGGATAAATGCATTCAAAAGCCATGTCACCAGCGATAGGTGGCGGGTTGAGCGTTAGATCGAGCGCTGAAGGCAGCGTCCCACTATACAACGACCAACGGCCCGCTGTCAGAAGCCGTCTTTGTCATCCCAAGAGTGCTGCGGTCCTGAGCCAATTTTGAGAAGGAAGACCTGACAACTTTAGAATTGGATGGGAGATGGGAAAAGGCAACAGTGTAATTTGCGTTCCGCTCATGCGCAGAAACTTGTGGCTTCCCTTAGACCATAACTGACTGTATGGCTCCCTTCCTGAACGCCTGGATCATGCACGTCGACGGTTGTTATAGACGGACAACAACTCATGATTTGCAGCTACACCTGTTTTTGAGGCGAGGAGCCCTTTTCCTGGCTATTCGCGGACAACTTGCTGTAGCACAATTTTAAAATCAAGAATAAATGGATTGAGTGCCACAGCAGCGTTGGCCAGCCACAAGATAACGACTGTGAAGGGTAGCACTGCGAGATCTGCGATGAGTCGTAAGTTACGAGGATATTGGACCGACAACCAAGGTGGATGTGAAATCGGATGACTTGTTCAAACTTTGCAAAAATTGCCTGCCTTAATACCGTTGCAAAGTTGCAGAGGGCTCTAGCAGGCCAGTCGATATGGGCGTCAAAGTAGGCGCAAGTTGCAAGCCGTTGATATCAAAGGCAGTGGCAAGCAGCACCAAATTGGACACAGCACAGGTTCGGATCACCGACATTCAGCTCTGGTCAAGGTCTACTACAAGTCGCCACGACGAGCACAGGTTCAGTATTATCGTACCCTGATATATTCTCCTAGATACCCCGTGATTACGGTGATGTTCAAGCCCTAAGGGTATTGACCTACCCTACCAATGGCCACCACCAACACCGCGTCGTCTCCACCTAATTCCACCTCAAAAACTTCTCGATTTTCCACCCTCAAGGTCTTCAAATTTTCCAGCAAAGAGAAGAACCTCAAGCCCCCTCCTTTGCCTCCGAAGGACGCCTACTATCTCCGGAATAGGTCGCTCGCTTCACTTTCCCCAGATTCACTGTCGCTTCCCCCAAATTCCCCACTCTCTCCGCAGCCAATCTACCAGTACGCGCGTAAGCCCTCTCCAGAACCGCATCAGACCCACCCCAGTCAATCAACGATGTCGTTGGTGTCATCGGCAGCATCTGCGAAGTCATCTCCGTCAGCGGAACGATCACGGCCACAATCTCAAAAGAAGGCCCTTTCATTTCTCAAATTTCCCAAGCGAAGTCCCAAATCACCTTCGGTTAAGAGTGTTGGCACTTCAGAACAATTGGAACCTCCTCCTTCCACTGATGACGAAGGAATTTCTTTGCCTTGGAATTTTCAGGTGAGTCTCCCTCTCAATTGCTTGTCTAACTCTTCTCACCTTCGTGTAAGCATAATATTCACGTCGATGAAGGGTCTGTCACAATGTTACTAAGATCTCTTGTTATTGAAAATTTAAATAACTTCCGTTCTAGATATGTGGGTCTTCCTCCGTCATGGTCGACATCCCTTGCAGAGGCTGGATTTTCGGACGAAGAAATCATCGCTATTCAAACTCGACGTGCAGCTGGAAGCCGATCCCCTAATCTCCAATATCTTTACACTGACAGACCCAGTTCTCCTGTACCTTACAACCCAGACGTAGTGAACAACATCTCTCCGGTGCCAATACCAGTACTCACACATCCCACACCGCGCTCCACTTCACTCCCTCGTCAGTACTCAGACGCGTCGTTGCAAAGCAGTCAACATCACCGTCCTTCTGTGCCCGCTTTACCGAACCTTACATCTCCGTCAAATGCGTCTTTACAGTCTGGCGGTATAAGAAGTCCTCCCCGCCGTCAGGTTCCCTCTCCCGATCAAGCGTCGACACATCAATCAACGTCATCAGTCTCATATTCGACTGATTCACACCAGAGCTCGACCAGCGGGGTGGGTAGCCAAGGCAAAGCCCCGTTGGTACCTTTGCGGAAGGGACCTCCTTTGGATACTTCTCGTCGGGTGTACAACGTCACAAATGGCACATCCTCATCCCCGCCGCCTCCGTCATACATTAATTCGGCGACTCAGTTTGCGGGCGACAACAAGGATCCGTCGAGCTTTGCATCAAGCTCGACCCAACGATTCTATGGGAGTACTCAGCTTGAGGAAGCTTCCCAGTTATCAATGGACACCCCGCAAGGTTATGCACGCTCTCGCACTAACACTGACGCCAGCCAACGATCTACGGCCTCTTCATCACATTCGCAATCAACATCATTCGCTCAGTCATCACAAACACCCCTTCGACGCGTTCCAAGTCATTCAAAACCCATTACGGCGCTTCCCCCTCGATTATCATTGCATCAAAGTTCAGATAGTAATGATCTTTCGTTTTGGAGCAAATCCCTTCTGTCTGGTATAACCTCCACAACTATGGAACCATCCCCACTTTCAAAAGCCGCAACCCCTTCTCAGTCAGCACAGGTGAGTTTTCCTTCTCAGGTGCTGGCAGCACGTCCGACCCCAAGTCGATCCCTTCTGCCGGAAAGTCAGTCACGACGGCCGCCTCCATCCCGCCCAATCCCTCCGATCACTCCATCTGTCGCTGGCCCGACACAAGAGGGTTCATCTCAGTTTAGTGGGCCGGAACGATCCAATATCCCAAACCATTCTCCTTTAAGTCCACAATGGGGGGACTCTCCCTCTTCTAATTCACCTTTGTGGGATGAGCTCGAAGGCATATTGAGCAAGCCTCCGGGGAGTGGGAAAGAACCTTATTCAGCAGCACTAAGCGAATCATTTTCTCCAACTCTACCCTTCACTCCTGAAGAAGATCGGATCGCCACCCAGCGCAAGATACAGAGTGAGTTGAGGTCACGGCCAATGTCAGATCATGAAGGGGATGATGCACGTTTGAGTGTAGGTACGTTGAATAGGAGGGACCCGAACAGGGATTCAAGCAGGAGCAGCTCATCGACTATCACCGTGACCGGGTATATAGCCCCGACGATTGTGAGGAATGTATCAATTGCCAGGAGAGCCGGGGCTTATGTGATTGATAAATCGAAAGTGGGCCTTGGGTCCAGGGAGAGGGCAATGGAGAGAAATGGAGTTGCAAGTAATGGGGCTCAACCTGTGCCTATGATATCCTCGTCTGGTTCCCAACGACCACCGCCTGTTTTCATGGAGACTAAGCATCCACCTTCCCCCCTCAGTTCTCATTTCGGAAGTGAAGAAGAATCTGCGTCAGGTTCCGGTTCGTCAGGCTCAGCGTCCCAAGATCACCCTACGCCAACAACAGAAGATACGAGCTCCCCTCTCTTATATTACCTTGAGGGAACACCATCACCGGATCCCACTCGTGTCTCCTTTACAGGCACAACAAATTCGTATGCAGGGAAACAAAAGGACCCCACCTCACCACTTGCAGATGCCTTTGATGAGGATGACGAGGATTATGATAATGTAAAATCCCCATCGCCGCCTATTTCTCGCCCAACCATCGTCATCAGCGACGACCCTTCACCGACAAAGGGCCCAGTCACATCCATAACCACGTCAGGGACACCCCTTTCACCCTTCCAGCTGTACCGTGGGTGGCTCTCGGAGGTCGTCGCTCCTTTGGAGGAGTACATCGACGAAACGGTTGACCCTCGTGACCATTATCTTGATCTTAAAGAGATCGCAGAGGGTGAAAGTGGCTCGGTCTTTGCTGCCCGTCTCTCGGAGAAGAATGCGCATAAGTTGAGATTGCCGCCTCTGATCAAAGCCAAGGACAGCGACGACATTGCGAACGGGCGGCCAGTATTGCTTGCCATAAAGAGCGTGGCCATTGTTCCGTCTGGGTCACCGAAGCTTCTGGATCTGAAAAAAGAGCTGGTTTTAATGCGTGGGTTGTGGCATGAGAATGTGCTTGGAATGGATGCTCTATATGTTGACCTGTCGGAAGACTCGTTGTGGATTCGGATGGAACTCATGGAGAGAAGTTTGGCTGACATTGTGGGGCTCGTTGGCGATGGTTTGATGTTGCAGGATCGAATGATTGCCAGGTTTGCGAGCGACGTGGGTTTCGCTTTCCATTCTCACTTGGATTCACGTTTGCTGACCCGTTCATGTGCTCTTTGAAGATTCTTCTTGCGCTCGAGTACTTGCAAAAGCATCATATTGCCCACCGGGATGTGCGGTCGGATAATCTCCTCCTCAACAAACATGGTATACTGAAACTCAGTTCGTCTCTCTTTTTCTTCCGTCATAGCTGGCGAATTTTGATGGATATGACGACATAGCTGACTTTTCAAATGCTGTTCAAGTTGTTGGATCTCCCATGCGCTCTGACCCTGCAGGTGTCATTTTTTGGCAGGTATGTGATCACCGTTAATCGTTGATCTAGCCTTTTTTAATTGACACTTGTACCATAGGCTCCAGAGATGCGCAAGTAAGAACAATATTATCACGTTGTTTCGTGCAATCTTAACTTTGAAATAGGCCCCCTTATAACGCTTTAAAAGTCGACGTATGGTCACTAGGTGCCACTGTTTGGGAAATGGCTGAAACTGAGCCACCTTTCTCCGAGACCCAACAGTTTACAGATCGCTGGCCACCACTGCGTCAACCTGAACTATACTCACCCGCTTTTCACGACTTTCTGCGTCGATGTTCAGAACCTGTTTTGTCTCGTCCAAGCCCAAGCGATCTCATGAAGGTTAGTTTCAAGCGTTAAGTAAACCCGAGCAAGTGTAACTCTTTTTTTCTTTTCAGACTTCCTTCATCAACAACGCATGTGGGCGACAAGTTATCGTGCAGCTTCTGTCTCAGTGCATGGCTATCGAAGAGTTACTCCAGGATGGAAACGATTCCTCACGACCGAATTTGGAATAATTTATACCCTGATCATTATATCTTATCGACTTGCAAATGCTCTCTCTATCTATAACCCATCTATCTTCCCTGCTACACTTTCTACGGCATCTTTCAATCTGAAGGACTCTTTTACAACCATGTCATTCTCATCCTCACTGCACTCCGCGATAAATGTTGTTGTCTCAGCCACAAAACCTATTATTCGCTTCTAATTAGAACCATGCTTTCACATGAGAGCAAATATGCGTACCAAGTAGCTTGCCACCGTGCGTGCGCCACAGTGCTTCTGAGAAAGTCAGAGCAGTGAGTCTTGATCTGGAATCTTCGGAACGCGTATGCATGAGGATGTTGAGATTAATCTTTTTTAGAAGAGTATCGTCTGTCACGGCCTCAATCAGTACCCCGAGGCAATCTTGAAGCAACCTCTTTGCATCTGCATCATTTAGCTTGCTGGTGACTTCTACTTGTTCAACCAAGAGAATGGAGATTTGTTGCAGCTTATCGTCTCTCCAGAAAGCTGAGGGTAGAATGAATAAGGTGGGCCACACCGTTGAAATCAACAACGTACATCCGTCATCAAAGCTTAGACTTTTAGTAATGGTTTGGATAACCCCGTCCCAGAGTATGAAATCCGTGCATGTTTGAGTAGTGAATGCTTTTAAGGTGTCATGCAATGCTGGTAGCAACAATGTCATGTAGGGATTCATCAAATTCTAGTTCATGGATTAGCGAGTTAGCGAAAAAGTTTAAGGTAAGCGCACTTTGAAGAAATCGAGAAGAGTGTTATACAGGCGAATGAATGTGGCCTGTTGAGCAGGGTCAACTAAAAATAGCGGTCAGTATGATAAAAACTATAATAGAGGACTAGATGCACCTTCACCCGCAAATGCCCAATCATAAAGACGACGGAACAATGGCTTAAACGCGGCTTCATTTAGCTTGATCACGAGCTCCTTGAAAGCTGCGATGACAAATGTCTGCCCCTATATTTTATATATATTTGAGCTGGGGAGAATTCGGACCTTTGCTGTTGCATACCTGGATATCCTCTTTGACGATACTCAAAGCTACCAGGAAAACTTTGGATAATGCACGCAAGTGTTCCGATATAGAAGCACGATCAGCGTTGCGTAAAGCCCGAGCGAGGAGGTCAAAATAAGCTTCAATGCGGACCTAAATGAATTCACGATCAGCCTGGCTCCACAACGAGTTTCAATAGATACCGTAACAGTAGCCTCCAAAGGCGCCCATAATTCAAGCAATGTAGGAAGGAGAATTTTGGCTGGAATCCTCTTCGCAACAGATTTCATCAAGCCTGACGTAGCAGACGACAGAACATTTGAAGTCTGGAAACAATCTTCGATGTAAAAGTTCACAATTTGGGTAACCTCTTCAGAACCCCAGAAGGTCGGAATTGAAGACAAGAGGCCTTGCAGGATAGCCAACGTACTCTCTGCAAGTGCTACGGAGTTGTCAAATTTTAGAAGAAAAAAATTCAGAGTGAAGTTCTAGAGCTCACCCTTATTTCCTTGGTGAAGGGTGACAACGCATTGCGTAATAATGGCACGAAAGAAAGGGATAATCCGAGGTCCAAGCTTGGGCCTATAAAGAAAAATCTTAGAAAATATATAAACAAATTAAGCTGACAACGAACGACATGGAAGCCAGGGCTGACAACGCGGAGGGCGCCAATGATTGATCTTTCACTGCAGCTAGAGTACCTTGGACGACACCTGCTAATGGACCCTCTTCGGCGGGGCAAAGGGTAGAAGCAATGGATCTCAATGCCTTGAATGAGAAGATAAGAACGCGATCATCCTTTTGCTTTGTAATTATGTTCCGGATTGAAACGATTATCTTGTTCACGGCCGGGGTAACTTCCGCCCGAGCCTTAGGCGTAATATTAGGAAGGCGATCGCTTAACAATTCTAAAGTTCCCGCTAGGACCTGGATTATGGTTGGTAAGGAAGGAACGGAGGTATGCACTAGAAACCTACTTTGGCATCTCCCTGCTCCAAGATGGCCAGGACAGAATCAATGAAAGTGACAGCAGACATTGACTCCAAAAGGCGGCTAATTGAGTTTCGGGCTGCCTGCGAAATCTCGTCGACTTTTGTGTCCGCCGACTTTCCGACATCTTTCAACGTTGCTAGCGTCAAGAGATTAGAGACGACGCTGCTAATGGACGAATCTTCTGAGGATTGGGCCGATTGCGGCGTGGATTTGATCGCATATCCGATGAAGGTGATCAGAGCCTGCGCTCGGCGTCTGAGAATCGTGGACGACGACGCCAGGTGATCCGCATCACTACTCGAAATTGTCAAACAGGAAAAGGGTAAGCCTGTCGATTGATCTTACATGCCGCCTTCCAGGAACAACGGGCTGATAATTTCAGGCTGATATATGCGAGCTGCCAGACGCTGACTTTCTTGAAGGATCTCATTGAGACTCTATGTATCCCCTGGTGAGAAGGCGAGGTGATGAAGGATTAGAGTACTGACGGAGACTTGGACTTGGTACTCTTGGTGCTGTATTAGGGCGATGGGTAAAGCCAACGAGGCCCGGATTTCATCAGGCTTTTGACGGACAATACGATTAGCAGCTTTTTCTATGAGAAGCATGCAGGTTGGAGCCAAAAACTCGATGGAACCCAAAACGTCAACAAGGTGAGCGAAGAAGCTGGCAGGTCATTAGTACGTTTCAGGCGTGCTAAATACACAACTCACTTGTTGCGTCTGTGGCGGGGGACGTGATTGGCAGCATCTGTGAAGACGCGAAGGGAGTCTTTTGCCCCAATAAACAAGTCGAGGCCTTGAGAATGCGATTGTTTCAGAGACGCCGCCATGACTGGCACAATGCTATCAATTGTCTGCAAGTCGGGAATGTAAGCAATTTCATCTGCAAGGGTTGAAAAATAAACCGAACCTGTTGTACGACTTTGAAACTGTAGGCATCGTCACGGTGGAAGACGTTTGATCCCATAAACGTAAATACGGGCATAACATTGTGAAGGACTGAATCAGGCGCTAGTCGTGCTAAGCTTGCCATCAACAGAAGAGCTTGATGGAACGTTTGAGGGTTTTCAGCAACTGTCATCTCGTGTAAGTGAGCGGACGACAAAATACCGACCTACACATACCGCGAATGACCTCGACCAAAATATCCAGCCTGATTGTACTTGGGGATAGATTGGGAGCCTCCTGCGGATAATTTAACAAAGTCCAAGGATAAACAAAGGGGATATCTACCACAATCTTGCTAGCTGCGCTGTCTACAGCCGACATGAGCAGCTGCTCAACATAGCTAACATCAGCCTGATTAGGGGAAATGGATTGAACAACTCTGTTCAGCGTTTCGAGAAGGTGAGAAATGAGATCCAGGGAGCCCGGCAATGATTTTGTTCCAAGAATTTCCACTAAAAGGGTGAGGCGAGGAATAGTGTCGTCCGATAGGCTTCAAAAGTGGAGGTAAGTGCTGAAAAGGACGATGAATTTAAGCAACCTCTTACTCCGTTGTTTTTGCACGCTTGCTCGCTCGCAGCCCACCATCTGACGCTACAGGAGCCAAGGAGCTGAGAAGATGGATCATAAGAGGAACATCTTGTAATATGTTTGCCAAAAGCCGTCGACAAGATGTGTACTAGAAGCCGATTAAGTTATGTACGAGCGTACGAGAACAGATAACTGACACTTGGATCCTGCGCGCCGATCTCTAAGAAGAGATTGTAGATCTCAATCTTGCGTTCGTGGTCTAGACTCGTGAAAAGTCCATTTTCTAGCCCTGTGGCAATAAGTTCCTGCGGCCATGGTGGCATTCCTAGGAGGATGCCAGCTAAGACGGGGTCATTGTGAGAAATTGGGTTACTGACCTGACCGAAAGTAACTCCGGATTAGCGATGTGAAGGTTTTCCAAACCGTTTTGTTGGTGTCATTGAGATCCTTCGCTGACGAAGTATTGAAGACAGCCAAAAGGCACATTGTCAGGTCTTGTGAGTATGACGATAATGCATCTTCCGGTCGCGAGGATGACAGGGATGATGCAAGACTTTGAATAGTTGGTAGAAGGACTTCAACTTTGCTCTTGTCAGTAACGGCTTCGAGTGATTTCAGGAGTGTAGTTTGTGGTCCCTGGGACGACAGAGCATTGATGTGAGAGAGAAGGAAACTGAGAACTCTGCGTTTATAGCTGCAGACGGAGCGTGAGTTAGGTCACTGATGATAGTAATTCAACGGACTCATTATTCTTTTTCTGGCCTGAGGCAATTTTCGCAAGATGTTGGGCATGAAAAATAGTAATGTATGACGCGTCATTCGTGAAATGATCACGGTGTTCCACAAGGGCATCAAGATACTTTGTTAAATCTTCCTGACCTAGATATTGGAGGATCCCTGTATTACATTTTAGTATTGGCCAACTAGAGGTGGAAAAGGAGGTCGCACGATCACTTTGGCCATATATTGTGTCAAATCTGTACACTGCCACCAGTTTACGATTAGCCAAGAGGCGCAGACGTGAAATACATTCCAATGCGCCCTGGCGAGTCTGCAAATCATGACATTCCAAAGAAACCAACAAAGAGGGTAGAATCGTCTGGAAGTCCAATCCATCATCTTCTAGAAGATGTGCTTCTAAAAAGGCCGCTGCATGGAGGAGGGCTACGCTTCGTAGATCATGCCGAATACTTTCAACGGTGCACCAAATCCCAGCAAGAAATGCCAAAGCATCGGACTTTAAGTTCACGAACAGGGTTTGTAGGAGGTTCGAAGCAAGGATAGGTAACGTCGTGGAAATATTGCTCAAATTGTAAACCTCTCGCATGAGATAAATATATTGATCGCTTTCTTGCACTGTTTCCTTCTTCAAAGGTTATTAGACTCATTTAAGGGATCATGAATGTTATGCTTACAGATGAATCCTTCAGCCAATCCAAAATCACGCCAGTGGGTTGTGGTATCCCAACTATAGAGTTGACAAGGGAGATTTGCAACCAATGAATTGTCGTCTTGCTGCTGGGCTTGGTAACGATTAAGTTTCCTAGGAAGCTAGGGCCGAAAAACTAGTGCATCCACAGCGTTGAACAAAAAAGCATAACAGACGGTGAGAACGAACATACATTTAACAAAGTCTCATTTTCGGGCATATCGTCGATGCCCCGGAGTTCTTCAAAATTCATAACTTGCAAAACTTTGCACGCAGCAGCTAGTTGGTGAGACCCTGACAAAAGCCCCAGAAGAGCTCCAGCAATCAAGTAGCCCATGACTTTGACGTGAGGGTTCAAATCTTGTAGCTTCTTGATGAGGGCTTCTTGATGAACAGAACATGTGTTCGATCTCATGATGTTTTCTATGCAAACGAAGAAAAGCTCAGGTGACATCACAAGACAATCCTGGACTGATTTACCTGCTATCCGCGCTGCTACGGCAAAGTTGACTCTGCTCATACTGTCAACCGAAGTTTCCTGTGCTTTGGCATCCTTCACAACATCGGCGCACCCTGCCAGCAGCTCGAATATCGGGGCTGAGTCAGAAGCACCAAAGTTCTGGGATATGACATCCCAGAAGAGTTCCGCGGTATGTTGTCTGGACTTCGAAAAAAGCAAGAACGGAAATAAAATGCGATCAAAAATCATTTGAAGAATCTCTGAGCTTGCTGTATTGAGGAAGTGCGCGGTAAGATATGACAAGTGAAGTCGCAGAATGTTGCGTTTGGGTTTTGAACCCGGATATGCAATTGCATTCGCCAAACTATCAATGTATGCTTCCGGGTCCGACAACAAAATGGGATTGAGGATAGACGGGTGTTCATATAAAGATTCGAGGACCTGGGCATCACTGTCTTGAACCCGAGCAATAAGGGCTGATCGCATGGCACTCTGGAGAAAATAAACTTCAACGTAATCTCAAGTTACCACGATGTATAAAACGTACGTATTCTGGATTTGTCGAAGATTCACCGGCAACAGGCGATGAAAGGATATTTTTCACCGCAATTGTGCGTACTTTGGCCTCAGCGTTGTTAGATGCGATGATTAAATCAACCTCGTGACTTTCTGCAGGCTTAGAAATCCCGTCAACCTGAGAACTCATCAATAACTTCAATTTGAAACCTTATAGCAAAGAGCATACAGTAGAGAAGGAAAGAATGAGTTGCTCGATTTGACTTTTAGTTGTCTCATCTTGTTGACAAAGATCATCAGCAGCACTCGAAATTGCCGACGGATGCCGTTGGTGAACGAGGGAAAGCAGTCGGCGAGCTCCAAAAGTTGTCGGTCCAGCACTTTCAGAAGAGATCACATCCTTCATCAAGAGGCTTGCTAGCTGAGCAAAGATAGCTTCCGGGACATTGTTAAGTACAATGATTGTTTCCATTAGGAATAATGCTCGTTCATCCGCCAACCTAGGGAGTGGTAAATATTGACAGAGAGGAAAACAAAGAGAAACCTACTTGTGACTTAGAGCTTTTATGAGTGGTGTGAGAACCTTCTCTACGCCAATCCAGCTTGATATGATTGAGATTTCGTCGTTTATTCCGCTGTTTATGAAGTTGTTAGGTGGATTGAGACATCTACGATTGCGAAAAGCGTACGAAATTCGTAATAAAGCTTTGATCGTTTTGTCGGAAAAGCATTCAAGCTCTGACTGCGGCTCACACACAGCAACAAGGGAGCCAAGAAACTGTTTCGTGGACACCTGGTGGGCGCATCTAGCCATACCACCTACAATCACCTTTAGAGCTGGAGCGGCAATTTGATATTTCTGCGACAGAGCGGCGAGAAGGATGTAACTTCCGAGCTAATGCAGATTAGAACTCTGTATCGCCGGTACTAAGACAGAAAGCTCACAATGGCATCTTTCGTTGGTGCGGGAGTTTTCTGTTGCAAAGGCTCAAGTAGCGCAGGAATGAGGTAAGCGAGGGTGCCTTCATCCAAAGATTTGCTGCGCTTGATGAATTCGTGCAGAGTCGCTGCATTAAAAGCTAGCTGGACGCGATGGACGGACCCCTCTTTAATGGCTGAAGGGAGAAGCGATGCCACAAAACGCGCGACGTCGGAGTTCCGAAGCATTTCTGTCACCAGGGACACTCGAGAGAGCGTTTGGCCTGCACTTTTATATGGGAGGAGGAAGTCCCAAAGGGTATTGGGCCTGTGATGGACCTGTTAGTTTTAGCTGTAGAATTGGGAGTCCAAGAACATACTTGATGTGAAGAATGGTGACCATTTTGGCGAAGTGTGGAGACTCATGGTAGGGAAGAAAGAGAGACAATGTGGCGTCGAGATTGAATTCGTTAATGCTGGGAAACGGATGAGTAGCCGCTTCAAGATATAAAGCGGTCTACGAACCGAAACCTCCTCACAAGCCATTCGACGACCCTTCCGGCTGGTGCCTCCATTAAATGCGGCCCTAATAAGGCCAGAAACTTCCCTATAGCTTCGTCAAGCTCGTCGTTGGCTTCGGTTGAAAGGAGTGTGCGATCTGTGGCTTTAGCCTGATCTGAAAACAATTGGTCCTCGTATGAACGAAGTGATGGGGAGATGGATGACAACTGGATAAAGGCGTTGACGGCCAGGGCATAAATTGACTCTAGATCATGCTGGTCGGCTTCTTTGTCAGCGAATAGGTAGGACGATGTTGGTTTGCGACGAGATCTATCCACAAGAAGGGCAGAGTTGAGCGACGCATGCTGAGCGAGTTGGGCAGCGAGACTAGACATGGCAAGAAAAGGATTCTGTAAACATTTTGAATTTCATAAGCAATTTGTCATAGAAAGCAAAGTTATGAGTACTAAGTACCTCAGCTCTGAGTCTGCCTTTGGCCTAAATGTTAGTGCACTCTTGCCAAGGTCTTTTCAAATTTTTGGGAGGGCGCGTGTCTTACGTAACTTATTTGAATGCAATGATGGCCGTTGGCAACACGAATAGGCGTTCCAGCCTTTGGTGAGCCAATGATGAGCGCTGAGCTCAAGCTGCAGCTCCTAGTTGGAGCTTTGTGCGTCTACGAAGCTTTTAGATGCCACTGCCGTCCTTATTCCCTCAATTTACAGGATTTGAAAGTCCATCTACGGGAGACTAACACGGACCTAGCAGCAGTCTTGTCAGAAAACTCGAAATCAACTTGAAATCGACGTATTCCACTCTTCAATCTACATTGAACTAACTACTAGTACAGATCACAAACCCTTTCCCATGGGCATTGTCCTAAATACTAAGTAAACACAGAACGAACGAGACTTCGAGTCCAAAACTGCGAATGTTCAAAAAGCAGGGGGGATGAGGAAGTGTTCACGCCAGTAAGGCGTGACGAAGACCTGGCGTGGGTCCAACGTCGCACGAATTTGCATCCACTCGTCATACTTGGGGTACGAGCTGCGAAGACGTTCCAAATTTCCAAAGTTGGGCGCCACGTACTTGCCAAGATGGCATCTATATTTAGGACCGTGCTTGTCAAAGTATTCAAAGTACGGGCGGAAGAACTTCGCCGGATCTGAACGCTTGGTCACGCTACCCAGTTCCGTGTCGTACTGGAAGAAGTTGACATCGAGTCGGAACTTGTCGCCTGTATACGACGGGGAAAGCCAGAACGGACTTTTCTGAGTTTACGAAAGAGCAAACTGTTAGGAAAGTAGAAAAGGACCGCACAATCAACGAACCTTGGCGCTGTAGAACTCGGTGAAAAAGTTTCCGATAGTGCCCGAATCACTTTGATTCAAGGCCCTAAGTGTCTTGGTCGCATCTGTTATTATCACAGTCAAAAAAAAGAGAAAAGAGAAATATGTGTACCGGAAAAGTACGTACCAGCAGCCTTATCCACGTCGATCCAGAATTCCGCAAAACAACTTGGAAGAAGCGTGTCCTTGATAGCATTGTCCATAGGGATGATAGCCGACCATATGTCAGAAAATGTAACGGATTCGCCCAGTGGAAGGAAGATGTTGAGAATTTTTGCCGCAATTTCCTTTTCAATGGCGCCGATAACAGGCTTATCGCGGAAATAATTCAGCTGCCAGAGCAACCACAATCCTGTCTTTGCGCCTATCTGCTGAAGCCTGGAAATATATGATTTCTTTGGCCTTTGTTTAACAGAACGACCACCTACAGGGTGAGTTCGTCATATTTCTTAATAGGGCCACCTGGAGGAACACGTTTCCCTGTCCAAATCTGCACACGCGGAGGGAGATCTGGCTGGGGCCAATAAAGCTACAAATGGATGTATTAGATTGATAGAAGAGGTATCTCGAAAATGATATACCATGCGCATGTACTCGTTCGCAGGGTCTTTGAAATAATCCACAATGCCAGGGACGCCGTCGGCTGCTGGCCCATAAAGGTTCACAGGACAGCCCACTTTCCAATTGGCGTTAAGCGGCTGAACCGGGGAAGTCTGCTGGGTGCCCGCGACATTGAAAGTTGGAGTCAGCGAAAGCGTCACCTCTGTGATGATACCACAAAGTCCAACAGATACCCCAGTGGCGTAGAACAGGGTGGGATCGGGATCATCACGCGAGAAAACATGTTTAGTTCCAGTGCCGTCGATGATGGTAAATCCATATACAGCATCATGGAAGCTGTAGAGGAGTGAGCCGCCAGCAGATCCTAAGGTTGAGAGTGAACAAAAGAGATAGAAACAAATCCAAGCACAGAATACCTGTGGAAAGAAACCCGCCAATAGTTTGGTGAGTGATACCCCCGAGTTCTGGCAAAGCAAAACCAGCCTGTTGTAGTTGGAAAGCAAGGCCGTTCTCTGTCGTCGAGTCGGACTCTTCTGGATCTTTATCAAGGTTGGTGCCTGCCTTGACAATAGCGAGTTTCTTATCCTTGTCGATAGATACCCCACGATACTTTGTAAGCGAAATGAGAACCACGTTCTTGGGAAAGACACCCTGAGGAGCATCCAAGATGATGTTGCTTGGGCTCGAGTGCGCAGCACCGATCACTCGTACTTGGGATCGCGCTTCATAGGCTTTCTTGACGATATCAATTATCTCCTGTTCAGATGTCGGCTTATGAAGGGCGTCAGGGGGGAAGGGGTTAATACCCGAGTTGCCGAGGGTGTTTTCCTTCGAATCGGAACTATCAGGTGTATATCCCCAGGGAACGCTGCGACGCGCTGGTGGTGGGATGGAACTGAAAATGTGCTCAAGTTTGCTGGACAACTCTTGTACTTCGCTTATCGCAAGCACTCTTTGCTTGCTGAGCGCATGATAGTGTTCAACCAATGGGACGACGTCTTTGAACGAGGGCGACATGGGGAGACAAGAACAGATAGGATACTGTTGCCAGCATTGCTGTACGCGACGGGGCTATAAGTACAGCTGGCATACTCACACGGACGCTATTTCTTCCTCGATGGAATTGGTGCGGCAAAACGACAGCCATATGGAGAGATACTGGAGACGTTTGGGCGCCGAGTGTCAAGGAAAGTATCCTATCTCCTCAAATCAAGGCAAAATCGAAACGCCGGAAACCACAATCGGTCGTAGATGCTTCTTTGAACTTTGGACAATTCTGTGTCATGGGACAATAGGTACTGGAGAGCCTTGCCAATATTAAGTGTGAGTTGCGCGGCGGTGATCGGTACCACATACGTACGCCAAGCTATCAGACCTCCTGCCACATACACCAACTCGTCGTATAGATACCGTTTCGAACATGAGCGATGCCGTACGGTAGCGCGTGCAACAAAGGAAGTTCTGCGGCGATGTGGCGAAACGAGCAAGTGAGTTGATGACAAACTCTGTGCATATAAGTTCGTGCTATGTACACACTCCAAGTTGGTACCCAAATGGCAAACTCTACTTACCACTACTCTACCCAATATGAATCTACTCTCTCCGATTATCAATGTGCAATCTCCATGCGTCCATCCACTTCCGTTCCACGCCACTGGCCTCCTCTTCAATCGTCTTCACGGGAATCGGACCTCTTCGTCGATGGCGTTGCCAAGCACAGTTGATATCTACCGCCTTTCACCAGCTTCACCCCAGCCAGAAGCCAGATTGGAACTTTTTGCTTCCACGGAGCTCCTTAGCTGTCACTGTCATCCTTATTCCCTCAATATACACGGATTTCATAGTTTATCTACGGGAGACTAACACGGAGCTGGCAGCAGTCTTGTCGCAAAACTTGCTTAAATCAACTTGAAATCGACGTGTTCCACTCTTCAATTTACATCGAGCTAACTACTAATACAGATTACAGACCCTTCCCCAAGGCTATTGTCCTACATATTTAGTAAACACAGAACGAACGAGACGTCGAGCCCCAATCTGCTATTATTTAAAGAGCAGGGCCGATGAGGAAGTGTTCACGCCAGTAAGGCGTGGCGAAGACCTGGCGTGGGTCCAACTTCGCACGAATTTGAATCCACTCGTCATACTTGGGGTACGAGCTGCGAAGACGTTTCAGATTTCCAAAGTCGGGTGTCACGTACTTGCCAAGATGGCATCGATATTCGGGACCATGCTTGTCAAAGTATTCAAAGTACGGGCGGAAGAAGTCCGCCGGATCGGAACGCTTGGTCACGCTACCCAGCTCCGTGTCGTACTGGAAAAAGGTGACATCGATTCGGAACTTGTCGCCTGTATACGACGGGGAAAGCCAGAACGGACTTCTCTGAGTTTACAAAGAGCAAACTGTTATGAAAGTTGAAAAGGACCGCACAATGAACGAACCTTGGCGCTGTAGAACTCTGTGAAAAAGTTTCCGATCGTGCCGGAATCACTTTCATTCAAGGCCCTAAGTGTGTTGACCGCATCTGATAATCTCACAGTTAAACAACAGAAGTAATATGTGCGCCGCAAAAGCACATACCAGCAGCTTTATCCACATCGAACCAGAATTCCGCAAAAGCACTGGGAAGAAGCGTGTCTTGGATACCATTGTCCATAGGGATGATATTCGACCAAATGTCAGAAAATGTAACGGACACGCCAAGTGGAATGAAGATGTTGAGTATTTTTGCCGCAATTTCCTTTTCAATGGCGCCGATAATGGGTGTATCGCGGAAATAATTCAGCTGCCAGAGCAACCATAATGCTGTCTTTGCACCTATCTGCATAAGCCTGGAAATATATGAATTATGTGGCCGTTGATTGACAGGACAGTCACATACACTGAAAGTTCGTCATATTTCTTAATAGGGCCACCTGCAGGAACACGTTTCCCTGTCCAAATCTGCACACGCGGAGGGAGATCTGGCTGGGGCCAATAAAGCTACCAATGGATGCATTAGATTGATAGAAGAGGTATCTTGAAAATCATGTACCATGCGCATGTACTCGTTGGCAGGGTCTTTGAAATAATCCACGATGCCAGGGACGCCGCCAGCTGCTGGCCCAAAAAGGTTCACAGGACAGCCCTTGTTCCAATCGGCGTTGAGCGGCTGAACTGGGGAACTCTGCTGGGTACCCGCGACGTTGAAAGTTGGGGTGAGCGAAAACGTTGCCTCTGTGATAATACCACAAAGTCCAACAGATACCCCAGTGGCATAGAACAGGGTGGGATCGCGGTCATCACGAGAGAGAACATGTTTAGTTCCAGTGCCGTCGATGAGGGTAAAACTATATAGTGCATCATCGAAGCCGTAGAGGAGGGAGCCACCAGCAGATCCTGAGGTTGATAGTGAGCAAAAGGAATTAACAAGACATCCCAGCACGGAATACCTGTGGAAAGAAACCCGCCAATAGTTTGGTGAGTGACACCCCCGAGGTCTGGCAAAGCAAAATCAGCCTGTTGTAGCTGGAAAGCAAGGCCGTTCTCTTTCGTCGAATCAGCCTCTTCTGGATCGACATCGATGTTGGTGCCTGCCTTGACGGTAGCGAGTTTCTTATCCTTGTTGATAGATACGCCGCGGTACTTTGTAAGCGAAATGAGGACCACGTTCTTGGGAAAGACACCCTGAGGAGCATCCAAGATGATGTTGCTTGGACTCGAGTGCGCAGCACCAATCACGCGTACTTGGGTTCGCGCTTCGTAGGCTTTCTTGACGATATCGATTATCTCCTGTTCAGATGTCGGCTTATGAAGGGCGTCGGGGGGGAAGGGGTTGATACCCGAGTTGCCGAGGGTGTTCTCCTTCGAATCGGCACTATCAGGCGTATATCCCCAAGGAACGCTGCGACGCGCTGGTAATGGGATGGAGCTGAAAATGTGCTCAAGTTTGGTGGCGAATTCTTTAACCTCGCTTGTTGCAAGTGCCCTTTGCGTGCTGAGCGCATGATAGCGTTCGACCAATGGGACGGCGTCGTTGTGGAACGAAGGCGACATGGGGAGACAAACGACAGACAAGATACCGTTGCCAGCATTGCTGGCCTCTGTGGAGTTATAAGTACAGCTGGCATACTCACACGGAAGTGCTATCTCTTCCTCAATGGAGCCGGTGGCGCGAAACGACAGTCACATGGACGGAGAGATAATGAAGACATTTGGGCGCCGAGTGTCAAGGGATATATCCTATCTCCTCAAATCAAGGCGAAATCAAAACGCCGGGAACCACAATCAGTGTTGGATGCTTCTTTGGACTTTTCTAGTTTCTACGACCTTGTCATGGGACACTATGTACTGGGGCTCTGGAGACCGGAGAGCTCTGCCTAGAATGAGGCGGCGATGATCAGTACCACATGTATGTCAAACTATCATAACACCTGCCACATACACCAACTCCTCGGATAGATAAGTACGTTTTAGAACATGACTGATGCTGTATGGTGCGTGCAATGAAGGGAATTTTGCTTGGAAGAGATTGGGAGAAAGAGAGAGAGATTCCGGACCGGTCAACAACTGGCATACCCAACGTTTATTGCCGTTTGCAGTGAAGTTGGCGGTCGTGTGAAATTCCATCAAAACGCACAAATACGACCAAGTTCTGATTGAACTTTCTTCACAACGGCTGGGCCGTTTGCGACGATTTATGGTGCGTTGGAATTGTATTGACGAGGCGATGTGCGCCCCATCAAATTCTGAGCGATTTGGTAGAGTATTTATGTAGTTACAAAAAATTACCTGTTAAAAGTGTTACTGCGAACTTTTGGAAGAACGGCGGCACCTATGGACAATCTAGTTGTAGATAGACATATAAATGAGTGCGCCCCAGTCAAAAATTGTGCTCCGTAGCACACTATTACTTGTGTTAATTTTTTACATAGAGGCAAAGAAAATTCAAGACATGTATTTCGTCAATATTGTTTCGCACGTACGCTCTCTGAAATTGCTTTTCCAATGAATCTATTCTTTCCGATTATTAGTGTACAATTTCCATGCATTCATCCACTTCCGTTCCACGCTACTGGCCTCCTTTTCAATCGTCTTCACAATATCTCTCCTCCTCTTTCGGACGTTTGCATCGCCCCAGCTCTCTACTCCATCCAACTTCATCAAGAGCTTATCCATTGAATCCGTGTACGCGTGCAGAGCATGATTTCTAGCGGTATACGCCAACCGTACATCTGAATCCCCGTCAGATTCAGAGGACACATCGTTCTGCGTTCCGGACGATGACTGTTCGATAGGAACCGTCAGAACACCATCCGGATGGCTGGAGGAATGCAAGTCGATCGAGGAGGGAAAAACGAAGTTCTTCTTGAGAGTTTGAAATTGTGATTCGAGATCGTGAATGGAGCGTAGGGATTTATGAATGCGGTATTGATGCTGTATCCGTGATGCAGCCTCGTGATGACGTTCTGTGTACTCTGTCCGAGGTGGAGGGGAAGGGGAGGTTGTGCGTGACGTAGGCTGAACATTGGACTGATACAAGTATGTCAGATGGGAGCGCAAGAACGTCGTGAACGGTAAACCTACTCGTTGAGAATGTGTCGACCCCTCGCGTTTCAAACCCTGGCGTGTCGTATGCTCCTCCAACACTTGATTCCTCCTTGCCGCTTGTAGCTCCTGAAGAGCTCGTTCTCTGGCCAGGCGTTCCTCCCTCTCCTTTCTCTCGAGCGCCTCCTGCCTCTTCCGCGCGTCGAGGTAGAGGCGTTCCTGAGGTCTTAGCTGATTGTATTCCCACTCCTCTTCGCTATCATCGTCTTCGTCAGGAAGCCACTGACGTCGGCGTGTTCGTTGATCGGCGAGGGCGCGAAGCCACTCAGGATCCGTTTGTGGGTAGGCCCGTTGGGCCGGCGCATAGCGATATCCCGCTGATTGGTAGGGATTGTTGTAGAAAGGTTGGCCGAACATGGGGTTCGAAGGGGGTTCCCAAATAGAAATGTAATGACATGGCTAAAATTGTGATTCTTTTATGGGGAAAGACTGCACTACTACTCTAGAACGTTGAAGCAGGAGCTGGTAATAGATTCGTCTAGAAAAGTATGTCACGTGGTGCACTTTACGCTCACCAGACAGCACCAGACCCACAAGTATGACTCACGGAACACATGCGTATCTCAACCGCCTGGAGAATTGATAATGCGCGCCCCCATCGTTTGAACTTTGTCATCCGCCGAGAAGCTGACTATAGCGCTAGGAATCGATGAGTCACAGCGTTGCCGACCGAAGCATAAATATCCTGGTTCTACTTCTGGACTGCCACATTACAATCTTGCTACGAGCGATGTTAAGTTCACCGTATTCCAGTTTCATGTCGTCAACACGCTACGATGACAAGGGGAGACAGCTCCACTTTATTGAAACGGATACTCAGCGTCGGGAACGCCTCGAGTTTTCGAGGATGTTCAGATCAGAATGTTCAGAACAAGACTCTTCCCCTCCGCACGAATATGTTGTAAGTTTCTGTCCATTGCACCAGGCGCCAACAAGTGGTTAATGACCAGTTTCTCTCTAGATGAGTACATTGTCCCCAAAGTATCATCACATCAGGCTTCATCGTTCGAGCTCAGATTATATGAACTTTGGGACTGACATGGGCGGAGAATCGGAGACGTACCTCATGTACTCGTCTCACAGCACACCTTCAAGCCCTCCACCCGTTTCGTTTGCGCCGCTTCCACCGTCTTCTCGTGGACATAGGCGGCATCGCTCCTCTTTATCATCGATCCCGGAGGAAAGCTAGATCAGAGAGCGCCCAAACGCCTTCTAGGACGCAAGCATGCATCATCTATGTATCACACCACTCATATGCATCACATCTTACCCCAAAGGACGGTCGAGCAGGTTTAATTTTAACATGTATACTTAACACACCCCACATCATCAATCGATCTTCAGATAAATACATAGATACCGCACAGAGAACGTATGGCTGTAGAAATCTCAGTACATGCCTAGTGAATAATAAAAAGGGGTGACTCACGTACGACGTGAGGCGTTTTGGTGGACCAAAGCCTGGTTATCCATCTAATCCATCGGCCTCGTTGAAACATGGCTGCTTCGGTATAAAAACGGCTGGGTCGCAGAAAACGATGCATCCAGACCAACAACACTGCCCTTTCAAAGTCCTTCGTTCTTCAACAAATTAACATGGTTAGAGAGCAGGTTGTCCCACAGGTTACCGTGGTTAAAGACCAAGTTGGGGTACACATTATCCCTGTCATCGATGTACGTCATCACCACGCACCTCCAGGGAGCCTTTCTCATGCGCAGATTAGGAGCGCCTCGGATACGCGTCCTCTGCCTCTAAGGCGCACAAGGACAAGGTCGAGAGATACAACGACCTGCTGGAGGAAATATACGAACATGAGCTAGAACTCGCGAAGATGAAATCAGCGCTGGTAGATATGCGCAAGGAGATTGTAGAGGATGCTCAAAGCTTGGATGGGGTGGCTGTGGGTGTCAAGGCAGTACAGACCGACGTCATTGTCAATGGCGACACTTCCGATAACGATAGTATCGACAAGGAGAAGAAGGATAGAAAGAGAGGCGGCAGAGGTAAAGCAATCGTGAAGGGAAAAGGGAAGGAAAAGTCAAAGGTCGCGGGCACGGAGATGGACGTTGAGTGGGATTACAACCTGGAGTTGTCGAATTCTGCCAAGCGTGGCCGTCGCGCTTCAGACGCATCGGATTCGGTCGAACCACCAACGAGGAACGCATTCGTTCTGGGAAGCCACTGATTGTCGCACTAGAGGATTCTGAAGCGACGGAAGCATAATGGTTGACAGCCAAGAATGTCATGGTAGACGTTCAATGCACACAGAATGATGTTGCAACATGTCTATCTATAATTCCAAAATTCTTAAAAATACAAGTTGGAAGTCCAATGAGGTATGATGATGGTATGCGTACAGGGATGAATGAGTGTGGGAGGAAGGTGGGAAGCCAATGCAAATCAGCTACACAATCACAATTCCAAGGGCTAATGCAATCAAGCGACGCTTTTCTGAAACATACATCCCATGAGGGAAAACAGGTAGCCCAAGGGCAGCTGCTGATAAATCACACTGTGCAGCTGCAGCATAAGCGCAATGAGTATGGGCGCATGCAAAGCAAATTAAAGCTCACAGGTGAAACTTAAGAGCTGATCCCTTGTCTGAGGGTTAGGAGGGTTGAGATGGGGAGCGAATCTATTAACAACTTGCGTAGGATCGCGGAGTGGGCTGAGCGCGCCAGCGTGGTTATTGGCGAACCAGATCGGTAGCTTTTCCATGTTGGCTTGGATGTTGTTCGTAGTAGCTTGGAGGTTATTCATATTGACATGTAGGTTATTGACATCCGCTTGAAGCTGGTTGATGGCTGCTGGGATGTTGGCAGCTTGGATTTGATTGATATCCACTTGTAGCTGATTGATCGCCGCTAAGATGTTGGCAACCCAAGGAGGTACAATGTTGGCTGCAGAGGAGATGACAGCCGCCTTATACGCTTCCGCCGTGCCTATCTCAGTGTTGATGGCAAGTTGGGCCGGATTGGCGGCTACAAATGATGGTTACAATCAAGACAGGATAACAGCAACAAGTCATTGGGACTTGCTTTTAGAAGCTGATAGTCGTTCGACATATTCCAGAGCGTTCGTGATATCAGTTAAGACGGGAGGATTTGCAGGTGCGGGTGGGACGGCAACCCCTGCTACGTTCAAGGGCGGAAGTAACGCAGCCATAGAGAGCGAAGATTATTAAAGGCGGGAGTATGATTAAAGGCGGGAAGAAAGTACGTGGGTCATTCAGTGTCGCTAGCTTATATAGAAGAGGTGGTCCGTGTCTGAAACAAGCGGAAACCACATGTCACGAGTGTCATCGACTATCATATGTGATACTAAGGTCTGTATAAGAGTTACAAACGAGCATTGTTCTTAACGTAGCAAGGGGAGTATGGAAAGTTGGGCGATCAGCCACATAGGGAACGGACATACCTTAAGTGAGCGAGACAGCAAAATTATGATGATCGTAAGCGAAGGCTGGGCCTCGGTCATTGCCTTGGGTCGTGGCAGAACGCTAGTCTTGGGGGTCTGAGATTTCTCTTTCCCAACTGCAGCCTCTTGAGCGACCTGGCTCTGGGCGGCGTGGTTGAGTGCTACTGCGGCTGACCCTTGCTTGAAGGTTGATTCAAGTCATCATCAGGGAGGAAGAAACGGGAAGGAATAGTTTCAGGCAGGTCGTCGCTCAAATCGTTGGGCATGATTTCAAGTATATACCCCATTATCTGTTGACGAGCTCGTCTTAGACGAGATTTGTGACTAGCAAGTTCATACGCTTACCCGGGGACTAGGAATTCGGATGATGAAACCATCTGCCGTCGTCTGCGTAGAGACCATCTGGTGGGAAGAGCTGACATTGCTCGAACTAGAGGTCGACCACATCAGGATTCCACCAGCAGCGCGGACTGAGATAGGAAAACCGAGCCATCGCTGTCATGTTTCGCATCATCCATTGCTACCTTGACGGTGATATCCTGGAAAGCAGATACGTGAGAAAAACAATTTCAGCTTAACAGTGAATAGCAATCGACCTTGCACATAACGTAACCTGTTGGAAAGGCGACATAACATAACCTGTTGGAAAGGCTGGCATCAAATATTCATTGAGCTTATCCCAAACATCGGCAGGCGCGGTTTAGAGGTCATGAGCAGGCCGCTTGCCTCGAGAGATTCATTTATCAACATTATAAACTCCGGTAAACTGTTTGAAAAATTGGGGCTGGAACCATCCGCCTCAAGCGACTGTGACCATCGTAGACCGGAAACCAATCTCCATTTGGAAGTTAGATTGCTTGAGATGGCTTTTGTCGTCCGCGCCGGAATCCGACGAAGATTCAGAATATCCGCCCCACCAGAAGGATAGTCCTGAATCCTCTGAATAAGGGTAAGAAGACTTGTCCGTCGTTTGGAACATGTTCGACGTTTCGTGTTTATAATGATCTCCTGCCATCGACTACCATCCGAAGTCGCAGGCGGAAAGGTGAAAACATCCGCATTTTTGACGTCCTTGGTGTCCTTGCACGGCTTGACATCGCCGGAGGCATCGAAGCGCAGAGATTCAAGAAGTGTAGTGAGCTCCGTGACGTCTCTCTGCAGCGCGTTGATCTGCAAAGTGAGCTGTTTATCTTCAAGGATACTGTCGACAACCTCAGGTCCTCAGCTGCAGCGATTTCTGCAAGTAGCGTCGCATAGGCCCGACTTGCATTTATGACAGCAACATGGGCTTCTCCAGCCTTCTTCATTGCGCCCTCAATCCCCTGGTAAAGCTTTGCTGCAATATCGAGAGCGCTTGCTGCGGACACAAACTCGGTCATGAGAAAAACGCCGGCAGTGCTGACGAATGTCAACGCAAGGGAGACGACATTGGTATTGTCCTGAGCCTTGGCGCTCTGTGCCTCATCGAGTTTTTTCTTCCACTCGTCTAGATTGGCCTTTGGCGTACCCTGTAAGAAAGCCAAGCGCGTTTGCAAAGCGTCGATTCGCTTAGATTTCGCATCAATCTGCTGCTGGATCGCGTCGGGGTCTGAGGTAAGATCTTCCATGGTGAAAGGGGTGGAAAAACTTCTGTACCAGTCAACGAGAAACATTTGTATAGGGTAGACTTTCATGCTGCCGTCGAGGAAACTGGCTGAGGATTCACGGAAAGAGTCCTTGGCGTCTTGCAACAGTTCAGCTGGACTTTTGATATCCATGTAGCCGAGGTATTGACGGATGGTATGAGAGTAGCCAAACACGACGGCGTCGTCATATTTTGCGGGCAGCTGAGCCTCGCGAACGGCTGTAATATGCGCAAGCGAGCGCTTAAGATCTTTTATATTTTCTGGCTTGGTATCTTATCGCGTTCAAGCTCCTAGCCACTCTTAGCTGTCAGGTACTCTTCCATGAGAGCCTCTGCGAGCTCCATACGATTGACTTTTCCGTCGTCAAGCTCATTTGAAACGGCGAATGAGCTATCAGAGTCACCGGTAGGTGACAACCTGTTGCAATTATGCTGCTCTTAGAGAATGTCCTTTACCTAAGGAGCGGCAGGAACTTCATTCAAAAGCCACTTGCGAATTCTGTCCTGCTGCTTTGCCAAGTTGGCCTGGGAATCGTTGAAACCAGGAATTAAGATGTTGATAATCTGTTCATAGGTGATGGGAATATTTGATCCGTTGGACGCACCAATAACCTGACCTTGGTCAACGAGTCGAACTTCCATTTCATTGACGACGATCGACTTGGTAAACTGGCCGTAAATTCCGGCAGTATCGGTATCCCAGGCATACAGACTCTCCTGGAGGAAGCGCCCTGGAAACTGGACGACGAAGGCCTGTCCCGCAGTTGAATTGAACAGCTTCAACACCTCCTTCTGAACCAGCTTCAAAAAGTCGGCGCCCTTCGCTGGGCTAGTGTCATTGAGACGAAAACTTGGGGGAGGTTTCTGAGAGGTGGTATCGACGGTGACGGGTTTGGAATCGGTGGGAACCGTTTGGGAAGTGGTGGCTGGGCCATGAGACGTGGTCGATGCGGCAGTGTCAGAATTGACTGATGGTTAGAGAGCAGGTTGTTACACAAGTTACCGTAGTTAGAGACCAAGTTGGAATACACATTATCCCTGTCATCGATGTACGTCATCACCACGCACCAGGCAGCCTTTCTCATGCGCAGATTAGGAGCGCCTCGGATACGCGTCCTCTGCCCCTAAGGAGCACAAGGACAAGGTCGAGAGATACAACGACCTGCTGGAGGAAATATATGAACACGAGCTCTACCAGCGCAGATTTCATCTTTGCGAGTTCTATATGCGCAAGGAGATCGTAGAAGGCGCTCAAAGCTTGGCTGGGGTGGATGTCAAGGCAGTGGAGACCGACGTCATTGTCAATGGGGAAACTTCCGACAACGATGGTATCGACAAGGAGAAGAAGGAGAGAAAGAGGGGCGGCAGAGGTAAAGCGATCGTGAAGGAAAAAGGGAAAGAGAAGTCAAAGGTCGCGGGCACGGAGATGGACGTTGAGTGGGATTACAACCTGGAGTCGTCAAATTCGACTAAGCGAGGCCGTCGCGCTGCAGACGCGTCGGATTCGGTCGAACCACCGCATTCGTTCTGGAAAGTCACTGATAGGGTCGTTAGACATCGTGTCGCGTTTCAATGAAATTACTTGTCGCACTAGAAGATTCCGAAGCCCCATGGACATCTGAGAATGTCAGAGTACTTAGTTGGTACTTAGTCGGTGGTCTGGCGCTGCCAGTGGTAGGCGTTCAGTCAGGATGGACACAGAATTAAACATGTGTCAACAACAGATACCTCCTCATACTTCTCATGTCTGATTCTCATCTCCCTCCCCTCAGCTCTGACGGAGTTTTCTCGGTGTCGGCCTCTAGCACAATCAACGCCCCGCCAGAGAAAGTCTGGGCTATTCTCTTGGACTTTGCATCATACAATGAATGGCAAGCAACATATACGAACCTTCCAGCTTCCTTATATTCACATTTCAGTGTCCTTTAGGAACGCATTTGTGTGAGCGCTACATCCATCTGGAGTAGCTTCAACTCACGTAACCCGCACGTTCCGAAAAGCCGTGGTCAGGTTGTCACGGATTCGTCGAAGCAACCTCTTCAGTCACAGACACCAGCGGAAGGACAATATCTTTACATATATCCCGTACATCTCCCCCCGACGATGGAAAAGCCAGGCCTCTTCGGGGAGAGCTCAGCGTTTGTTCAGATCACAACGCTAGACCATGAAAACTTTCGTGTTGCCTGGAATACCGCTGGCCTACCCCACTTTCTCTTACATACGGAGCGATGGCAGGCTCTCAGCTACGATTCTATCATGAAGCAGACAAGGTACGAAACGATTGAAGTGTTTGGCGGGCTCCTGGCGTACTTTGTCAATTGGTTTGTTCGCCCGAAGCTTGTTTTGGGGTTCCAAGCCATGGCGGAGGGGTTGAAACGACGTGCTGAACAAGCTTGATTTTCTGAACGATGTATTTTCATTAGGTGGGTTTTTTCACACTTTTCCTTTGATCTCCTCTCATATCACAAAGGGACTTTGTATGTATACCCGTGGTATAATTTGCCGGTACTTCTATGTAAAACTTGATGCAAGGTTGATGAAGTCAAAACCACTCTTCATCCCTGTGTAACACTCTGATACGCCAGCTCAGGAATTTGTCATTTTCAGTCCTAATCTACACTTTCATCCCAGCCATGCTTCGCAGCCTCCAAAGTCACGAAGTTATGCAAATTCCATCTTGAAGTACCAGTATAAGTGTCGATCGCGATTAGACTTTCCCTCCCAGGAACTATCAGTTCGCTCTCATAGTATTCTCTCATTCATCGCTTCATAAAGACTTTCCGTACACCAAGGGGCTACTTATCTAGCAAGAATTTCAAGCACTGACTGCCATGACACGCTGCACATGCACAGCTCGTTGATCTACATTGGGACGCCAGAGACATGCGGGGTACTAGCGATGGTATTTCTCAAGCTGGCAATCTCTCTAGTCTTCATGAAAAGGTCATTTGTACTGTGGTTCGTCTCTTTTCCTTTTCTTTCTAGACGTCGAAGTTTGATGGCACTAGGCAAAATTGTGTAGCCTGAGCTGCATGCTCTTACCAGGATATTCATGTTTTCGATGCTGACGCCCACAACGACCAACCACTGTCTTAACTTTGAACCCGACTAGCCGCATGCGACCTGAAACTCACGCCGGCAAGCACTAAAACCACTGTTTTTACTTGGAACCCGACTGGCTGCGTAACCACTTGACGCTCAAGCCTACAACGTACCCCGCCACTGTCTTTATTTAGATACCGCGACCGTAGCGCGTATGTTGGCACATCTTTTGACGCTAAAGAAAATCTCTCTCAGAATGCCTGCCTCAAGCCTGCCTCACCGTCAACTCACTGTGCCTATTTTCTCCTTGTTGGGGTCTTCAAGTTGATAGCGCCCAATTTTGTAGTGGGTCGCAATAGCGATGGGCTGTTGAAAGTATACACTTAGGCGTTGCTTAGGCGAAGAATCCTTTTGAAAACGATTTCTTCCAGAATTTAAATTTTCGGGTTTTCCTCCACACTCTCGCCATCTCCATTAGCAAAATTTAACCTGAAGGGCGGCGAAGTAACCTCATTGAAATTTGAAAATCTCGAAGCGTTGAATGAACTCTTGTTCCCTGATGTGTGGTCATAATTGGCAACAACCACCCAAACCAAACATCCTCCAATATGTTCGCGTGCGCGTAGCGCGCCGCAGTGGTCAACAGCTGCTTCACCCTCCACTTGGAATTACTTCCTCAAGCTTCGATGCTAACGACAACTGTTCCATGGCTTTCAACGGTCGCGTCAATTGGCATGGCCATAGGACCTCCTCTCGTTAGCTTCCTATCTCGTACAGCACATAATGGCTCGTTTGAACTTTCACATTGCAGGTTTACGCCGACCAAGCCATTTCCATCATTCGTAAAAAGCGTGTTACTCCCATCTTCTTTGCCAAACCTTCTAACCCTCCGATATCATCAGGGATGCGACTGGCTTCTCGCGTGACGTTTGCGCTATATTGTCAATATTCTTAGCTTCTCGAATCGTCATCAACTGGACTTACGATGCCTCCTCAGGCTGATAGCCAACATCACGAGGTGTTTTTTCTGGCTTGGGTACGTTCGTCTTACATATTTCACTGACTCAAATATTGACGTACACTAGAAACCACTTTGAGATCGCCCTCTTGACGCAATCAGTCCTCATGATCCTGGCTCAGGTATATGCCGAAGTCCATTTCCCCGCTTATTTTCTCAACTCTTCCTCGCGCAGCTTGCTTTGCTGTACATTTGCATTCGATATCGACCCAGAAACAGCCAAGAAGCCATTCTCACCTCCGCGCGACCATTATCATTTTGGCAATGGCAAACTTACAGCCAATACATTGAGTTTCTCGCTGGTTTGATGTGAGCAAGTAAATATACTGCTTCGACATACTCAATAACACTGTCTAGACTCTGCCAGGCCATCCTGTTTCTCATTTTCGGGCGCTCCGACGTGTTCGTTGGACTTCTGGGGTTCGCTGCCCTTGGACTGGAAAGCACGTTGCCGATACCACAGCTCATCAGGTACGGTCTACCAGGAAATACACAATCATGCATGGTTCACTGAACTTGGCATAGTAACTATCGTCAGCGCTCACTGTACGGTTTTCGAACGTCAACGCTGGTTGGTTGGGTAGGCGGAGATGCTTTTAAGTCCGCATTCTTTCTTTTTATGGTGGATTCGCATTGAAGATTTGGTGCTCTTCTAGAACAGTTTATTTCTTCGTTCAACAATCACCCCTTCAATTCAAAGTTTGCGCCGTTTTTCAGCTGTCTGTTGATCTTGGTACGTAATGGCACTATATGCTTCTATATCAGCTCAAGCCAAATTGCAGCCATCATCGCCCAACGAGTGTTTTATGGGAATGCGCCGCCGATGTCTGTTCTGCTTCATGAGGATGAGCTGGAGACATCTCTCGCTTTAGCAGAAGAATGATCATACGCTACGACATGATTAATTTATTGATTTGAAACCATTCTTTGCTCTTTCTCGTGAAGGCCGATCAAATCAACGCCTCGACCAGTGGACATGAATTAACAGGCGCAGGTATGTCAATCTTGAATCTCAGAAAGATCTGAGCTCTTGCTTACACCTGGCTCAGTTCGCCGCAGATAAGTATTGAGTTGGTCGGCTTACCTCCTTCAAGGCTTCGGGGTTGATGTCCTCCGCTCAAATCGTGAAATCGCGGATGGTCCGTATCGAGTTGTGTGAAATCCTTGTCCCCTTTTTCTTCCAGATTTCTATCTCCTCCCTCTCCACCCTTGACTTAGGCACCCATTTCATACCAACTGTCTGTCGCAGCCTCAACAATCAGGTCGCTGATCACATTGGCTTTTTATAACCCCGAGTAAAATCCTTCGTTGTAAGTTATCCGTTCTTATTTATCAAGTTTAACATAAGTGTAGACTCTGGGCTCACGCAGCGAAGTTTTCATTGTGAGGAAACCTCTTCTTACCTTTGAGCTTTTTTGATTGTCTGGTCACAGCCTTTTAGCTGATCGCCTCTGCGTTCTACAACGTTCGTGAACCGCTATGTATAGAATATCTGGTGGGAAGCGTTTGACATCTAGGAAATCGCCTCGAGGCGGAAAAGGTATCCTTTCCCCCCTTTTTGTCTGTCTCTTGGGGATAACACTTAAGGGTTCTCCCAGCTCCACAGTTAATCCCTGTGCCGATCTGGTATGATTGATTGATCCATTACAGCGTCTGTTCTATCTATCGAGAGTGAATCATGTTGACTAACATTCTCATACTATTACAGACGCGACTCGGATCAGACGTTGTCGTCCATTGAATCTTTTCCGGTGTGAAGGCGTCCGGGGTTAAAATGGCTCAAGGAGGGATTCAGCACACGGGGCCCTTTCCTGCCCTTTCTACATACGGCCTGCCTCATTGCATCATCATTATGCCAAGGAAGAATTTAGAAATGTACTAATATACACAAGCAGAATAAAGTCGCGCTTCCCAAGAGTTCCTAACAGGGAGAGCTCTGAAAATCGGAATCCGTAGACCAGAAGACATGCGACGTTCGAAATCAAGTCTATTGTCATTCTTCGTACCAATTGGTATTTTTGCATCTCAGGCTCCCGTTTTTCGGAAGTCTTGACTCGATGTTGGTCAGACAATAGGGCACACATCCACGAGGTCCAACAAATCCGGAGCTAAGTTGTTCAATTTGCAATCTTCAGGCAGTGCTACGCGCCTGGATGAACGGGTGGACGAGGTATAAACGTCAGATCGAGTGCAGTGGCTTCAACATTCCAAACCAGTGCCGGTATTAGAACTAGTCCGCATCATTGACATGAAAATCCTAATACATGGATAATAGTAACTCACAAAAACTCTTGGGGAAGTAAATTTCGGAAAACATGTTTCGGAAGAAGTCAGATTTAATTTTCTGCTGCCCTGCACTAGTAATCAATTAATCAAGCTTAGTGTCCAGTACGTTTTTGCATATTCGGTCACCGTGAGATGCAGAACTCGTTCAGCTCTGGTTAGTTCAATGTACGAGAGACAAAAAAAAAAACACGAAGTTCTATCTGTGGAGAGCGACAACTTCTTGGATTGGCAAATTGCCAGTCTAAAAGTAAAACGTCCTCGCTCACGAGTGGCGTGTGAAATAAAACATACTATGACACCAAAAAGGAAATTCTATCGACTGACTGTCGACGGCTTCACCATAATGCACACAGCTCTGAGGACACTTTCGCTCTCTGGTCATATGTGCCTTTACTTCTCTGGACAAATTTGCGACTAATTGACAGCGGATGTCGAATCGCCGAGTCTAATCGCGAGTCACATTCTCCGTTTTGCTGAAGAATTCCGCAGCAATCCGAATGCATGCTCTCCTATGCTCTCTGATCAGCGCTTTTCAGCGTTTGGCCTCTCAGATACAGGGCTCATACACATGCGTCACTGCATATCGTCACCCTAGACTCGTGGAGGCTGGGGGCAATCTCCGGAGATTTTTTGCTGCATATTTGTCTGTCGACCCTCCTTATCGTCAAGATCTCAATGGAAATTTTACAGAGGCCGCTAATCGTTCATGTGCGCAAGACTTCTAAATGTGTGGAGCATGTCGTGGTTCTGCAGCATTCGCCTCTCTAGAGCCTAGTGTCCATTTCAATTGTGACTTATCCAGTGTTTCAATGGCTTACCCCCTTGAAATATTTTGTCATATTCATTTTTTTCTCAATGGTTCGTTGCTCGCTTTTTTGTGCACCTGTTCGTTCAACCTTCGATCTTGAATGCAGTGTTTCGACAAGTCGGTCCCAAAGGTTTCTGTTGGAATTCTATGACAGCAGATTCTAGTACCTGGGATTTCAAGTCGGAAGGGGGTAACGGCTCATTTCCAGAAAAGGGGTCGACCAAGCAGTTCATTTCTTGCTAGGCGCAGCCGCTTCTTTGGTTTATCTTCTCAAGCAGCCGCCTGCAATAGGGTCAGGCGATACCATTCCGCCGGTTTGAAGACGGCAGCATTTTTGCACAGACTCAAAGTGACAATAAATCCCATTCCAGGTAAGGCTGGCGATGGTCAAAAGATATAAAGGTCGGATGGCCCGCCAGGTCCTACAACGCATCGTCTTACGCCGTCTCCGCTTGACAGAATAAACTCGCTCTCATACCGCACATTCTATCATGCCTGCTTCCGACTCCGATACACCTCTCGCAACCAGTCAAACAGTTCCAGTCAATGCTGACACTACCGCATCGACCACGTCTGATGGCCCACCCACCACTTCCCAAACTGTTGCCACCGATTTCAAACCCGTCACCGTTCCCACCGATTTCAAACCTGTCACCGTCGATACCGCTTCTCAGAAACCTCCCCCGATTTCTCGTTTCGATGACACAGGCGGGGCGAAGGGCGGCGACTTTTTGAAGATGGTTCAGAAGGAGATGTTGAAGCTTTTCAATCCGACTGCGGGACAGACCTTCGCCGTCCAGTTTCCAGGGCGTTTCCTCCAGGAGAGTCTGTATGCCTGGGATACCGATGCTGCCGGGATTTACGGCCAGTTCAGCAAGCCGACTGTCGTCAATGAAAGCGAATTTCGACTCGTTGACCAACTTTATGATGTCGGTCAGGTTGTTGGTGCGCCCAATGGCTCAAATCTTTCCATCGTCTATGAGCAGATTATCAACAACTTGGTTCCCGGTTTCAACGATTCCCAGGCCAACTTGGCAAAGCAGCAGGACAGAATTCGCAAGTGGCTTTTGAAGGAGGTTCCTGCCGCTCCTTGGGTCAAGGACCTTCTTGAGGAGCAGCATAGTCGCAACGGGTCGTCGTCTACCAATGACTCTGATGGCTCATTCGCCGTCTCAAACAAGCTTGACGACGGAAAAGTCAATCGTATGGAGCTCGCAGAGGCTCTCATGGAGGAGTACCTGACGGCTAAGAGTGCCTGGGAGCTTGAACGCGACAAGATGATTAGGGAAACCAAGCCAGAAAATATGGAAGATCTTACGCGCACACTTGCGCATATTACAGCCGTTCGCGAGGCTCAGCTGTCCGCAAAATATGCCGACGCCGTCGTGCTTGGCTACTCTCATACCATCCGTCAATACCTCGGCTACATGGATATCAAAAGTCCAGCTGAACTGTTGCAAGACGCCAAGGACTCTTTCCGTGAATCTTCAGCTAGTTCCCTCGACGGCAGCATGAAAGTCTATCCTGTACAAATGTCTCCCGTTGACTGGTACAGAAGTCTTTCCACCTCTTTCACCATGGAAGATCTTACCTCAGACCCCGACGCGATCCAGCAGCAAATTGATTCTAAATCTAAGCAAATCGACGCTTTGCAAACGCGCTTGGCTTTCTTACAGGGTACGCCAAAGGCCGATCTAGACGAGTTGAAGAAGAAACTCGATTCGGCACAGAGCGCTAAGGCTCAGGCGGAAGCTGACCTCTCATCTACATACAATACCAACGTCGTTTCCCTTGCGTTGACATTCGTCAGCACTGCCGGCATTTTTCTCATGTCCGAGTTTGTGTCCGCAGCAACCACACTCAATATTGTAGCAAAGCTTTACGACGGGATTGAGGGCGCGATGAAGAAGACTGGAGAAGCCCAAGTTGCTGTCATCAATGCAAGTCGGGCCTATACGACGCTACTTGCAGAGATCGCTGCAGCTCAGGCTGCCGACAGTAACCTTGAAGATAAACAGCTCACTTTGCAGATCAACGCGCTGCAGAGAGACGTCACGGAGCTCACTACACGTCTTAAATCTCTGCGCTTCGATGCCTCCGGCGATGTCAAGCCTCCCAAGGACACCAATGACGTCAAAAATGCGGATGTTCCCAACTTTCCACCTGGGACTTCGGGTGGCAGTCGATGGCAGGAGATCATTATCAGCCACGAAACGTCGAATATGTTCCAAACGACAGACAAGTCTTCTTACGCTTATTCAGAGGATTCAGGACTATCCTTCTGGTGGGGTGGATATTCTGAATCTTCGTCGGATTCCGGCGCGGACGACGCAAGCCATCTCAAGCAGTCTAGCTTCAAAATGGAGATTGGTTTTCGCGCCACGATGGTCACAGTCGATCGAGGCGGATGGTTCCAGCCCCAATTCTTCAAACAGTCCGCTGGATTTTATCACATTGATAAGCGAATCTCTTGGGGCAAGTGGCCTGATTCAATCAAAGGAGCTCATGACCTCCAAAACGCGCCTGCCGATGTTTGGGATCAGCTCGATGAATATTTGATGCCAGCGTTTCCAACGGGTTACGTTATGTGCAAGGTCGATTGCTATTAATTGCTAAGCTGAAATTGTTTTTCTCACGTATCTGCTTTCCAGGATATCACCATCAAGGTAGCAATGGATGAAACGACACATGACAGCGATAGCTCGTTTTTCCAATCTCAGTCTGCGTCTGCTGGCGGAATCCTTATGTGGTCGACCTCGAGTTCGAGCAGTGAGAGCTCTTCCCACCAGATGGTCTCTACGCAAGTGACGGCAGATGGTTTAATCATCCGAATTCCCGGTCCCCAGGTAAGCGTAAACTTGCCGGTCATAAATTTCCCTCTCTAAGACGACCGCTTTAACAGATAATGGGGTATATGTTTGAAATCATGCCCAACGATCTGAGCGATGACCTGCCTCAAACTATTCCTGACAGTTTCTTCATCCCTGATGATGACTATGACTCAACCTTCAACAAAGGGTCAGCCGCAGTGGCACTCAACCACGCCCAGGCCGCTCAGGAGGCTGCAGTTGAGAAAGAGAAATCTCAGCCCCCCAAGCCTGCCTCAGCTAGCGTTCTGCCACGACCCAAGGCAAGGACCTAAGGCCTGACGCTCGCGTTACTATCAGCTGTCTCGCTCACTTAAAGGTACGTTCGTTTTATCCTCTATTGGCTGTACTTGTATTTGGCCGTTCTCCTTGCGGCGAACTTGTAGTCTTTTGCTCTCCTCCCTCGCACCACCCAGCTATCCATACTCCCCTTGTTATGTAAAGAACAGTGCCTGGTTTGTAACACCGCCTGCCGAATATATGTCAAGTTTTGTAAATGCTCTGCGCCCACCTGGAGTTGTCCTGTTTGAGCATTGCAAGACACTTCCCCGACTCTGGAACAGAGAGGATACGTTGCGACTCCCGCGAATTCTGGTGTACTGCAGATCATTTTATCTTTCGTGGTGTTGGCTCAGCAGTAACAGGGTTGAATTTGGACTTTGATCAGAGTCGGGGACCGGCGCTCGCGCCGCCAAGTGAGTTGTATGATTGAGGAGAGTGATTGCCCGACTCACCACGTTCCGTGGTGTTGACAGCCTTCTGAGGTCTGTGCGCTGCGAGGGTAAATTCCTTCGAGAAGCCTTGCGAGAAGCAAGACATTTTTTGTCTTCCTCGCTTTGATCCCCAGCTTTCCCCCCTCCCCCGCGAATCTTAGCCTTCGCGGACATTTTTCCGACCCCTCCCACTTCCCATTCTCTCTCGTTTTCACCACTTGCGTGCATGTGGTTGGTATAATCTTGTTGTCTTTTCACCAGCACGCTCAAAGCTTTCGAAATTCTCGAGTAAATCCAAAGACTTATACTTGTTTCCTATCACACCTGCCAGTGAGATGAAGCTGTTGAACAAGTATCGGATTGGGATTTTGTAAATTCCTTGAGATCAGCGCGTTTTGGAACCAAGTCATATGCATGAGATTTCTTTCCCCCGACCCACGAAAATTCGGATGCTCAACTAACTCATTTACATAAATTGAATTTTCGTGTTCTATCTCATTTTAGCATCAGCGCGTCCCATACAAAGCCCACCCATTTAGTAAGTTACCTTCCTCGAAGTCACTGTGGACACAAATTAGAGCTCACCTGCTCCTCGCAGCATCGATTCAATGTCCATCTGCCATGTCTGACATTGATAACGCCTCGTAACACTGCTCCATGTGATTTATGCTTGTTTCAGTTGTAAGTTAGGGGTGCTCAACCTGCCTAACTTATAACTGCACCACAACGTACTTTCTCCCTCAGGCCCCACCTATAATACCACTTTTGCTTTAATATTATCTTCGCCCTCTTTCTCATGCCTGCTTCCAACCCTCCTCCCAATGTGTCTAGTGCTGCTCTGCCCCCGGAGATACCACAAACTCGATGAAGTATGCTGATAGGTTGACTGCTTCTAAAGGTAAGTCATTGCAGTTGTTGGAATTATCCTGTCACGGTCTTGATTGTAACAATCATTTGTAGAAGCAAATTCACTTCACCCTGATGATGACATTGGTGCTGTGGAAATGTACAAAACTTCTGTTGTACTACCCTTTCCACTTCCCAATGAATTTGTACCTTTTTGGGCAGTCAACCTCCTGGCTTCTCTTAATAACCTGCAGGCCTCTGTTAATAACCTGCAGGCCTCTGTTAATAACCTGCAGGCCTCTGTTAATAACCTGCAGGCCTCTCTTAATAATTTGCAGGCAACACTTCACAACGTAGGACTCGGGCAAATGCAACAGATTACTTTTGTTCCTCAGATGGGGAATGAGTTGTTGCTGTTCACACTGGCAGGTGAGTCTAATCTGCTTTCCACATAAATCCAATCCTCATTGTGTTCGGCCTCAGCTGCAGCTCCTGATCTCCCTCCACTTCTCCAGGGTGCACTTGTACAAGACAGGCACTGCCAACTTGCTGAAGGCATGGAGTCACTTAAGATTGAGTACGCATTTGCTGTTGATGATTGTTTTCTTTTTACTCATTGTACTGCTGTAGATGAGTTGCTGTTAATTTCTCTTTTCCTCTATCATTATGACTTGACTTTGCTGAAGTGTTGAATATCCTGCATGTTTGTTTGATGGACGCTTTGCCAGATGTCATACAAAACCTATAATTTTTACTCCAACTTTGTAGAGTCAGCTTGACATCATTCATGCCATATCAAATCTTGATTGCATCCATCCATCCTTGGTCTTTGAGGGATGTGTGCATTAATCTGCAATGTCTCTTTTGACATTGAGAGTTGGTTTTATATTGATAGCAAAGACATCACAATTACCAACTTACAGCTAACTGCATAATCATAGACTATCTAAATTTCATTTTGTGCGCCTTTATTTGTACAAACAACCATATTAGGTAGAACACCCTTCCAAAAATGGCCCAGCTCTCCCCCCGTCTCACATTCCTTAAAAGGAAAGATGATAGGCTGTGGGAAGGTACACTAGCATATAGTGCATGACAAACACAGAAAACAAATGCTGGTTTGGTGGAGTGGTTAATTGCACTGAATTTAGTACTGTGACCAAAGTGTCTTGTGTTCAATTCTATATGCTCCATTTCTTTTTTAATGTATCAAACAATTACTTATTGGTTAGGTTAGAGGTTAGTTAGAGTTAAGGTTAGGGATGGGGGATATTTTTCTCCATGCGCGGTAGCATGTTCTTGTTAGGTTAGTTGTTAGGGTTCATGGTTAGGGATAGGGATATTTTTCTCTCCGCGCAGTAGCGCGTTCTTGGTAAGGTTAGGTGGTTAGGTGGTTAGGGTTAATGGTGGTGGTTAGGGTAGGTTAGGTGCTCGAGAACGCATGGTAGCGTGTTCTCGAGCCGACTCAGGGCAATGTGCCATTGCCTTGTCAGAGGATTGCCATATATGGGTCACTGTGTGGAACACTATTGATCGTCAGTGCCGCTAAGGTAGTGGGACGGCTGTTGGAACGTCTAACGGACAACGCAACCAAAGGTGTGAAGACCCTCGAAGTAGGTCGTGCAATGTGATCGATTAGACGCTGGGAGCCGTGGAACGTGACAGTTCACAGTACCCGTGCTCCGATCTCCACGGACAGTCCCGTTGGAGAAGGCTCTAATCGATTATAGTGGATGGAACGTCTCTTTCGTACGTACCGCCTAGAGTCCGAGTTGAAGCCGTTAGTAGGGCTTTCGAGTCGAGCTGTGTGGGCAATAGTATGGTGAAAGATATCGATTGCCTCATGGGCTACATGAGGTATATGTACAAAGATGACGTAAGCGTAACACAAGTGAAGTAAACATCGTAACACAAGTGAAGTAAACATATAATAACGAATGATAGTTGCATGTAGGGGAGTGGAAAGGATAGAGAGTAGAAGCTAGGGGTTACTCACAATACTAGCATACTACAGAGCCCCCCCACTTTCCAGTTCCCGATTAATCCAATCGCCTCTCGGGGAGGGTGATGTCGTCCAACGGTTCTTTGTGCCAAGTGGGCTTCAATCCCGCGATCGAGATGCCTTCCATTACATTCTGAAAATCTGCAGTGGATGGTAGGTAAGCAGGTCGGCGTTGGCCTCGGTCGTTGTTCCTGATCCAACATTTCCATTTTTCTCGTGTGCGAAGTTTGGCCTTGCCTCTCGCGATGTCGTCAGCGAGTCTTCGGTAGATGTGATCGAGCGCGGCGTTCCATTCCCCTGTCCACAGTTCGAAACCGCCATTGAAGATATCAGCTGGGGGGAAGAGCCATCGGCCTAGGCAGCCGTTCGTGCCTGGACAGTAGCCTAACAATAAATCCTTTTCCTGCTCTGAAACGATATCGTGTGCAAGGTAGGAAGCGTCTTCGGACGCTGAGTCGTAAAATCCTCTGCTATGAACGGTGGTTTGGATGGAGGGTCCAGACATAAATTCCTCGACAAGTCGCAAGCCTGTCCATCTTCTTGCTATCCAGCTCAGCTGCCCTCCTTCCGCGATGAAAGCGCGCGCATGGGGGCGGCGTAGAAGGTCGTTCATCCGAGCTAGATACGTCGCGCAGAATGTCGCTGCGTTGTCGGCTGGGGAGAGTGGAGGCTCCTGGAAGCCTACGTTGTAAATGAACGATGCCGAGCTTCGGTCCAAACTGTCGATTATGATGGGGCGGAATCGTCTGACAGAGTCTGGCGGTAGAGCTAGGTAGAAGCGAATACCATGCTCGATGGCTATGGTGAGGAGTCTGCGAATTGTGCCGACCGTATCCCAGCAGTTAGCCCAGTAGCGAAGTCGAGCCTCGCTCTCTACGTCCGGGATGAAGAGATATGCCACCTCCAGGTATTCAGGGTTCCACGCGAAGTGAGGGGCGAACCATGTGCTGCTGGTGTAGGTTATCTTCGCTGATTCGTCTTTCAGTAACCTTCGGAACATGACTTCTGGGCGCTCATGAGATGAGTGAATCGGTTCAGATATTTGTGTGGGCGACTGGGAGCGACGGTAAGGTGATGCTTCGATACCTTGGGCTGTCCGCCGTGCTGTGGTGGTTCGGCGAGCGTTCTCGAGCAGGGCCTCGTTATGACGGATCCATGCTGCTGGACTGTTAATTGCTCGAGGGTGGTATAGGGTGTCAGGGACTTCGGTGATGCGAACTGCCGTGAAGTCTTCGTCGGATAGAGAACTCTGTGTGGTGGACATGTCAGTCTGCGACGCGTCGTCGGATAAACGGTCTTGAAGGGATAACCTGCCCTTGACGAGAGAGCCCCCCATTCGTTCCAGAAGAGATGGTGAGGTATTGAGCGATCGGGCCTTGGTAACGCGCAAGCCCGTATCTTCGTCATACATTACTCCGGGTTTTGGCGCGTAGGAAGACTTGTATAACTCCCTGATCAACCCTGCATATTCTTCCCCTGGTAAGCTCGTCTTGTATTGGCGTCGAAGATAATCGTCCCTCGGTTCTCGCTTCCTCCATCTCCAAAAAACAATCACTTTGTGGTCGTAGTCCTCGTTATCGTCGAAGACATCGTAATAGTAAAATTTCGCTAAAGATTCGGTTGTCTCTTCCCGACGGTTGATCGGTCTGCGTTTCCATCCTACGAAGTCGATGACGAAGGGTGTGTAGGATGAAAGGATGGGTGGGTCGGCAGCTGACTGATACGTGAAGACTTCTTGGAAATAATGGTCCAACTTTACTGCGTCACGAGCAACTCTGTTGAGATCGTCTTCTGCAATGTCCGGGTGAAGGGTTAACGTGGTCCCTTGTCTGACGGCCCAGTAAGTTAGGTTCAGGGCTGGGTTGAGTCTGCTGAAACGTGGGTCCGCTCTAACGTCGAAATCCCAAAGGTAGAAGACTGGTATGTCGTGTTGAATGTACAGGGGGATGTTGATGACGGACCAGTCCCTCTCGAGATCGCAGATAATTCCGCGCTTGCCCTTCGTTGTCGCTAAGAGCCTACTAATTGTCTCCGCCGCTGTGTCATTGAGCTCAACCTCCCAGTTCGGCATAATTGTTGTCCACCATGCCATAAAGGCGAGAGCCTGTAAAACGGAGCATTTCGCCTTCGCCGCGTTGATTTGAACCAATTTCTTGGTTGCGTAGACTTTGGCTAATCGCTCGGTTGGGTACTGAGGCGGGACTTTCGCGTGGGGGGGGAATCGTTGATCGAATTCCACTATGCTGCGTACGCAGGCTTGGGTACGGATGAGGTCCCCGCTGCAGATCTGGCGTTGCTCCTCTGCCATGGACCATCCATCGAGTCGTTCTTCGACTGGGACAGCCGTTTCGAGCTGGTCGTACCAAGGACGTTCACTAAGAAGGAATGAGGTTGGCGTCCACGCCGCCCATTGCTCGTCGTCCCTGTACCAGTGTGGGCTTCTGACTGTGTCGATAGGCAAAACTTGGCCTGAATCGGAAAAATCGTCGACGCTCCACCCTGGATCAGGTAAATTCCTAAAGATTATTGCCGCATCAGGGATCAGGGCTGTGTCTGAGTTGAGACCTACCCAGATAGCGTCTCGGTCGACTCTGATGGTCGTGGAAGCGATCGGATTGAGATGATGGATTGTGAGATCCATGGCAACGAAATCAAGCAAGACAGTCCTCTGCGAGATTAGTTGTTCTCCTAACTTTCACTCGTGGACAGTCCCAACGAATGAAGGTGAGGGGCAGGAAAGATGAGGGGAAATCTAGGGAAGGAGGGGAGGCGTCGAGTTTTGTAACGACACGTGTATCTGATTGATGAGATGGATAGTCAGTGTGCCTGCCATGCGTCTCTAACTGCTCCAATTGAAAAAAAAGAAAAGAAATATAAAGAAAGAAAAAAAAAATATACGAGAAGTACCTGACAATCAGAACGAAAGAGTGAAAATGTGAAAGGGGGATTGCATAATTCGCAGTAGAACTAGTTTTCAAAGGTTGTTCTTGGCACGGTATTCCTTCAACAGAATCGGAGAATTCTTGAGATCTGCGGCTGTGCCCCAAGTGTCGAATTGCGGGCCGTAGTGCGCCCATCGTATCAAATACTTCAGAGCGGCCTTTTTCCCGATCCTTCGGTGACCGACTATTTTTTCGACTTCGAACTCCTCTGATTCTGGTCGTCGCACGAAAGACTCGGGTAAAGTCGTCCGATCGCCGTAAGTTTCGTCCTCTACGTATTTCTTGAGGTGTTGGATGTTGATCACAGGTGAGCCCGGGTAGTTGTCTCCCATCCGGAGCCGGTAGACGTTAGGATTGATCTTCTGGGTCACTTCAAAGGGACCAATCCAGCGTGGGGTGAGTTTGGCACCTTCACCCTTCGATTCTATCCATTCTAAGGAATGCGGGTTCACCAGGACTTTGTCTCCTACCAGTAATTCCAACGCTCTTCGCCCTTTATTGTGGCTACGAGCTTGATGGTGTTGTGCGTGCGCTATAGCTTGTCTAGCGCTGTCTCTTATCATTTGCAGCTTTGCCAGCCACTCTTCTGAGTCCGACCGCCTCGTTACATTCTTTTCCGTATCCTTCGGCTGTAGGAAGTCCATTGGCGTCCGTGGTTCGAAACCGAACATCAAGAAGTTGGGGGTAGATCCCGTTGAGCTATGGATACTGGCATTATATGCCCATTCCAAGAGCGGCAGCCATAAGGCCCAGGCTTCCTTGTTGCCAGAGACGAACGCCCTCAGCATCACTTCCAAGAAGCGATTTACGATCTCGGTCTGCCCGTCATGTTGTGGATGGTGAGAAGAGGAAAGGGACATCTTGGTTCGTAAAAACTTCGCTACTCCTTTCCAGAAGTCTGAAGTCCACCTAGGGTCTCTGTCACATATAATGCTTTCCGGGAGGCCAAAGCGACAGACGATTTTTCTAACGAACAGTGCACCGAAATCTTCGGCGTTCAAACCAGTAGTAGTTGGCGTGAAGGTACCATGCTTGGTTAGTCGATCCACCGTGACGTGAATCGCATTGAAGCCGTCTGACCAGGGGAGGTTTACTATGAAGTCCATCGCTATCGATTGATACGGCCTGCTTGGAATAGGATTGGGGATGAGATATCCATACTTGTTGAAATTAGGAGCTTTGATCTTCTGGCATACGTCACAACTCTGAACGAATTTGAGTAAGTCGGCTTTCATTCTTTTCCAGTAGAATTTCTCGCTTAGTTTCTGCCACAGTTTCTCCGGCCCCTGGTGGGCGCCCTCGAATGCTTGTTCGTGAGCTTCCTCGAGAATCAACCTCCTCTGAAGTAGAGGTACGCATAGCCTCGGCTGGTAGTCGGCGTCTCTAAAGAACATCAGTCCTTCCTCGTTTCTGAAGAAACGATGACCCGGAGTCCATTGATCGACCATCGTCTTGGGATCATTCCAGATCTTCGCGAGGTGTGGATCCTTCAAATAACTTTCTACCCAGGCTTGTAACATTCCTTTCTCTAGGTGTACTAGCAAATTGGGAGGTGGATTTGTCGCTTTCCAATACTCGCTCGATTGCTCTTCCGTCGTGTCCGTCTTGGGAGTTGTTGTAACTGTTGGTTTTAGAGGTAAGACCTCTTTTTTACGCTTCGAACTGCGTGTATTGAGTTGCGCCTCTTTATCCTCCTCCAAACAGTCAGCAATACTGAAAGCCATGAACACGGCTTTTCCCATGGACGGATTCGCGCTGAAATCAATGTGTACTGGGTTCATTTCCAATGAAATTGCGTCGTCCTTGACTGGGGAATCTTGAGGTGGAGGGGCGCGGTACAAACGGGACAGCGGGTCGACATTCGAATGCTTTCTACCCGGACGATGGACGATGGATAGATGCGGCGCGTAGGCGGAGAATACTGTTCCCCAGGCGGCCAATCTCCGATTCGAGTTTTCGTAAGTTTTCGCCCATTGAAGTGCTGCATGGTCAGTTATTAACGTGATTTTCTCGCCTTCGATGAAGGGCTGGAATTTGACTAGCCCCTCTTTAGCCCCCAGAGCTTCGCGTTCTGTTGTTGAGTATCGCGTTTCGGCCGACTTAAAGGTACGAGACCAATATGCGATCACCCTTTCGATATAAACGACTGTATCTTCAAAGGATTCCGACCAGTCTTCTGTCACTATGTTATCGTCAAAAGCAGAAGGTAGTTGCACGACAAGTTTCGGCGGTTTCTTCCCTGCTGCGTGAGCCTTCCTGAGCTGATCGTAAAGTCTTGTTCCTTCTAAGTCCTTGATTTTGATAGGTTGGACTTGCTGTAATGCACATCCTAGTGCTTCATCCGACGCGTCTGTATATAAACGATAAGGCAAACCCTCCGTAGGATGTCCCAAGACTGGGGATTCTTGGAGAGCGCTTTTAATCGAATTAAAAGCGTTCTCGCACTCGGCCGTCCAATTCCACTTGGCGCCCTTCCTCAGCAGCTGGAACAACGGATAACACCGATCTGCGTAGTACGGGATAAAAGCCGAGAAATAGACTGCCATCCCTAAAAAGGTTTGAAGTTGTGATAGCTTTGCGGGTCGGTTTAGCTCCAGGATGGCGCGAACCTTCTCGGTGTGCGTGGATAACCCCAGTCGGGACACTTTATGCCCCAGTAGAAGGATAGAAGAATAAAAGAGATGACATTTGACGGGGGATAGAGTGATACCCGCCTTTTCTATAGCTTCAAGAACTTGATCGAGATGACTGATATGATCTTCATATGTCTTGGAGTAAATTACTATATCGTCGATGTAGACTAAGCAAAAAATCCATAAGTACGGGGCTAGAATGCCCTGCATGACCCTTTGGAAGATAGAGGGCCCGTTTCTCAAACCGAAAGGCATTCGTTTGAATTGGAAGAGCCCGCGATGAGTCCTAAAAGCCGTTTTTTCCACATCTTCTTCATCCATTTCTAATTGCGTGAAGCCGGATAGCGCATCTAATGAAGATAGGACCTGTGCTCCAGAGAGGGAAGATAAGATTTCGGACTGACGGGGAATAGGGAACTCGTCTGGAATGGTAGCAGCGTTTAATTTTCTGTAATCCACGCAGAATCGTGGTTTGCCGTTACGGTAAGCAATTACGACGGGGGCGCTCCATGGACTCTTAGATGGTTCTATCACGTCTTGTTCATACCATTTATTCAACTGCTCGTCCATGACCGCTCTCTTTGCCGGCGATGCCCCGTACATAGGAACGGCTATGGGGACTTGTCCATCCACGGTCCTAATATGGACTTTGCTCGGATGATGACCTAAGCGGCCGTCGAAACCAAACGCTTTCTTGCGTCTTTCTAACATCTCCCAAGCTTTTTCTTGTAAATGCTCGGGAAGAGACCCAACGTCTAGGAACTCTCGCATTCTCGCGGAGGGGTACTCCATCGGATCTGGGAGCTCGGCAGTTTTTGGACCATAGGCTTCCTGTTCGTCATCCTTATTATCATCCTGTTCTTGACGAGACTCTGATTGCTTCTCAGGTTTCTCTTGTGTCGAAGGATCCTGAGGGGGATCGTTTGCGGAAATCGATATGATGGCTGCTAAGGCTTCCGTCATTTTTGTTAGCTTCTCCAGATCTTCGGGCGTCTGTGGAGTGTCGAAATACTCCTGTGGGTCAGTTAAGTACCCTACTATGTCGCCTTTTCTGATCGTCTTAGGATGAGGTGACGGATTCGAAATTGGGACCCAGGGATCTGATGCAGAAATGAGTACGTTAGGCACGGCAAATGTCGAATCGTCCGCGGCAGCTAGAAGGTTCTTCTCAACCAGCCAAGTCTTGTCTTCTTCAAAGTGACCATCTACCCTGATCCGACGGCATTCGTCTGGACGGAGGCGGTAGTCCTCTGCGGCTCGAACGGTTCTTTTCTCAATGCCGAAACTTTTACTCCTCCTCGCTTTTTTGGCCTTATTCCGCTTGTGAAACTTTGCTTTGATGAAGCTAGCCGCTGCGCATGCGCTCTGTCGCATTCTCTCAAAGTCTCTGGTTCTGCTGACTCCTCGGGCTGGGACCGAATAGGGAACTCCTGCGAAGTTAATGACCGAGCGGAAATCTACTTTGTGGGCCACGATGAGTTCGTAATTCAAATGGTAGTCTTCTCCTAACAGAATAGGAACCGTCATGTCCGGAACTACATAGGCTTCAGCTTCCGTTTCGAGAAGAACTCCCTCCGCAGATTGCAGAAATATCGGGATCCGGACATAGCCTTGAAGGGACGCGTCCTTATCTGTAAGTTGCCATAAATTCATCTTCAGTCCGTTCTGACAGGGAGGCCGGTCTTGTAGGCTTTCTAGGTATTCTTGAGAGATTAAGGTGACGTCCGCGCATGAATCCATTCTGATATCGATAGGCTTGTTTCTAGTAGAACCAACCCATCCTTGGACTGCTACTACCGACACTCCTACCGCTGACGCTCCCGCTGGAGCGAAACGTCTCTTTTTTAATTTGATTCTGATATCGGGAATGGGGGGCCCCGGAACGTCCGAGGCTTTTGAAGACGTCTCAGTCTCATCTTGAGTGGGAGGGGATCTGAAGTTAGGTTCTACTCCTTCTTTTTCTTTCTTTGACTGAGAAACGAAAGCTTCATTCGTCGGGGACACTTCCTCCATCAAGAAGTCCGAAGATTTCGGTTTGGCTACATGTGCTAGCCAATCTTCGTCTTCGATCTCCTCCATTGTGGTGCGTGGAGTCCTTTCGGAGTCCCCTACCCTGGTCTTACTCGTTTCCTCCTCAGATACCTGAGGAAGAGACGATGCCGCCTTAAAACCCTGCTGTGTTAGAGAGTCTGCTAACAAGGGCTGATTGACTACATCTCCCGCTAACCTCTCATTGAGCAAGACGGCGTAGGCGGCGGCGTAGGGTTTCTCAGACTCGTCCTCGGGCCAAATCTCCACCAAGTTAGCGGATCGTTTGGCTCTTTCCAAGTAAGTGTTCCAATCGGGACATTCCTTATCCCAATGATTCGCACTACCACAGCATTTGCACGGTGACGGCGGCAATCTGCCCATCTTCGTTGTAACGTGGTCGTTCTTGGAGAATGGGTATCCTCCTGCTGGTGGCGGTCTCTGGCGTTGCTTTAAGACCTGGTACGCCTCACGAAGGATGTGTTGGTTTGAGGTGAGGTAGGAGAGATCGTCAAGGACAGGGGGGATTATGGCTTCCTCCGTTGTGAGGGTAGTCTGGTCAGGGGGGTCATTTTGCTTTGTAGTCGCGTACTCTACTAGATTGGCGCGTCGTTGATAGGACTGATGAGAAGGGAAGGTTTTGTTATCGGTTTTGTTATCCTTTTCAGAAATCAGACCCATTTGCCTCAGTTGGGAGACTATATTGTCAATCGAGGGAGCTTGCCCTCCTCTCGATACGCGATACGCTTCTAGAAGCGCTTCTTCGTGCTCCGTGACCCGCGAGTAGAGCTCGCTTGAGTCTTTTATGCTGCTTATGAGCAGGATAGGTCCCCAGCTTATGGGAGCCTTCCTCATGATATAAAAGACTTCAAGTGGCCCTCCGCTTATGGATAGGAGCATTCGCGTATAGACTATACGTCTGACAATGAATTCTGAAGGGCTCTCCCTTTCATGGCCTCTTTCACGGAAAAGTTGGGAGTTGTAGTAGTTGTTCATTCTTAGTTGCCAACGATGTCCCAGGTATCCGTCCTTAATTCCCTTGAGAAATTTGAGATAATGCGAACGCATATAGGTTTGATAAGCTATTGGTAAAGTAATAAACCATGACTTGACGGGTGATTTATCCTTCAAACGGAACCACAGCCAGTAACCCAATGCTTCGGGGATCCAGCCTCCTAAATGAGCTAGTTGCTGAACTTCCCAGAAGTAATCTATGGCTGTCCAGTGATTCCCATCCCATTCTGGTAATTGCTCGACTTTCAATTCCGTCTTGATGGACGCAGGTATATTTCCGTAGGGAGCGGGCGGTCCTGTTTGGTTCCCGGGGAATGGTGGTCCTCCCCCGCCTCCTCCGCCTCCTCCAGGAGAGCCGCCTCCTCCTGGGAAGGGTTGCCCTCCGGGGTAGGAAGCGTTGCTGTGAGACGGTATAGGGAAGCCGTTGCCTCCGCCTCCACCACCACCTCCTCCACCACCTCCTCCGCCGGAAGGATCGTCATCCGGCGGGGGCGCTCTTTGAAAGGGCATGGGGTTACTTGAGTGAATAGGGTTGGGCGGAGTGGTGTCTTTTGAAGAAGCTAGACGAGCTAGGTTGACGTTCGAGACTTTCCCCCTTACGTTGTCAGCGAATTGCGTTAGAGAGGGTGTCGCGAGCCCCACAGTGATGTCTGTCATTGGCCCTGCTACTGGCGTCGAAAAGTAGGCTGAAGCGCTGGAGCCACCTGAGGCGTCAAAAAACTTGGTGCCCGCCTTGAAGGGGGTTTGAAAGCCAAAGGAAGGCTCTAGCCCTTCTTCCTTGTCTCTTCCTAGTTCCATGCTTGATGATCCCTCGCGCCAAGGGGAGACCTCGCTCCATTCCACCTTCTTTTTGCCTTCTGCATCGGATCGTAATGGTGTGTCGGCCTCGAAAGGCGCGGAGGATGATGATGCTCGAGGCTCGTCTTGCGAATCCGATGGCAACGGTGGAGTAGGGTGTATTACATCCCACGAATGACCCTGATAGACGGCTGCTTGCGCTGAGGAAGTAAGATGGTGTTGATGGTGAGGTATCCTTTGAAGCATGAACCTCATACGGCTGTCCACGTCGTCCAGTGCGTTGAAGTCCTCGTATAATTCAGGTAAAGTCGAGACCGGTGATAGCGGGATCTCAGTATTCTGGTATTGAGCCTCATACTTGCTGACCGTCTGTTGCGCCATCAAGAGACGTTTGTGAAGGATGGCGTAGGCCACTTCTAGTTGCGATCGACTCTCGCAGCCTTGTAGAGCCGTCGTCATCGTATCCTCTGGGTCGATCCGGAATATGTTGTCCCGTTCTTCGATGAGATTAGCCATCCGCTCGAGGAACGTTTGCAGCTCGGTAACCGCCCTAAGTATACGTTGAAGTCGAGGTTTCCCAACCGAAACGATAGAGTGGGAATCGTAGTGGTCTTTCTTGAAGACGATATCGCTCGGTTTCAGAGAAGGTTGTTGAAGGATCCAGGAGACCTCCGCGGCCGTAGAAAAGTTTGCCCCTTGCTCTCGATTGTACTCGAGAATAAGGCTGTACATGGGAGAAAGGGCGTACCCTCTCTCCAATCCTCGACGTAAGGTTGGCGCGTCTTCTGAAGGTACAGCGTGGTCGGTCGGCGAAGAGTTGGCACCCAATTGCGGCAGATCGTCAGGCCTAGCCGTGGCCGGAGAAGAACTCTTCGAAGACATTCTTGGCGTAGGGGAGTGAGACGTTAGTTTCGGCCTCGGAATCAGAGATGATTGGTGAGGGGGTAGCTCTCGTGTCAGAGGAGTTGTTTTGTTTTTTGTCGACGAGGAAGATGGAGCCTGAGAAGAAGCGGTCCTCCTCCACGGTGAATTGGATGAGCCGGGGACAGGGGTTGTATCCTCAGTAGTAGTCGACGTCGGATCGGCTTTGCTAGAATTTCTAGAAGCTCCGAACGTTGAAGAAAAAGCGGGTTTACCCCCCCTAGCAACCACAGGGGGAGTTGGTTTCGTAGGACGATAGGTCGACAGGGTGTCAGCGTTTTAAAGCGATAGTGGTATTGAAATGAATAGATGAATCAATGAGGTTGGATCGTCGGCTAGAGGAATCAACCGTTCCCACAGTGTCCACCTTTGTGGAACACTATTGATCGTCAGTGCCGCTAAGGTAGTGGGACGGCTGTTGGAACGTCTAACGGACAACGCAACCAAAGGTGTGAAGACCCTCGAAGTAGGTCGTGCAATGTGATCGATTAGACGCTGGGAGCCGTGGAACGTGACAGTTCACAGTACCCGTGCTCCGATCTCCACGGACAGTCCCGTTGGAGAAGGCTCTAATCGATTATAGTGGATGGAACGTCTCTTTCGTACGTACCGCCTAGAGTCCGAGTTGAAGCCGTTAGTAGGGCTTTCGAGTCGAGCTGTGTGGGCAATAGTATGGTGAAAGATATCGATTGCCTCATGGGCTACATGAGGTATATGTACAAAGATGACGTAAGCGTAACACAAGTGAAGTAAACATCGTAACACAAGTGAAGTAAACATATAATAACGAATGATAGTTGCATGTAGGGGAGTGGAAAGGATAGAGAGTAGAAGCTAGGGGTTACTCACAATACTAGCATACTACACACTGGTGATTGCCAGCACATCACATGTGTGAGACAGGGGGAGACATAGGACATTTCCCTTCCAAGTTGGCAAGTTCCAACTGTTGGAATAACACCTGGTATATGGTCAAGTATTCCATGCATCTTGAGGACTTTGTAGATAGATCGAGATTGATGGATTAATAAGTCCGAGAACATCACCGAACAATTCGCACGTATCTAGTAATTAGTAGTATATTCTAGTAGTTACATTTTGTAGTATATAAGGGCGACAAAGCTGCCCTCGACATGATTATTATCTTTATCCCCTACTACCACTGCGCTATATACACTCTCAACAGGTTATGGGCCCTGGCCTATAGAACTTATACACATATTCGCATACACACGCATATGCACAAACTTTATCTCGTACGCTTATCTACATTACGTAACCTACTACAATGTCAGAAGAATATACAACGGGATCTTACCAGATGGAAATGCTGAAGGCCACAAATTGGATGCCATGGAAGCGACGGATGATGGCCGTGCTTTGTGACCTTGGACTGGAGAAGTATATTGCAAAGGATGCAAAACCTCCAGGATCAGCCGATCCCTGAAGCCCGACAACAGAAGAATTAGCAGCAACGAAGAAATGGGCCGAAGGTGACGCCAAGGCGCAGACAAGAATAGAACTCGCTATTAGCGATGCAGAAATGATCCACATCAGTGGCGCAACAACAGCGCAGGAAATGTGGGATCAACTCACCATGGTCAAGGAATCCAAGGGCACGCTAGGGGTGCTTGCAACACATCGCGCACTATACAGAATGAGTGCGGATGAGGGAATTGATTTGGTTGAATATATATCAAAGCTAAGAAAGCTTCAGGAAGAATTGCACCTAATGGAAAACATGGTATCAGATGAAGATTTCGTCATGATCTTGATCACATCACTCCCTGAAAGTTGGGATAATTATACTTCATCGTACCTGGGTGCATCTGGAAATAAACTGACCCTGAAATCACATGAGCTTATTGCTATTTTGATCGAAGAATACCACCGTCGTCAAGGACGAAATGAGGAGACATCTGGAGGATTGTCTATGCAAGCTAGGCATCAGCAAAAGGGCGGAAGAAATACAAGCTCACAGGGAAAGAAGAAAACAGATGTGGAGTGTTACAACTGCCACAAGAAAGGCCACATGTCAAATGAATGTTGGGCCAAAGGTGGAGGCCGTGAGGGACAAGGTCCTAAGGGCCGTCGAGGACCAAATCGAGGTGACAGATCTCATCAAACACAAGATTCCATGAACAATTCACTAGGCGATTGTGCCTACATGGTCAATCAAAATATCCACAATTTTTCGAAATATGATTGGGTTCTTGATTCAGCCACGACGTCACACATTTGCACAATCCGAGATGCATTTACTGATTATGAGCCGTTAAACTCTGAGGTTGATGGCATTGGTGGATCAGCAATGACACAGGGACGAGGAACAGTGGCAGTCAACTTTAGAATTGATGGCCAATCAATCAAACACACTTTGCAGAATGTGTTGCATGTCCCGAAAGCACCAAATTGCTTACTCTCAATTCCTCGCTTGGCAATTGGAGGAGGAAGGGTAGAATTTAATGGCAATGGATGCCAACTATATGACAAAACTAATAGGGTCATTGGAAAGGGAAAGTTGACGAACATGTTATATTTGCTTGATGCATGCGCGGAATTGCCAAATCGGGAAAGCGCCCAATACACATCAATTCGGACACACTCTTGGGATCAATGGCATCGACTTTATGGCCACATCTCTGTCAATGCAATTAAAAACCTGAAGTCAAATGAAATGGTGGATGGGCTCAAGATTGATGAGTCTACAATCCCATCATTAACTTGTGAAGCTTGTATTCAAGCAAAACAAGCATACAAACCTTTTCCACAAGAAGCAAAAAATCGATCTGAGATACCTGGTGAACACATCATGAGTGATGTATGGGGACCAGCGCAAACAGAGTCAATCGGACAGTGGAAATATTATGTTTCATTTACAGATGATGGCGCACGTTTGACCGCCGTACTATTCCTAAAAAACAAGGGACAAGCATTTGACCGCATTAAGGAATATGTTGCCATTATTGAATGGAAATTTGGAAAACCCCCAAGATTTATGTGATTTGATAATGGGAAGGAACTGGTTAATGAGAAACTTCGAAATTGGGCTGCAGAAAAAGGAATTATTATTGAAACATCTGCCCCATATTCACCTTCTCAAAATGGAGTTGCAGAAAGGTTTAATCGCACACTTTTGGAACTTGCACGGGCAATGTTAATTGCGAAAAACCTTCCAGTATTTTTATGGGACGAAGCAGTCACGCACGCGGCATATTTACGAAACCGTGCGCCCACATGCACTTTAAACGGCAAAACACCGTATGAAGCTTGGACAGGTAATAAACCTGATATTTCGCATCTCAGGGAGTTCGGATGCGACATTTGGGTGCTAGACGAGACCAAAGGTCGTTCTAAGCTTGCACCAAAGTCAAACAAATTTATTTTCGTAGGATTTCACGATGGATTGAAGTCAGTTCGTTATTACAATGCTAAAACTCGAAAAATTAAAGTCTCATGCAATGTGGCATTTAACGAGAATGAAGAGCCACGAGAACTCGAAATTAAAGCTAATTTACCGGGTTTGCGCGTCGAGGGGGAGCCAGAGGAAAAATCAAACACTCAAACACCTCAAGAAATCGAAAATCCATTAAATCCTATCCCTACAACAGTTCCTGCACAAGAAATGCGAAGTCCTATTGAACCCATAAATTCCCCAGCTCTTAGACCTCGTAGAACTCACACTGAACACGATTATCGACTCCTAAATAATCCACAGGCACGACCAACAGATCACACACTTGAAAATGCGACACCACCTGATATTACATGACACACAGAGTCATCAGCTGCGAAAATAATTTCTAAAAATCGCACTCACCTTGCCTTCGAAGATTTTATCAGATTTTCAACCGAAAAATCATTCCAAGTGCTCTCAGGAATTTCTGATAAAGATGGATTGCCAGAAACACTTGAAGATGCGATGCAGACTGAGGAGAAAGAGCATTGGAAGACTGCTGTGGAAGCAGAATTAAATGTTTTAGAAAAAATGGGCACATGGAAAATGGAAGACTTACCAGTAGAAAGGGAAGCAATCGGATGCTGTTGGGTATTTGACAAAAAACGAGACGAACACAGAAACATCGTAAAATACAAGGCACAACTTGTAGCGCAAGGTTTCTCGCAGAAACCAGGAACAGATTTTAGCCATAATGGCATGTTTGCACCTGTTATGCGCTTCGAGACGCTATGTACGATGCTTGCACTCGCCGCAATAAATAAATGGGATATGCATCAGCTCAACGTGAAAAGTGCATATTTAAATGGAAAACTCACAGAGGAAATTTATATGAAGCAACCCCCAGGTTTTTCAGACAGCAGCAGACGTGTTTGTCGATTGCAACGTGCACTTTACAGTTTAAAGCAGGCTGGACATGCGTGGAATCATGAATTTAATGGTGCTATGGCAGACCTGGGATTCACGCAGTTAAGAACGGATTATTGTTGCTATATTCGGAGAGAGGGGGAGAAATTTGCGATATTATTGGTATGGGTGGATGACATACTCACACTCACCAATAACCCTGCGGAAAGTGATCGTGTCGAAACAGAACTCAAATCAAAATATGAAATCAAAGCATTGGGCCAACCTTCATTACTGTTAGGCATGAAGGTTACTCATGACACTACAAACCATACTATCTCACTTTCGCAAACTCATTACATCAATAAACTCCTCAAGAAATTTAATCTCAAAAACCTGAATCCAGTTACCATGCCACTTGATCCGAACGCCAATTTAAATCAGGATGACGAGCCATCAGAAAATGACAGCACACAAGGTACAGGGATCTATGCAACAATGATTGGATCTCTAATGTACACTGCATTGGGAATGCGCCCAGATATTGGGTATGCAACAAACAGACTTGCACAATTTACAAGCCAACCCCAACCGAAGCATTGGACAGCCGTTAAAAGAGTATTCCGTTATTTGAAAGGCACGAAAAATTATATGCTCACGTATGGAGGACAAGACTCTAATGCAGACGTGAATATTTATTGCGACGCTGATTGGGCTTCACATGCTGACAGAAAATCAGTCAGTGGATATGTAGTAACCATAGCTGGTGGAGCTGTGGCTTGGAGCTCGAAAAAGCAAAATACTGTTGCTCTTTCAACTGCTGAGGCAGAATATACTTCTGCTACTCATACTGCCAAACAAGTACTTTGGCATAGGTCTTTATTCAATGAACTCAAAATTCCGCAGCCAAAAACATCCACAATTTTCACGGATAACCAGGCTGCAATATCTATTGGTCATAATCCAGAGTTTCATGCTCGGACAAAGCATATTGACATCGCGCTTCATTTCTTACATGATCATGTCGAAAAAGGAAACCTAGATTTGATCTACATATCAACTCACAACAATCTCGCAGATTTATTCACGAAGGGTCTCCCGCGGATTGTACACCAAGACTTAACTTATGAGATAGGTGTAATACCTGACCAAGGGGGAGTGTTGGAATAACACCTGGTATATGGTCAAGTATTCCATGCATCTTGAGGACTTTGTAGATAGATCGAGATTGATGGATTAATAAGTCCGAGAACATCACTGAACAATTCACACGTATCTAGTAATTAGTAGTATATTCTAGTAGTTACATTTTGTAGTATATAAGGGCGACGAAGCTGCCCTCGACATGATTATTATCTTTATCCCCTACTACCACTGCGCTATATACAGTTGAGTGCAAAAAGAATGAAGGTTGGTTCATTTTTCTGGTTCTTTCTAAGAGTCTATTGTACCTCAAAGGTATTTGTGTATTCTTTTACATTATGTAGTTGTGTTACACTTCCCTTGGTATGGACTAATTTCAGTGAAAGCTGGAGCCTTGAGAAGGTTTATATTCTGGAGGCCATTTTTGGCATCTGAAAAAAAAAATATGCGCTAACTGGGGAGGTAGCCAGAACATACCTCTGGTCAACTTGAATGAGCCTATCAAAGAATCAGTCAAAAATACTGAGCGGTTATGCTTGTAGAGCCTCCAGAAAATGTCATTTTGTGCTATTTTGGTCATTTT